CAGCGCAACACGTGATCACCATGGGAAAAACATAGAAAATGGGTTAACTTTCCACCGCTTTCCTGACTGGAGGCGTAACCATGGAGACCAAGCTTTCAGAGATAAAGAGTCGTCGGCTAGCTTGGATCGCGGCTGTAAGACGACCGAACATAACTTTCCACAGTATTCCAATGTCAATGAGAGTGTGTTCCCTGCATTTTCATTCTGGTAAGTTAAAGATGCACGGTTTTATTTTATAGCCTACATTGTTTATTTCCTTCAAAGTTGGGATCTTTTACGGGAAAATAATAAAAACGGCAGCGGGAAAAGGCTCAAATACGCGAGAAACCCGGAGGGTTGGCAGTTAACGTTACTAACTACACCTTTGAAACACATAGCAGCTAGTTAAAAGTAGATTAAATGCGTGAGTGGTTGTTAGCACTAGCGGTTAGCAGTTGCTAAACTAGCAGGTTCCAGAGCCCGTCTGATCACAGCTTACCTTCGTACGGATTACTGTGTTCCCACTGTTTGCTGGCTTTATGATGTGCAGCTCCTGAACCCATCCATTCATGAACTGCACATGAGACTCCAAGGACTTGTAGCTTCGGAACTGTTTTGAAGTATACAGGTGCTGGTCATAAAATTAGAATATCATGAAAAAGTAGATTGATTTCAGTAATTCCATTTAAAAAGTGAAACTTGTATATTATATTCATACATTACATACAAACTCATATATTTCAGATGTTTATTTTGTTTAATTTTGATGATTACAAATGACAACAAATGAAAATCTCAAATTCATCATATCAGAAAATTAGAATATTGTGAAAAGGTTCCAAATTGATGGCCCCTGGTGCCACACTCTAATCAGCTAATTAACTCAAACCACCTGCAAAAGCCTTTAAATGGTCTTTCAGTCTAGTTCTATAGGCTACACAATCATGGGGAAGACTGCTGACTTGACAGTTGTCCAAAAGACGACCATCGACAGCTTGCACAAGGAGGGCAAGACACAAAAGGTCATCGCTAAAGAGGCTGGCTGTTCACAGAGCTCAGTGTCCAAGCACATTAATAGAGAGGCGAAGGGAAGGAAAAGATGTGGTCGAAAAAAGTGTACAAGCAAGAGAGATAACCGCACCCTGGAGAGGATTGTGAAACAAAACCCATTCAAAAATGTGGGGGAGATTCACAAAGAGTGGACTGCAGCTGGAGTGAGTGCTTCAAGAACCACCACACACAGACGTATGAAAGACATGGGTTTCTGCTGTCGCATTCCTTGTGTCAAGCCACTCTTGAACCACAGACAGCGTCAGAAGCGTCTTGCCTGGGCTAAAGAGAAACAGGACTGGACTGCTGGTGAGTGGTCCAAAGTCATGTTCTCTGATGAAAGTAAATTTTGCATTTCCTTTGGAAATCAAGGTCCTAGAGTCTGGAGGAAAAGAAGAGAGGCACTTCATCCACGTTGCTTGAAGTCCAGTGTAAAGTTTCCACAGTCAGTGATGGTTTGGGGTGCCATGTCATCTGCTGGTGTTGGTCCATTGTGTTTTCTGAGGTCCAGGGTCAACGCAGCCACATACCAGGAAGTTTTAGAGCACTTCATGCTTCCTGCAGCTGACCAACTTTTTGGAGATGCAGATTTCATTTTCCAACAGGACTTGGCACCTGCACACAGTGCCAAAGCTACCAGTACCTGGTTGAAGGACCATGGTATCCCTGTTCTTAATTGGCCAGCAAACTCTCCTGACCTTAACCCCATAGAAAATCTATGGGGTATTGTGAAGAAGAAGATGCAATACACCAGACCCAACAATTCAGAAGAGCTAAAAGCCACTATTAGAGCAACCTGGGCTATCATAACACCTGAGCAGTGCCACAGACTGATCGACTCCATGCCACGCCGCATTGCTGCAGTAATACAGGCCAAAGGAGGCCCAACTAAATACTGAGTGCTGTACATGCTCATACTTTTCATGTTCATACTTTTCAGTTGGCCAACATTTCTATAAATCCTTTGTTTTTATTGGTCTTCAGTAATATTCTAATTTTCTGATATGATGAATTTGAGATTTTCATTTGTTGTCATTTGTAATCATCAAAATTAAACAAAATAAACATCTGAAATATATGAGTTTGTATGTAATGTATGAATATAATATACAAGTTTCACTTTTTAAATGGAATTACTGAAATCAATCTACTTTTTCATGATATTCTAATTTTATGACCAGCACCTGTAGGCGCTCACTCATCGGTGCTCCACTCATTGCTGGAACTTCATATGGATCCAAATGATTAATAATGCTGATTTTGTCAACATACCGGTCCCTGGCTTCTCTATTTAATGTGTCCCGGTAAATTCCAGATCCTTTTCGGGATTTTAACATCTTTTTTCTCTCTACTTCTGTCTCTTCTTTCAACAACAACGTTGTGTCAGAGCTATGCTTACGTTTGCGTAGCAGTCAGTATGGCTGCGACGTCCCACAATGCAACGTGGATCCCGAGCCCTATATTTTGTACACGTATTTCGCTTTCGGTGCTGTGTATATCTGATTAAAACCCCATTCATGCCGCTCCTCAGAAAGAAAATAAAAAAAGTTCTCCCCGCTGCTCACCGTCCACAAACCCCGACAAAAAAACTCAGAAAAAAGATTCTGTTGCCTCTCGCTTTCTCCCCATCACCCCCCTCCAACCTCTCCCCATAACATTTGAATTGAAGATATCCGCGGGTGGCGGGTCGGGTTCGGTAGTCATCCTAACGGGTTCGGGCGGGTGCGGGTTGGTAAAACTCGACCCATGCAGGTCTCTAAGCTACACTACATTCAGTATCGTTGCCATAGAAACAGACAACAGCGCCAATATATCAGAATTATACTAAAACACACGCAAATAATTTCCCACATAAAAAACAGGACTTTCAGTCCATTACAGTTTTCCGTTTTTAGAGGGTTGTTTATTTTGCGTTTATTAAGTGATGGCTGTGGTATATTAGCTTTCACTGCTATAAGCTTTCGCAGCAGTGATTGATTAATTTAAACACCTGCTCTACTGATGGTCTATCGGAGTTGGTGTTTAGGTTGAACATAAAGAACACCTTTTATTTGAAGCTTCTTGTAGCTACTGTTTTAATCCCGGCTTTACTTAAAACTTCTTCCTGACTTTGATAGTGTTGCCATTCAGTAGCAAGCACTGCGCCCCTTTTTCTTTTATATGTACACGTACATTTAAGATTTAGCGTGTTAAGTTGACAACTCATGAGCAAGCTGCTTTTTGCAATCTAGCAGGGAGGTGTGACGTCACTCTGCAGGGGGTCCAAAGATAAAAGATTTAAACAATTTTGGCATTGAAATTTCAGATTTAAGGGAGTTAGAAAGTTCACTTAGTAAAAGTGCAAATAATAAATGTGATTAGCGATTACTTTTAAGCTGGTTGAACATACTGCGACAGACTGGTGACCTGTCCAGGGTGATCCCACCTCTCACCCAGAACGTGGCTGGAGATATGCACCAGCACCTCCTGATCCCACTGAGGGATAAGGTTAAAGAAAATGGATGGTTGAACATAGTCCGCTCTCCCAGATTCTATCAAATCAGTATTGATACCCTCAGGGGCGGATTTAGGAAATTTGGGGCCCTAGGCAAAGACAGGCAGGGGGCCCCCTGAGAAGTAAACCCATAAAACAGACCCATTCTACAGATAGAGAAATGTTAATAGAATAGACATCCATTATCTGTTCTAGGTTTTGTCCCTCTCTTCTTGTCCCTTTTTCCTCTCTATTTATCAGTGTTCTGATGGCATTTTAGCCAAAGGATTTTTATCAAAAACATAATTAATGTGCACAAATAAGGATTAGTTGTATTAACCATACTGGAAACAGAGTTTTATGGGGCCCCCAGAACTTGGGGCCCTGGGCAACTGCCTAGTATTGCCTAATGGTAAATCCCCCCCTGGATACCCTGCTGGTGGATGTTCTTGACAGAAAGACGGAGTTGCTTAATCATATTCTGCTTAAGGTCCCATAAGATCTCGTTCGAGTCCTGGTTTAAAAGTAAATAAATTTTAAAAAGTGACCCAAAATTGACTGTCAATAAATGTTCTACAAAATTGATATATTTATTTGATTTGTACTGTCTGTTTAGATTTATGTGATATTTTTTGCACAAAATATATAAGTGAATATTGTAACAGTTATGTTTTCAACTGTAAGCATTAAATTGATAAAAGTTATTAGCATTTTTTTGGCTTTATCCTTTCCAACAAAAAAAAAAAGGCGTCGCGCACGTAGCTCCCTTTCCTTATGAGCCGTCCCCACCAACTTTCAACACAAAGTTACACCCTTGTCTTAGACAACGCCTTAGCAGGTGCACTGAAAAAATTCGGCGCGCGCTGTGCGCGCGCATTATCTTCTAGGGGCTGAGCCACCCTTGTGTCTTAAACCTAGAGACGCCCCTGGAGTCCACGCTTCAATATTGGGCATAAATCAAAATACCTGCGACGCACTGCTGGCGAGGATAACCAGACCTTTAGAAGGATGAAGGTTTGCCTGCTGCTGTGACTCTCCAGCTTCTGCAACCCTCGCCCTGCTCACAAACTTCCAAAAGGCTTCCACGGGACACGCAATCCTGCCCCCTACAGTGTTTGAAGAGAAAATACCCAACTCACAGGAATTCTGTCCGTTTTCCGACATTTTCTCCTGGATATCACACTGTATCCGTATTGATGGCCGCTCACACTGAGCCTGGTTCTGCTGGAGGTTTCTTCCTGTTCAAAGGGAGTTTTTCCTCTCCACTGTCGCTACAAGCATGCTTAGTGTGAGGGATTGCTGAAGAGTCAATGAGTCGATGCAATTAGCTGGTTTTCCTTAGATAGAAAACTTTGAATCAATCGACCTGAGATGACATGATGTGAATTGGAGCTATAGAAATAAACTGAATAGAATGTTAGTTTAAAGAAGGAGCCGTTCTTTAAGTTTGGTCAGAAGTGATGTTGACCTGTTGCATTCATTCATGATTTTTATTCTCTTGTAAGAAAATAACCAAAAAAGGGACAAAGAGCATCTAAAGTGATATCAGTAACAAATCATAAAGTCAGACAGCAAACAGTGACGGATGAGATCAGAAAGGAACACGTTTAACGAGCAAACCAACCTCTACGCTTCTCCTGACAGGAGAAATAACACACGACACCAAGGAGTCCTTCTGCAGGTCTGCATATATTTCATTAGTGACATTCATCCATCAGAGCTTCACTTTAAAATGTCAGAGAGCATCAGCCGAGGCACCCTGATTGTAGGAGAGCTTCTCCACGTCCTCTAATCACGGAGCGGATCAGACCGAGCGACGCCAGCTCTACGTTTCCCATGGGGAGCATAAGGACACCTGGCAGAGGTCGCAGGCAAGCAGTCGCTTGGGTCGCTGAACACAAACCCTTAAATTTCATTTTTCACCACCGCAGACAGAAAAAATCCAAGGTTTGAAGAAGTTAAAACCAGGCTGCAGAGGGACACGGCGAGAGCAAACGGATCAAACCCATGGGCAGGGAGAGGGGAAAATAAAAATCCAAAAATATATATTTAGGTTTAAATCCATATATATTTATATATATATATATATATATATATATATATTTACGAGGTATAGGTCCACAAAAAAATAAAACATCCAAAGTTTCAAAATAGGCATTTCTTCCAAATATATCCTTGCAAACGATGCCTCAGGTAGACATAAATATTAACAGAAATATTAATCCAGGAGGTTCTCCTGTCCAACAGCATCTCTGTGAGATGCAGACGAATCCATGAGATTCTCCAACATCCGGAGTCCAAACAGCCACTTCCAGCGCTTCTCTTCCAGAGTCAAAACCTAGAAAGATCCACCTCAAGCAAAAAAAAGACAAACTTCCTTAAGTCTTCCACAGTTTCACAGCCTTCATCCAGGACGAGCCGGGCCTGAGTAGACCCGCCGAGGCTGGGAGGCAGGAGAAAAGTGTCTCACAGCTCCCAAAAAATAAAAAGGTGTCTTTGTGCAAGTCTCTAGAGTTTAATCCCAAACATAAACCCTCAGGCGGACCGGCGGGCGTCCTCCTGTTAGTTAGGCTGGCAGTAGAGGATCGCTGCCCACTGTAGTCATGCTAGGTACTGCTGCAACGCAGTCTTTGCCCTGAGAAAGACAAACACACCATCAGAACTCAACCTTTGGTCATGAGAGAGACGCTCAGGCACTGCTGCTGGTTCTGGCCCACCTGTCGCTGAGGTTGGGGTCGGTAGACTGTGTGAGTTTGTGCAGGGCGTCTACGAAGCCCATCTCCCTCAGCTTGTCTTGGCGATCCTGAGAACCTAATAAACGACAGAAGAGAGAACGTCAGAAGTTTGGCTCGTTGCTGAAGCCTCCACAGATCATCGGTTCCACCGTGGTGTTAACATTTCCCTTCACTTTCAAGCATCCAGCATCCTGAGGTGAGGGAAGCGTTTTCACGCTAGTTTGATGTTAACTAGAATTTAAAATCCTCCTTCTCACATATAAAGCCTTAAATGGCCAAGCTCCATCTGATATCAGAGATCTGATTGTTCCTTATGTTCCTAACAGAGCACTTCGCTCTCAATCTGCAGGTTTACTAGTGGTTCCTAGAATTTCTAAAAGTAGAATGGGAGGCAGATCTTTTAGTTATCAGGCTCCTCTCCTGTGGAACCAACTACCAGAAAGAGGCCTTTCTGTATGGATTCTGCATGTTCTCCCTGAGCATGCGTGGGTTCTCTCTGGGTACTCCGGCTTCCTCCCAAAGTCCAGAAACATGACTGTTAGGTTAAGTGGCTTCTCTAAATTCTCCCTAGGTGTGTGTGTCAATGGTTGTTTGTCTTGTGTGTCTCTGTGTTGCCCTGCGATGGACTGGCGACCTGTCCAGGGTGGACCCCGCCTCTCACCTGTAGACAGCTGGAGATAGACGCCAGCACCCCTCACCACCTCAGCAGCGATAAGTTTGATGGAAAATGGAAGGAAAAACTGTTTCTGACTTAATTATAACATTAAGCAACTCTTCAGCGCTCTAGCAACTTTTGATCTCTAAACGATTTTTGAGTTTTCCGTCTTTAGCGAGCAGTGATGGCTGCCGAATAAATTGACCACTTTTCTTTGGAAGTGTTGCACTAAAATAAATCCTCCCTGCATCTCATGTCCACACAGCCTCACCCACCGTTGACCTCTGCTGCTGCCTTTAGGCTGACCTTGATGAAATGAGATTCATGCAGTTTAGGAAAAAATATTATTGAAAAATTATTGAATAAAGTAAAATTTTAGTTTTAAACATATTTAGAGTTTTTAAAGCATCTTTCTGTCTTTCCAATGTTGATATTCTTCTCTTAACCCTTTATAGGGCAATCAGTGAAATACTCTGAAAATCCAAACTTCCACCCAATAGTGTTATTGAAAAATAAAAAATATGGATATTTTGATGACAAAAATTAATGTCAATGAAATAACAAAAAAAGCCAACTTGCCCGAATATATTAAGAAAAATAACAAAAGTGCTTCTATAAGAAATAAATTAAAAACCCTCTGAGAGTGAAAGAAACATGTTTTTTTGGTCCAACATAACCTTAGAGGCATTAATGCCGATACTGGCACTGACATTTTTTAGTTTATAAACCTAAATATAATAAAGTTAAATAGGCTTACTAACTTTTTAACTTTACTTTTAACTTTTCAATTACCTTTTTTGTTCTTGACTTGTTAATTTTTTCCCCAAACTTAATTTCCAGTAGTTAATATATCATTCAAGGGCTCATCTAATTGGTCAAATGCCAAAATAAGATGTACAGCCATGTAGCAGGATCTTTGCTGAATGGCTGGATATAGATCTTGTGTTTCTAGACCTCAGTGAGGGACGAGGGGTAGCCCATAAAGGGTTAATTGATTCATCTGTTATTTAAAACAAAGCAACTGTTTTAATCTTATAAAGATACAAGTAAACTTTTTAAACATTGTTTTTCTTGGATGCCATCTAACGTGTTTGCATCTGCAGGTCTCTTAAAATGATCAATAACTGTAAACTAGATGCGTTTTTGCCATAGAGGATATCTACCAGATGTTTTCTGTATAATGATGTGTGTGGAAGCAGTTCTCACCGTCCTCCTCATTCCAGATCAGGTTTGAGATGCAGAAGGTGGCGGCGAGCTGCAGCTTGACGTTGGAGTGTCCCTGTGGGAACAGCAGGGGGAAACATTCCTCAGCCTCAGTGACTCTACATCCTCCTGTCAGCTGAAATCCATTCAGTTACCTTCAGAAAAACTAAACCACTGTCATTAAATCACAGCAAACCTATTAGCTTTAGGTATAAATAACGATCCATTGATCATTCCCTGCTGATCGGACTTTTCCTTTAACACAACCGAAATAACCGCATTTCCATAACGGGGATGAAAACCTGATTACAGACAGGTTTGACAGTAAAGACCAGAGGGCCACAGCTGCTCTGTACCATGTAATATTTAACTTTCTGCAGCATGTCGTCGTTTGTCATGATAGGTTCCTTGGCGGTGTTTCCATCGGCGATGTTAGCCAGGATGCACAGCGTCTAAATGCAAAGGGAAAAGGCAGCGTCAGTGTTTCCGTTCCGATGTAATGGATCCGGTCTGCAGGGCACCATAACCCCCTCTGCACACGCTCACCTGCTCTTTGACCTCTGCGCTGTGCTCGGCTTCCAGGATCAGAGTCACTGCCTGCATGATCTGCTTCCCATGAGAGCTCATGATCTGGTCGATGTGCTGAAAACATGAACAGGGAGAACATTCACTTCTTCGGCATGGCCCAAACCCAGTGAACCCAGCATGAACTGGATCCCTGCTAGAAACCCAGCAGCTCTGCAACCTTCACAATCCAAACACCTTCTTTCCTCAGTCCAGCTGATTAAAACTTACTTAGAGCTGCAAATGAGTTTCTAGATAAATGACAATTTTAGAGAAAAATGTGTTTTATTCATTGAAGAATGTTCCGTTGTTTACTTTTTTGTTTAAAAATAAAACCGAAAATGTTTTCAATGGGAAGTAGACATTAGTGGAAAATGATGAACCACAGGATAAAGAATAAGCTCTTCCCAGTCACTGGCCCCCTCCTGCATATTCTTTTCCTCTGACTCCACCCTTTCACTGAATTACAGGGTCTGACCAGGAGATTGCGCTTCTCTTTAGATGCTAATGTCCACAAATCTTGACAGAAAGAATATTTTAGTACAAAGATTGATGTTTAAAAAGGAATTGAAGGGGACCAGCCAAGGACCCATCAAGGAAAGTGGGGAAAATTTGAACGGCTACTTCTGTTCTGCTGGAGGTTTCTTCCTGTTCAAAGGGAGTTTTTCCTCTCCACTCTCGCTACAAGCATGCTTAGTGTCAGGGATTGCTGAAGAGTCAATGAGTCGATGCAATCAGCTGGTTTTCCTTCGATAGAAAACTTTGAATCAATCTGACTGGATGATCTGGTTGAACTGGAAAGTGACCTGAGATGACATGATGTGAATTGGAGCTATAGAAATAAACTGAATAGAATCTCAGTGATTGATCAGTAAACTGCAGTCTGTGCACCACTACTAAGAACCATGACGGCTGCCTTTTCACCAATGCAGAGCTATATCCAATGAACAAAATGGTTAAAACCTGAGCTTTCTGTAATTATATCTACATTTAAAGACATAAACTTGTTCTGTATCATTTTTAGCAGAAGTCATTTCGAGCCTCAGGTTGTCCTGTTCTAAACAAACTTCTAATTTCTTCATATTGCTTATCTTATGTGGCTTTCTGCCACATTAGCCATATATTTCTATGTTGGGAAGTTCCCTGTCGCCTTCTTTGCACGCTCTCAAAATGATGGTGGACAGTGCAGCTATAATAGAAAATGGTGTGCGGCCTGAAGCTGATGTTGAGGCTGGATTTGCTCTGCAGTTTGGTCTGTTAGCCCAAATTAAGTTTAGAATTGTACTTAAACTGCTAAGATGCTAACGAGATAAATGTACACTGCAGGGCGACTTTAAGGTTTAGAGGAACACGTATGGAATATTCTGTGTTGTCGTGCGAGTGGCATTTCTCACCGGGCGCGTGGACAGCAGGTTACGCAGCAGACCGAGAGTCTTCATCAGGACGTTGGCATCGGGGTCGGATAGGAGACGGAACAGCTGCTCTGTGCCCAAACAGCGGACAATCTCCACCTTCACCTTTTGATCGGCCTGGAACGCCATGTTCTAAGAGCAACACAGCTTTAGATCATTTCCTGCTTTAGGAGTCTGAGCTCTTTAGAGACCGGTCACTACTTTTTAAAAAAAAGTCATGTTCAGAGTTCAAACTTCTGAAAGTTCTTTAAATCTGAAATGATTCCATCCTGTTCAATAAATGATCAGTGTTTTTAATTCAGAGTAATTTTCATGTGAATGTGCTTTACTGGAGGCATCCATGTTTGTCAAAGAACACTACTGCCACCTACTGGTTAGTGACATTGTCACGGTGCGGTATCGGCTGTTGATCAAGTCCCAGTGCTGTATCTGGTGTTTGTCACAACGCGCTATTATCCAAGTCATCTTGAAAACATTCTTCTTCCAAATGTTGGCTACATATTACGGGTTTTTTCTCTGGCCAGAAGTTCGATGGCAAATCCTCCCTCTTCAAGTTGGCGATCCAACGACCAACCCGTCCGTGGAGGATCAGGAATCAGAAAGGTGGAATAACTCTTTATTTCCCTTTTACCCGATGTATTCCAGCATCCAGCTGCCATGCATGTGGGCATTGTCAGTTTCACTATTACCCAATTTACACTACACTTGAAAAACTGTGCAGAGACCGGTCCGAGCTCAGTAACTGAGATAACTTATGGTGTGTAAATGGAAAGCAAACTGAACCGGACCGAGCTAACTGCAGACCAGTTCCAGAGGTGGGCTCGGCTCGGTTTTTCCCTGGCTCGGTTCTCTGATAACGAGAGCGCATGAGCAGAACGCGTCATCTCCGTCTGGCTGCACATCGCGATTCACACTCCATTCCACTAGTTGGCGGTAATGCCCCTCCGGAAACAGAAGAAGAAGAACAACTTCTTCTTCAACTATAAAGAACAATCGAAATCTTCTCCACGGAAAATTTTAAATAATAACACCGAAGTACAGCAATAATAATCAAGCATAACTTTCTGAATGTGGCGGGCGCCACCATTTTGATTTGCTTGATTCCTTCCTTCTTCGTCTTCTTCTTCTTGTGTTTTATGATGGTTGGCAAACAACTTTTGGTGCATTACCGCCACCAACTGCTTGATTTCCTCCTTCAATACTGGCAGTAATACCGCAGATCGTCACTAGGAGGCGAGGAGCGGAGATAGCGTGATGTGTAAACGGTTGTAAGAACCGAGCTCGGCCTGGTTAACTGATCCGAGCTCGGACCGGTCTCGGCATGGATCGGTTTTTCAATGGTAGTGTAAATGTGACTCATAGCTCTGGTGAATTTCAATGGTGAAGTCCTCTGGAAATCTTCAATAATTGTTGTTGATTGCAGATGTGTCTAGTAGTTCCCATTGATTTAGCTTGGAAAGCGGGGAGAATGGCGCTAGGCTTACCGCACCGTGACGTCACTGCTGGAAGATGGCAGGAGGGAGGGGCTACTAGATTTGGGCTAAAATGGCCGCTCCCAGACTCAGTGATCGTCAATTATTATTTTAAATTTTTTACTGATTAACACAAAATTAATTAAATCACCGTAAACCTTTTAGTTTTAGTTGTAAATAATGATCCATTGATTATTCCTTGAGGAACGGACTTTTCCTTTAAGGTGAAGTTCTTACCATGAGGGCCCAGATGCCGTTCACCCTCAGAGCGGGGCTGTCGCTCTGAGTCAGACTGCAGAGTAACTCGATCACCCCAGACTCCAGGATGGGCTGTTGGAAACACCGAGGTTATTTAAACATCAACTTCAACCTGATCAAAATGTAATTATTGTTTTTTTTTTTTTTTATTACAAATGATCAGAAGCAGATGTAGAAACATTCCTGCAAACCAGGTGACATCTGCCCAGCTTTGAACTATCCACTAAGAGAGCGAGGGGTGCCCCCTCAGCAGGCGGGCGGTCCGTTTACCTCTTTACTTGGTGAGAACTCCAGCAGCAGGTTGCATAGTGTTGAGGAAGCCATGACCAGCACTTCATCGGGGGCGTTCTGCAGCAGCTACAGACAGACGTTAGTGTTTATTTTCAGCAGATAGAGCCAGAGAGTGAGAGACGGATGGAGGTGAATCCAAACTGACCTTCATGAGCGGCTTCCACACGGCGTGATCGTGAAAGCTGGTCCGCAGCTGCTGCACCGACCGCGAGAGACTATGAAGACATCTGCAGGAGGAGGCAGACTTTAACTCCTTCATTAAAACCTCTGTATAGAAGCAGAGGCTCAGATCTGGGCTCAGAGGATTGGTAGAAGATGGCTACTCCAAGACGCTGCTCAACTTTTTCAGAGCAGTTTAACCTTAGAAAACTCGTTTAAAATAAAACTTTAATGGAACTAAAACGGTTCCTCCTCAATAAACGATAGATCCATCAGCCTGATGAGACCCAAATGGGTCAAAAGATGAACCTTGTTCAAAAACAATCTGAGACTCTTCAGGAGAAACAAAAACCAAGTTATATTAGGCCTTTATAGCAGGAGTCTTGCACATTTTCCACTCCAAGGACCCCCTAATTATATATATGGTATGAAATTTTGTTCTCTCAAACTGGTCCTATAGTCGCTGTATTACAGATGCAGTAATGTAACTAAGGGTAATTTCTCCCTGGGATTATTAAAGTATTTCTGATTCCTGGTTGATGGGACAGGTGTTGTGAATGAAACGGTGCCCAGCTTGAAAGAGCTCCTGTGTGTCGCTGAATGTGAGCATTGATGACTGAAAGACATCTTCTGCCTCCATTTATCTGTTTACTACAGTCTGTTGGATTCATGTTAATGTGGATTTAAAGACATTTCAATTAGTGGGAAAAACTGCAGGGTGGAATAAAAAATTTCTCTAATCAACCAAAACTTTTGTGACCCCCTAGGGGTCCACAGAGGTACTGCACTTTATAGGACAAGTTACCTTTTTTGATCACTTGCATGTCCCTGTGACAATGAGCTATTGTTACCTGTATATTGGCCAAAGTAGCAGCTAAACACAGCATCTGGTTTTCTACTTTGGTTTATTTTTTGTTGTTTTGGGTGAAGTGGATTTGTTTGGGTTGTGGTTCTTTGGTTGGCCGCATCTTGTTTTCATTTTTGTAAAAAGGTAAATTGATTTCACTTTACAATGTTTTGTTTTTGTTTAATTATTCATAAAAGGGAAATTCATGGATTAAGGATATAAAATATAGTGAAATACTCACCTCTGCTGTTTCACTCTCACAAGCAGGTGTGTACAGGACTAGGGATGGGAATCGAAAACCGGTTCCTGTTAAGAACCGGTTCCGTATTTTCCGATTCCATGGCATCGTTTGGCAGCTCACTGAACGATTCTTTTTTCGATTCCCGCAGCACCAGAGCCTAGAGCGCCGGCTCTGGGGAGCACGACTTACGTCACGTTTTTTACGTAAGTTACGCAAGTTACGCAAGTTACGCAAGTTGGAAGAACTATTCGAGGAGGAAGACAACGAGCTACGGTCACTTTGTGAATCAAAGCCCCGTCTTTCCTTAGCCCAGAGGGTAGATCAGGAAATCCAGCTCTATAAAAGCTTGCCCTCCATCCCCTGCAGGGATAGCGCCACACTGTGGTGCTGGAACAAGCAAGATACGCTGCCCTTGCTATCTGACTGGCTGAAAACTACCTCTGTGTGCAGGCTTCCTCCACCCCATCTGAGAGGGTGTTCTCCACGGCTGGAGACACCATAAGCCCTGAAAGATCCTGTATCCTTCCAGAAAAAGCAGATATGCTCATCTTTCTGCAAAATAACTGTTAATTTTCCCTACTACTCTTTTATAATTAGTATTTTTTGTTATTTAAAATAGGTTATTATCCCATCATTTGTTATTAGACATTGTTGGTTATTAAGTTTGTTCTTGTATATTTATTTTTCATTTAAACACAGATGTTACTCCAGTTTCACATTTCCTGTGGACATCTTGATCTTGTTGAGTTTGTAAGATTGTGCAATAGTTAAGTAAACAAAGTTGATGCTGATAATCAAACTGTTTGTTCTCCTTTTTCCCCCAAATTGGAATCGAAAAAAGAATCGATAAAGAATCGAATCATTTCATAGAATCGAAAAGGGAATCGGAATCGTGAAAATCTTTTCAATTCCCAACCCTATACAGGACTGCACCATTGGATAATTGAAGAGGGGGGAGGTTGATCTGATGTATGGTGTTTTCTATATTGAGTTTGAGTATTTGTTTGGATTGAATTAAAATATTTGTTTCTGTATTTATTGGTAAAAGTATTTCTTAAGTAGTTGTATGTTTAAACCACATTTCCCTTTCTTCATATTGTGAAGCTGAACAGCCTTTTAAAAAATGGTTTCTTCCAATTTAGTTCCTCCTCTATTTAAAGCTACAGTGTGTAATTTTCAGCGACATCTAGCGGTCAGACTGCAGACCGCAGCAACATGAACATCTCCCCCCCACCGCTTCTCCCCCCCAACAGTACGGCGAGCGTTACGGGACAAAATTTCTTCCACGACGTCCGCATCACCTACCTTCTCAAGTGATGAGGTTTGTTTACATAGATAATTTTACAGATAGTATTTCATTAGTCTGTGTAGGGTATAGATTTCATGTAGACTTAAGATAATAAATATACCCGTTATTTTTTCTACATCGTTGTGACGTTTTGGTGAGCTGCTTTGCATGGTGATATAAACAGACGAAGTAATTGTAGTCATTAGTTTAACAGCGAGATTGTGTTCACTGGAAGAATATATATTCCCCGTTTACAGAGTCTAAGTCATTTTGGTGGCACGGGGGTTACAACGCGAGGAAGAGGGAGAGGACGAGGGCGAGGGCAGGGAGGCCGTGCAGCTAGGGCCAGGCGAGAGAGGGGAGCCAGCGGGGTGAGAGCAGAGGAGGAAAGGCTTGAAGATCTCCAAAGGAGCTGGAGAGAAGTAACCGAGGTATATATCCAGAAAATTATTTTACAGAAAATTACTGAATCATTACCTGTGAAACGTCAGGGACGTTGCTGAATAAGTATACTGGAGAGGAACAGCATCATCACGCCGCAGCATGTTATTGTTTTAGACAGGTCTGAGCATCCTGTACTCCAAAAACTGCAGTGATATTAGACAATTGTGTGTGTAGGATTAATTACCTGTCCAAGAGAAAACTGGCAACTTGAGCGTCACTTTGAAAACCTTTTTCCTCCATCAGTGACTTCCATCGTGTAAATGCCGTGCCAATGTTGATCCGTGTTTTTTGTCGTTTCTTGTCACTCTTGCGTTTATTCTCGTCGTGTTTCCGCTTCTTAGATGACGGGGGTTCGGTGTCCGCCGCTTTTCGTTGTGATACAGAGTAGACATGATCCTCCATTCGTCTGATGTTTGGCCAAACAGTTTGCAAAGTCACTCACGCCTGCCGCCTTGTTCACCTTTCTTGTTACTGAGGCGCAGTATACCTGCTTCTTCTTCTTCTTTGGTTTCAGGCAGACTAAACGCTTCTCAGGCATAATACTGCCATCTACTGTTCAGTACCGTCTCAGTTCATCTCTCTCAACTTGCCGTAGTTATTTTTGAGCGTCATGGGAGATCTCGCAATCGCTAGTTTGTTGCCTCTGCGCTTGCCGTAGCGCAAAGATGTCAGCCTCCATGGCTGCGAGACCCGCTCCTATGTAATTATAAATAACGAATTCTAAGGCAACGCAAATATTATGGTTAAAAGGCTGAGCTCATAGGTGATGATAAATAACATAGTTATGTATAATATATTAAATTTCTGACTTTATATCCCTGTAATTATTACACACTGTAGCTTTAAGAAACATGTCTGCCATTGTTCTGGGTTGGTGTGGTTTGGTTGATGTCCTGCACAAGAAGAAAATTAAAGTTTTGTCTGCTTCTTTCAACCAGTTTGGGTCCCGCCTCCAAGGCTGCTTGGCCTCCTGACAAGCATGTGACAGTCCCTTACAAATGGAGGTCCTAAAAGTAGCAGCAGCAGCAACCCAGACTGACACAGTTCTGGAGGGCTTTACCGTATTAACAGGAGAAGCAGCGCAAGTGACTTTTAGATAATGTCGTTGGACAACATGCGGTAATTTATAAATGTTTTAATCAGGTTGGGTCCTGGATTAGCCAGCAGGGGGGTCCGGATCCGGACCGCGGTCCGCTTATCCGTAACCTCCGACCTAAGGTTATGATGTACCAAAAAATACTTTTACTTTTCTTTTACTCTCAGGGTGTTTTTCATGAATTTCTTATAGAAGCACTTTTATTATTTTTCTTAATATATTCGGGCAAGTTGGCGTTTCTTGTTATTGAATTGACATTAATTTTTCCCACAAAATATCCATATTTTTTTTACGTTACACAGGTAATAAGGTCTCCTCCTGGATTCCAATAACGTTTTATTTCACTCAGTGCCCTATAAAGGGTTAAAGGTAATTAGAAACCCCACTGACCTCACTGCTGCCAGCCGCACTTTAATGCTGGACTCTGATAGGCCGCTAACTATTCGGTCCATCATGTTTTCCGTCTCTGTGATCTGAGGAGAAGGAAGAGCGTGGATCAGAACGTCTGCCACTCGTATGCAGAGAAGATTAAAACAAAGTGAACCTTTTTCCGGATGTCCTCGTCGTTTGAGCCCAGGGAGGCGTAGAGCTTGAAAGCAGCTTGTCTCAGCTCATGTGCATGTTTGAGGTCATGGTCCAGCTGCAAAGGACAACAGGCATCATTATTAACCACAAAAGCAATTAAAAAAAGTAAAAAAACTAATTAGGGAAGAAAAAGAGAACGGAGATTAAAAGAGAAGGTCCAAAGCAAGCAGTTTATAAATGAGCTTTCTAATTTATTCCACAGTAAATAGCCCATTATCTGTATTCTCAGTCAACATCCTGTTCGTTTGATGGTGAAGTTCTAAGTGTTGCAGAAATGAGGCTGATCCTTTAAATCCCTGTTTTTAGTCTCTGTGTTTATTTTAACTTTGGCAGATTCCTTGAACAGTACCACGGAGTATTAGGGCCAGGCTAGAGATTGTTATTTGTATTTCAATAATAAAGTCATAACATTAGGAGAATAAAGTCGCTACAAGCATGCTTAGTGTGAGGGATTGCTGAAGAGTCAATGAGTCGATGCAATCAACTGGTTTTCCTTAGATAGAAAACTTTGAATCAATCTGACTGGATGATCTGGTTGAACTGGAAAGTGACCTGAGATGACATGATGTGAATTGGAGCTATAGAAATAAACTGAATAGAATTAAATGTTAGGCAGCAAAGCATCTATTCCAGGGGTCGGCAACCCCAACTACTCAAAGAGATATATTGGAGCTGCAAAAATGTAAAAGCCTTATATCAGCCTTGTATAGCAACACAGGCTCTAAATGTTTTATCCCACTATAGAAAAGGACTATATGGGCTTAAATATATAATAAGCATTAATGATTAAATGTTTATCCTGAAGCAAATGTCACATAGTAGCCTGAGGTGACGGAGGAACAGTGAACCTTCACTGTGCGGTTTAAGTTTTCTTGCAATGATGAAATTATAGAAACACAATAAATGAATCTTTCTATGGTGGAAGCATTTCTGTTGGGAGGAGTTGATTGAGTCATGAGGAACCAAGCAGGAAGTGACATCAGAGCTGTGCTCTCTAACCCTGAAATCTCACATCCTCCGTCACCATCATTCCTTGGTCTGATTAATATTTATAGGATTCGGGGGAAAAATGGAAGAAAGTTCAGATACCTGCATCAGAGTGCTGCCTGTTTGATCTGTGGACGGTTTTCCATCCTTGCAGCAAAACTAGCAGCAGTGGTGGAGATTGGAAAATCCAATCCACTTTTTAAATCTATCTTTGCTCTCCTCTAATTTATCCTGCAATCGCACTTTTTCTCTCCCTCCCAGCTTGGCGGTCAGCTGCAGATTTAGCCTTCCCTGGAAAAGCCTTTCCAAATTTTTTTTTTTATTTTTTGACACCCTCTCATGACGAAGCAAAAACGCAGGAAATCCTTCTGCATTGATAATGAAAGCAAATGATTCGGTCTCTTTGAATCCTCATTTCTTATCAACCATTTTCCTTTTTTCCCTTTGGGATTCATATTCCGAGACACACCTGCAGCTTTGTTAGCCTGGCACCGCGCCGCGCTGGTTCCAAGTTAGGATCAATGATCTCTATGGCTATGACGCCAATTGTTGTTTACATTTATTTATATTACAAATGTTTACAGCATTGGAAAACATGAATTTTTGTTTGACCTCCTGCACACCATATTAAAAGAAAAACAAAAAACAAAATAGATTTTCATAAAATTTGTGAAAAAGCTCCAGGGAGCCACAAGGGGGCGCTTAAAGAGCCGCAGGTTGCCGACCCCTGATCAATTCAGACCCACTGACCCACCCTCTTGATGTCGGTGATGGCGGACACAGAGCTGGGGTACTTGAAGTAGTCGGCCAGCATGGCCACCAGGTGGTCAGTGGTGCTGGCGATCCTCTGCAGCTCCACGTCAGGCTCCATCAGGTAGGCGAGGGTTTCTGCACCCTCCACCCTCTCCTCCAGCAAATGCTCTTTACTGCACATTCGCACGAGGCAGGGCAACGTCTGAACAAACAACAGGGAGTCATGTCACACAGGAACGGGTCACCGCTTGTAGTTAGAGGCAAAGGAAGCCCCACCTTCAGCACTATGCAGCCGTCGTCCGTCCGGATGGCTCCTGCTCGACACATGTAGGTCAGACTGGGACAGAGACGGGAGGCCGACATGAAGTGGTCGTGCACGACGGATACGTTTATATCATCGTTTAATTTGATCGCTCACCATTTGGCTGCCGTTAGCTGCATTTCAACAGGCTGATCCCTTTGCATCATCCTAACAAATACCTGAGGGAGCTGCTCGCCGTCCACCAGCACTGGCATCGACAAAACAATCAGATTTCAGTGGAGGAGACAGATTGGACGGAGAAAAAAAAACAGGAGTCAAGCTCACCATTCACCAGCGTCATGGAGACCAGAGTGTTCTCGTAGGCCAGGACTGAGAAACATTTTAACGCCTGCATCCGGACCTGTGGAGGGAATGAGGGTGATCTACGGAGCGGCGACAGCGGGAACCGGTCAGGGGGAGAACCTACCTTATAAGAGGATGAAATGAGCAGCGGGGCGATGTTCTGGATGGCACCGTGGTTGAACAGAACCGTCTGGTGCTCCGGGGTCTGCAAACAGAACGACAGCCACCGATTGTTGGTCTGGCTGCACGGCAGTCGGCTCCACAGAGTTTGCGTGTGATCAAATACCTTACAACAGTGGGAGAAGATCTGGGTGATGTACTCCTGGGTTCTCTGGGAGTTACTCAGCAGAGACATCAGATGAGGAATCACAGTGGGGTCCTTCAGGGAATCACAGCGTTCCATCAGACCACAGTTAAAGCAGTGACAATTCATGGGAATAAAACAGAGACAGGTTACAGGGTGACCTACAGTATACAGCAGCTGGACAGGCGTCACAGGACTGATGAAGACGGTTCTGAGACATCGAAGACAGGCTTCAGTGAAGACCAGATCTGGACACAAGAGACCTGCAAAGACAAAAGGATCAGCGTTCTGCTCCTGTCCCCTGATCAGCATGCAGGGCACTGTGGGGGGGTGGTTTACCTTGGAGCAGGGTGGGGATGATGTGACAGTCCACCAGGGACTTGATGTTGTTCTCCGTTCCCATGGCTAAGCTGCCCAGAACCACGGCGCACTCGGCCCTCAGCTGCAGGCTGGAGGAGCTTTGCTGGAGAAGGTAAAGCAGCCTGGAGGCAGAAAGAGAACAAACTAAAGCTCCTGTCACACCTTGACCATTTAGACCAGCGTATACCTGACGTAGGAAAATCCTGGCAAAAACACTGGCTTACGTTGGATAAGTTATGAACACGCTGAACTACGCTGGCTTACGTAGACATACAGCGAGAACGTTGAGACGTACGCCAGCGTCTGCCATAAGTGGGCTATCAGCTCCAGGTCAGTTACCTGATGGCTGACATCCGTTCAGTGTCAGTTCCTCATCAGTCGTGGCGTCTAGCTGATCCTAAACCTCTGAGTAAATTTGTGCATAACTTCTGCGTAACTTATCCAGAACTTCTCTCCAACATATCAACGTATCTGACGTGTTCCAGACGAGCGCTGAACGTGTTTCTAACTTCCAGCTACTGTATAATGGCGTATTGGCAGCGTTTTGGTATAAAGGGGGTTCACAGGAGGAAACCGTCAGTTCTCCTCCAGACTTCATCCCCATCATAGGGTGAGCCAGAAGGGGAGTGATGGATCCTCCCTGCGTTCACGCCCACTATCACTACCCGATCCGTCCTGCGCATGTGCATCCAGATATACAGGTGCTGGTCATAAAATTAGAATATCATGAAAAAGTAGATTGATTTCAGTAATTCCATTTAGAAAGTGAAACTTGTATATTATATTCATACATTACATACAAACTCATATATTTCAGATGTTTATTTTGTTTAATTTTGATGATTACAAATGACAACAAATGAAAATCTCAAATTCATCATATCAGAAAATTAGAATATTACTGAAGACCAATAAAAACAAAGGATTTATAGAAATGTTGGCCAACTGAAAAGTATGAACATGAAAAGTATGAGCATGTACAGCACTCAGTATTTAGTTGGGCCTCCTTTGGCCTGTATTACTGCAGCAATGCGGCGTGGCATGGAGTCGATCAGTCTGTGGCACTGCTCAGGTGTTATGATAGCCCAGGTTGCTCTAATAGTGGCTTTTAGCTCTTCTGAATTGTTGGGTCTGGTGTATTGCATCTTCTTCTTCACAATACCCCATAGATTTTCTATGGGGTTAAGGTCAGGAGAGTTTGCTGGCCAATTAAGAACAGGGATACCATGGTCCTTCAACCAGGTACTGGTAGCTTTGGCACTGTGTGCAGGTGCCAAGTCCTGTTGGAAAATGAAATCTGCATCTCCAAAAAGTTGGTCAGCTGCAGGAAGCATGAAGTGCTCTAAAACTTCCTGGTATGTGGCTGCGTTGACCCTGGACCTCAGAAAACACAATGGACCAACACCAGCAGATGACATGGCACCCCAAACCATCACTGACTGTGGAAACTTTACACTGGACTTCAAGCAACGTGGATGAAGTGCCTCTCTTCTTTTCCTCCAGAATCTGGGACCTTGATTTCCAAAGGAAATGCAAAATTTACTTTCATCAGAGAACATGACTTTGGACCACTCACCAGCAGTCCAGTCCTGTTTCTCTTTAGCCCAGGCAAGACGCTTCTGACGCTGTCTGTGGTTCAAGAGTGGCTTGACACAAGGAATGCGACAGCAGAAACCCATGTCTTTCATACGTCTGTGTGTGGTGGTTCTTGAAGCACTCACTCCAGCTGCAGTCCACTCTTTGTGAATCTCCCCCACATTTTTGAATGGGTTTTGTTTCACAATCCTCTCCAGGGTGCGGTTATCTCTCTTGCTTGTACACTTTTTTCGACCACATCTTTTCCTTCCCTTCGCCTCTCTATTAATGTGCTTGGACACTGAGCTCTGTGAACAGCCAGCCTCTTTAGCGATGACCTTTTGTGTCTTGCCCTCCTTGTGCAAGGTGTCGATGGTCGTCTTTTGGACAACTGTCAAGTCAGCAGTCTTCCCCATGATTGTGTAGCCTATAGAACTAGACTGAAAGACCATTTAAAGGCTTTTGCAGGTGGTTTGAGTTAATTAGCTGATTAGAGTGTGGCACCAGGGGCCATCAATTTGGAACCTTTTCACAATATTCTAATTTTCTGATATGATGAATTTGAGATTTTCATTTGTTGTCATTTGTAATCATCAAAATTAAACAAAATAAACATCTGAAATATATGAGTTTGTATGTAATGTATGAATATAATATACAAGTTTCACTTTTTAAATGGAATTACTGAAATCAATCTACTTTTTCATGATATTCTAATTTTATGACCAGCACCTGTACATCCGGGTCACCCTCGATTTTATTTTGTTAAAAAGACCTAAATTAAGTTTTTTCCCTCCCCAAAAACAGTAAGCGTTCTGAACTATAATGTGTTAAAGGTGAATGTATTTCCTGGGAAAATAAATGCATTAAAATCCTTTCTGTTTTATCACTCTCTACCCGATCTGCACCGGAAATGTGATCCACAAGCTAACTTTTTTGGTTTTAGATTTAAACATAAATCTAGTCTTATTGAGTTTTATTCTTTCCTTTCGTGTTAACATAATGGTATATAGTGCATAATCCAAAGAAGGAAACCATTAAAACGCAGATAAACATGATTTAATCAGATTTACTGCTCTGAGCGTGTCCCATGATGATGTCAGAGAAGCTGTTTAAGAAAATGTAAAAAGCATAAAAATTGTCTCAAGTCATAAAACATTTTTTAAAGGTGTGTATTAGCATTTCTTAGTGAGTTAAGGATAGAAATAAGTAATTTTAGTGCCATAATTACATTATTTATGGACACCTGGATGAATATCTGTTTGCGCAGGACGGATCGGGTCGTAACACCAACGACCAACAAACTTCCTAGCAGACATGACGATGAATCTGCTTCAACCGCAAACTTTCTTTTTCTCTTTTATTTTTTGGCAGGCAGTTAACAGCAGTTAGGTTAATACCAGGATCAAAGAAATCTTTTCCTGCAGACCGGGCGCATCGCTGCTCCTGAGGGGAGCAGCTTCAGCTGATGCTTCATAATGCTTCCTGGGCATTATGCTGCCGTGCGTTATGCAGAAGTTAGGCTGTTGTTGGACAGAAGTTCTGGACTCGTTATGAATCGTCCATATATACGCCAAACATTGAAAAAAATCCATAGAAAGTTCAGGTATGCCAGCGTTTTAGGAGATTCTGGGACGTCAGGCATACTTCTAGTTATAATAGTTAGAGGATGAGGGCGAGGATGTCAAATAAAGACTAAGATGTTTAAATAGTCAGGAGTCAGCAGAGAGAAGATACAGTAATCTGGTCCCTTTAACCACAGAGAGAATAATCCAGCAGGTTAAGCTCGTCTACCGGCACCTTCAGCTGCTTCCCTTAAAAAAGAACTGGGTGGAAATGCTGGGGAGTACCTGGGTACCGCTCCGAGGACGATCAGATTGGCCTTTTGCTTGTTGTTTCCGATCACAGCGTTCTTCATGTCACTGATGGGGAAAAAAGGAAATACAATCAAAACAACGGAAAAGGATTGATCTCCTTTCCAGATTTCCAGTCTGTATGGAAGCAACCCCCCCCCCCCCCCCCCCCCCATTCCATGGTATACATTAAAATAAATAAATTTTATTTTCCATTGAATTTCCTGATTACCATATTTCCTAAAACCCCTGAACTGATCGTTTGTTATTTTCTTTCTTTTTTCTGTCTTAATGTTGGCAGTGGGCTTTAGGCTGCCCTGCAAGGCTTTAAACCTGGGTTTAACCAGAGACTAAGCCATTCTCAAGCACATATCAAGGTGCAACATGCTGTAATTTATGAATGACCTAATTTATGAATGACCTAGTTGGGTCCAGATTAGCCAGTAGGTGGCTAATCCGGTGACCTCTGCTATAGGTTCTCAGACTGAAAGCTTTTTTTATTTTATTTTTATTTAGAAAGACAGATTTCCATTACATCAGTAATCACAGCTTCATCCATTTCAGATTATAACTGAAGATATGAGCAGAAAATCCAAGTGATTTTGTCCATGTTGCCTTTCTGGTATTTTTACTATTTTTGAGCTTTTTAAATATGCTGGTGAAGATTCTCAGTCATCCAGGTCATAGTCATTCCAAAAAAAGCTATAAAACACTCCACTGGACTTTGTTTCCAAGTTTGAAGACGTTTCTCTTCCATCCAGGAAGTTTTTTCAATTCAAAATGTCAGAAATGGCGTTTAGTTCCAGGTTTTATCCAGCAGCCCAACAAAGCCTGGTTTTAGTTTAGAAAACATGCAAATAGAAACGGATGAACGGGTCCCCCCCTTTGGAATGGGGGTCGCTTGGCTTCTTTGTTAGTCTGCAATGCCCCATACCTGTCTATGTCTCTGAAAGGGGGGTCGTTAGAGGGAATTGTTGGCCTGGATGAATAGGTGAGGTCTTCTGTTCCCCTGTAAATGGGTTTAAAGTGAACAAGATTTTGAAATGAAAAAGCTTCCTGGATGGGAAGTGAAATGTCTTCAACCTTGGAAACAAAGTCCAGTGGATTGTATTTAACTTTTTTGGAATGATAATGACCTGGATGACTGAGAATCTTCACCAGCATATTAATATGTAATCAAATTAAAGTCCAACACTCAGGTCTGCTCTCTTATTTCCAGGTATGAACGATGCAACGTTTCCCCCGCTGGGCAGGTGACCCGGATGATAGCAGACAGCCGCTGAATTAAGGTGGTGGAAAAGTACGGCTGGAGTCGAGATAGCGGAGCAGTACGAGCCGGAACTACAGCTGCTAACCTCACAGGATAAAAATAACAAGGAAATCGTCCGAGGACATGTCGTCTGCCTCATGCTGAGCAGCAGAAGAAACTCTGAGTATCAGATGAAAGCCTGAACGTGTAAACAGAGAGAGCCTTTAAATCTTGTTTATTTACAGTGTTTGAGCAGAAATGTTTTTTTTTTTCTGTAGGAACAGAAATCAGTCCAAAAAGGATGATAAAGCTTTTAAAAAAATACAATTTCAAAAATATTATCATGGGAACCATTGGACATTTAAAAAATATATATATTTTTCCTCTTCTTTGCCTTTCCTTTTTACCTTGAACATTTCTTTTGTTTTTTTAACTGAATGTCTCTTTATAAAGAGTATTTTTTACCTTACTTACTTTGAAAGTCCTTCTCCGATCTCTTTTGAGATTTTATTCCACGTTATGCTGGTAAGGCTCCTGTCACACCTTTAGGATTTATCCAGCGTCTGCCCGACGTCCCAGAATCTCCTAAAACCCTGGCATACCTGAACTTTCTATGGATTATTTCTATGTTGGGTGTATGCATAGAGGATTCATAACGAGTCCAGAACTTCTGTCCAACGACAGCCTAACTTCTGCATAACGCACGGCAGCATAATGCCCAGGAAGCATTACGAAGCGTCAGTTGAAGCTGCTCCCCTCAGGAGCAGCGATGCAACTTCTGCATAACGCACAGCAGCGTAATGCCCAGGAAATGATGCACAAGCATCATTTGAAGCATCATCTTCATATTAACCTAACGGCTGTTAACCGCCTGCCAAAAACAAATAAAATAGAAAAAGAAAGTTTGCAGTGGAAGCAGATTCAGCGTCATGTCTGCTAGGAAGTTTGTTGGTCGTTGGTGTTACGACCCGATCCGTCCTGCGCAAACAGATATTCATCCAGGTGTCCAGAAATAATGTAATAATGGCACTAAAATTACTTATTTCTATCCTAAACTCACAAAAAATGCTAATACACACCTTTAAAAAAATGTTTTATGACTTTTGTGAAACAATTTTGATGCTTTTTAGATTTTCTTTGTTAAACAGCTTCTCTGACGTCATCATGGACACGCTCAGAGCAGTAAATCTGATTAAATCATGTTTATCTGCGTTTTAATGGTTTCCTTCTTTAGATTATGCACTATATACCATTATGTTAACACGAAAGGAAAGAATAAAACTCAAAAAGACTAGATTTATGTTTAAATCTAAAACCGAAAAAGTTAGCTTGTGGATCACATTTCCGGTGCAGATCAGGTAGAGAGTGATAAAACAGAAAGGATTTTAATGCATTTATTTTCCCAGGAAATACATTCACCTTTAACACATTATAGTTCAGAACGCTTACTGTTTTTAGGGAGGGAAAAAACTTAATTTAGGTCTTTTTAACAAAATAAAATTGAGGGCGACCCGGATGTATATTCGCAGGACGGATCGTGCTTCCGGGACGGATCGGGTAGTGATAGTGGGCGTGAACGCAGGGAGGATCCATCACTCACCTTCTGGCTCACCCTATGATGGGGATGAAGTCTGGAGGAGAACTGACGGTTTCCTCCTGTGAACCCCCTTTATACCAAAACGCTGCCAATACGCCATTACACAGTAGCTGGAAGTTAGAAACACGTTCAGCGCTCGTCTGGAACACGTCAGATACGCTGATATGTTGGAGAGAAGTTCTGGATAAGTTACGCAGAAGTTACTCAGAGGTTTAGGATCAGCCAGACGCTACGACTGATGAAGAACCGACACTGAACGGATGTCAGCCATCAGATAACTGACCTGTCATGAAATACGGGCATGCTTAAAATGGACGTATTTTAACACGTATGTCGACGTGTTTCAGCGTACTCATAACTTATCCGACATAAACCAGCATTTTAGCATTTTTCGAACGTCAGGCGTACGCTGGTCTTAATCATCAAGGTGTGACAGGGACTTAAAAGCCTGAGCTACTTTAAAATAATTAACATTCAAAGGATTATTCGCTTAAATTCATCATAGAGAGATTATCAAAGGTACTAAGGATTCTGTCAGAAGTTATTTATATTTTAAAACAGAAGAATTAGTCTGATGCTTAAGTGAATAAATGCAGCTCTGTCAGCCTTACATGACTCCCTGCAGCACCTTCTGTGGGTCGGGGTCGAACAGACGGTCCACATAATGGCGACTGGTGGCGGTGACTTCCTGCATGGAGACAAAACCAAACATTTTAGTAACAAATCCCCCCCTAAAAAAAACCAGCACGCTCACAGTGCTGTGCTGAAGTATTCACAGCTTTGCTTACATTTGGCCTCAAATTAAACATTTAGAGTATTTTAGGGGACCTGAGTGAAGCTGCGCCCCACCACCACCTTCTTGAAATCAGACAAAATTAGTGTCAAACGTTTGTGCTGGTTTGTGCAGAAAAAAAATTAGTTTGAGCTGCTAACGTTTTAAAGATGTTTCTAGAGGTCATCAAAGGTCAACCAGCCCCCCCACCTTCTTCAAATCAGACGAAATGGGTGTCAATTAACTCAGCTCCGTTTGTGCAGCAAAATTTTCGTTTGTGCTGCTTTGGCTTTGAAGATATTAATGAAAATGTAAAGGTCAAAAGGTCAACCAGCCCCCCCACCTTCTTCAAATTAGACTAAATTAGTGTCAAATGTTTGTGCTACGTTTGTGCAGCAAAGATTTTCGTTTGTACTGCTATGATATAAATTTAAAGATATAAAGAAATGTTTCTAGAGGTCATCAAAGGTCAACCAGCCCCCACCCCCCCCACCAACACCACCTTCTTCAAATCAGACGAAATGGGTGTCAATTGTAGAAGCCATCAAAGTGAACATTTGTTCATTTTGTTCATTCTGAAAATCTGACTTTCATATAAATTATATGTTACTAACCATGATTACATAATTTTAACCTGTAAAAAATGTTGGCGGCAAACGTTTGACACCAATTTTGTCTAATTTGAAGAAGTTGTGGGGTGGGGGAGTGTGTGTGTGTGGGTGCTGTTTGACCTTTGATGACCTCTAGAAACATCTCTTTATATCTTTAAAATGGTAGCGGCACAAATGAAAATTTTTGCTGCACAAACGTTTGACACTAATTTTGTCTAATTTGAAAAAGGTGGGGGGGCCAACCTTACTCAGGTTTATAGGGGGGTTATTTATGTCACCAACACAAAGTTGTCCATAAGTGTGAAGTTTGAGGAGAATCAGTTATTGCCCTCAAACCCATTTTAAAAAGCTAAATCTTAAAAATGCAGCATGCTAATTTAGTCAGCGTATTTATTCAGAAACCCCAAAATAAAATCTTTATACCTTTATTCAAACAGTTATTTTAACAGGCAAGTCTTTAAGAACAAGTTCTTATTTACAATTGTGGCCTGACAAGTGGAGTAACCACTTAGGAAAAAGGAAGTAGGGCTAAAATAAATACATTAGTAATACATAAAAATAAAAATAAACAATTTAAAACACAACAGACAACCCAAAAATGACTGTAGAGAAGCAGCTGCAAGTGTCTGTGAACAAAGATGCTCTAGTTGAAATGAGTCTATCCAGTTTAAGAATGTTTTGCAGAGCGTTCCAGTCACCAGCGGCAGTGCTGGTTTTAGGAGTAAGTAATTGTAGATGAAGTGAGGAGCGGGTGTTGGAAGTGACAGGCTCTGGCTGCAGCAGGTGACCTAAATAAGGTGGTAATCTAGATGCATTATTCAGAAATCACCTGTTATGGTAATAAAACCTAAATGTTTCCTTTATTATCAGCCTTTCTCTGAAGGCCTCATTACCGAAGGCTCAGCAAAGATCAGGGACAAACTGGGCTACAGGATTAAAGGAAAAGTCGCTCATATTCAGAATCCAAACTCCTGAAAGTTCTTTAAATCTGAAATGATTCCATCCTGTTCAATAAATGTTTTTAATTCAGAGTAATTTTCATGTGAATGTGCTTTACTGGAGGCATCCATGTTTGTCAAAGAACACTACTGCCACCTACTGGTTAGTGACGTCACGGTGCGGTATCGGCTGTTGATCAAGTCCCAGTGCTGTATCTGGTGTTTGTCACAACGCGCTATTATCCAAGTCATCTTGAAAACATTCTTCTTCCAAATGTTGGCTACATATTACGGGTTTTTTCTCTGGCCAGAAGTTCGATGGCAAATCCTCCCTCTTCAAGTTGGCGATCCAACGACCAACCCGTCCGTGGAGGATCAGGAATCAGAAAGGTGGAATAACTCTTTTTTTCACTTTTACCCGATGTATTCCAGCATCCAGCTGCCATGCACGTGGGCATTGTCAGTTTCACTATAGCTCTGGTGAATTTCAATGGTGAAGTCCTCTGGAAATCTTCAATAATTGTTGTTGATTGCAGATGTGTCTAGTAGTTCCCATTGATTTAGCTTGGAAAGCGGGGAGAATGGCGCTAGGCTTACCGCACCGTGACGTCACTGCTGGAAGATGGCAGGAGGGAGGGGCTACTATATTTGAGCAAAAATGGCCGCTCCCAGACTCAGTGATCACAACAGAAATTATTATTTTCATGTTTTTTACTGATTAACACTAAATTCATGAAATCACAGCAAACGTTTTAGTTTTAGGTATAAATAATGATCCATTGATTATTCCTTGAAATCCAGGTGGATTTCTTACACTGGTTCAAAAGCAAACTCAATGATTTTAATGTGATTTCAAGATCATAAAGCTCTGAAAGGTATTTACACAATTAGACCGGACTTTTCCTTTTAAAAAAACTCAATAAATCTGACCCATATGGAAGAGCGGTAAGCAAAATAATAAAAATCAGTTTGTAGTTTGCTTTATCTCATGTAAGGAACAAAACAAAACATATGGAAAACGTTGCTCCAGTTTGATGACCTGAAAATTAAACTCTTTAGTTCCTCGTCATGCTCCTCCATCTCCCACTGTGTAACACAGTAGTGGCAGCATCATGCTGTCAGATTCCCTCCTTTGGCTGAGACTAGATATTTAGGAAGATTTAATGTCTGTCTGTGTCTCTCTCTCTCTCTTTTTTTATTTATACAGTTTTATGTTTTGTTTTACTTTTTTTTTTTGTCTTTACAGCACTTTGGTCAGCTGTGGTTGTTTAAGGGCTTAACAAATAAAATTGGATTGGAATGTTGCTGTTTTTTTTTACTCTGTCACTTATTCTATTATTGTTATGCTCTTTTTAAAGATCCATATCTGTGTGATCACTTTAGCTCTAATCTTTTGCTGCTGTAACACCTCAATTTACCCGCTGTGGGACAATAAAGGGAGTTTCTATTCTATGTAGTGTATATCTGCTGTTTGTTCAGTAATGTCCTCCAAAGCTCTGATGCCTTCATGAATTGTTATATGATTTACGAACAGACTGACAAACTAAACTGAAAACTTATAAGCACATCTGTCCATGCAACACATCTGCAAAATAAAATCTTTGATCTTTAATCATTAAAATTAATCAGGAAATGTGGAGCAGCCTCAAGGCAAAATAAACGTTTCAGCTGAGTGGACTGTTTTAATATCAGATTTGTTTTAATTTTCCTGTTATGTCATCCTGTTGCTCTCAGTTATCACTCAACTTATTAAGTGTTTGCTGTTCTACCTGTAGTTATTTTCTATAAATAAATTCTAGTCCACAAACATCCTTATTCACATCTTCACTTCCATTTTTCTGTTTTATGTTCGCATTAACGGATTGCATCTAAAATTATCAAACATGCTTTCCATTTGAATGAAGAAATAAAATAATGCATTGCAGCAAACAATGGCTTAAATCACATTACAGGTCATCAATTTATTTTATATAAATTCCCCATTGGGATTAATAAAGCATTTTTGAATTGAATCAAATCAGGTTCAGTTTAGTCTGTGATGATTTTAAACGTCCAGCAGGTGTCAGTATTCAGTGACACAGAATCAATACAGTTTGCTACCCTGGAAAAGTGAAGCCACCGTCCGCCATGCTGGTACTCCCCACTCCCACAGAAACGTGCAGTGAGAATGCCTCCCTGTGCAGCATTTGACTGCAGGAAGACATTCCTCAGGTCATTTCCCAGTCAGTGGATGAACTAACCAATAAATCCATCTATAGCGATGGATCCTATAGTTTAGTCTGTAGACTAACATTAGTCTGGCTATCTCAGACTGACTGGAAGACATTGGCTGAGTTAGATACTAACATTGGGTCTAACGTTAGAAAATAGAAAGTAGAGGAAATAGAAAGTAATTCACTGTGAAATTTCAATGTAGTAATTCTTTATATACTGGATGATGCCGTTTTTTTTTTGGTGTTTGTTGTTTTTCACATTTGAAAAAATAATTTGCTGAAATATATTGCATGTTATATTGATTAAAAGAAAGCAACTCAAACATTTTTAAAGGCTAATGCACAAAGCATAATTGATATGCCATCATGCATGCAGAATTTGCAATTATAAATAAAAGTCTTAATTCCCCCTGAAAATGAGAACATCATCATTTTCCGATGCTGCAGCACACATGTTTACATTGCGAGCGGTCTAACAAGGGAGTACCAATATGGCGGGCCGGTGGCTTCACTTCGATCCCGTACTACCAACTGACGATCAGCAATCCTGGTTGATGACGCCTCATGAACCCATCACAACATAACAGAAAAAGGAAATAATAGTCAGGAGGGAAAAGATCTCTGCTCATGTTTTGGATAAATTGTGTTTCTTTTCTATGACAGTTTTCTAAGAAAATACAAACATCTGTGCACATCTGGGCAAACAGGGCTATAAAAATTGGGTTAATTTAAATCATTCCCTGGGGGACTTTTTTTATTTTATTTTTTTAATTCTCTCTTAAACGGGCTGGACAAATAAATAGCATTTAAGTAGTATAGCAACCAGAGGTGTCAAGTAATGAAGTACAAATACTTTGTTACTGTACTTAAGTACACTGTTTAGGTATCTACAGGTGCTGGTCATAAAATTAGAATATCATGAAAAAGTAGATTGATTTCAGTAATTCCATTTAAAAAGTGAAACTTGTATATTATATTCATACATTACATACAAACTCATATATTTCAGATGTTTATTTTGTTTAATTTTGATGATTACAAATGACAACAAATGAAAATCTCAAATTCATCATATCAGAAAATTAGAATATTGTGAAAAGGTTCAAAATTGATGGCCCCTGGTGCCACACTCTAATCAGCTAATTAACTCAAACCACCTGCAAAAGCCTTTAAATGGTCTTTCAGTCTAGTTCTATAGGCTACACAATCATGGGGAAGACTGCTGACTTGACAGTTGTCCAAAAGACGACCATCGACACCTTGCACAAGGAGGGCAAGACACAAAAGGTCACCGCTAAAGAGGCTGGCTGTTCACAGAGCTCAGTGTCCAAGCACATTAATAGAGAGGCGAAGGGAAGGAAAAGATGTGGTCGAAAAAAGTGTACAAGCAAGAGAGATAACCGCACCCTGGAGAGGATTGTGAAACAAAACCCCTTCAAAAATGTGGGGGAGATTCACAAAGAGTGGACTGCAGCTGGAGTGAGTGCTTCAAGAACCACCACACACAGACGTATGAAAGACATGGGTTTCTGCTGTCGCATTCCTTGTGTCAAGCCACTCTTGAACCACAGACAGCGTCAGAAGCGTCTTGCCTGGGCTAAAGAGAAACAGGACTGGACTGCTGGTGAGTGGTCCAAAGTCATGTTCTCTGATGAAAGTAACTTTTGCATTTCCTTTGGAAATCAAGGTCCCAGAGTCTGGAGGAAAAGAAGAGAGGCACTTCATCCACGTTGCTTGAAGTCCAGTGTAAAGTTTCCACAGTCAGTGATGGTTTGGGGTGCCATGTCATCTGCTGGTGTTGGTCCATTGTGTTTTCTGAGGTCCAGGGTCAACGCAGCCACATACCAGGAAGTTTTAGAGCACTTCATGCTTCCTGCAGCTGACCAACTTTTTGGAGATGCAGATTTCATTTTCCAACAGGACTTGGCACCTGCACACAGTGCCAAAGCTACCAGTACCTGGTTGAAGGACCATGGTATCCCTGTTCTTAATTGGCCAGCAAACTCTCCTGACCTTAACCCCATAGAAAATCTATGGGGTATTGTGGAGAAGAAGATGCAATACACCAGACCCAACAATTCAGAAGAGCTAAAAGCCACTATTAGAGCAACCTGGGCTATCATAACACCTGAGCAGTGCCACAGACTGATGGACTCCATGCCACGCCGCATTGCTGCAGTAATACAGGCCAAAGGAGGCCCAACTAAATACTGAGTGCTGTACATGCTCATACTTTTCATGTTCATACTTTTCAGTTGGCCAACATTTCTATAAATCCTTTGTTTTTATTGGTCTTCAGTAATATTCTAATTTTCTGATATGATGAATTTGAGATTTTCATTTGTTGTCATTTGTAATCATCAAAATTAAACAAAATAAACATCTGAAATATATGAGTTTGTATGTAATGTATGAATATAATATACAAGTTTCACTTTTTAAATGGAATTACTGAAATCAATCTACTTTTTCATGATATTCTAATTTTATGACCAGCACCTGTATACTTTACTCCATTACTTATTTTTTTTCCAAGGTCTGACTTCTACTCATTACATTTTCACACCAGTATCTGTACTTTCTATTCCTTACATTTCTAAAACAAACGTTACTCGTTACTCTTGGCTTCGGTTTAATGTTTCTAAATCTTTATTTCCCGTCATGTGCTCCATCCAATGCAGATCATTGGCTCCACCCACATCTAGTGAAAACTAGTGCGATTGGATGAGTCACAGAACGCAAACACTCATTGGTTAGCTAAAGGAAATCATCAGAAGCAAGCAGGTGTTCTTCAAACTGCTAACGTGAATTGTCTATGCCATGCTACAATGTGGGATTCAGAAAAAGATGTTGAAATGTCTGAAAGGTCGGACACAGGCGAGAGCGTATCGGGAGGAGGGCGGCAACCTGCGGCTCTTTAGCTTCCCCCTTGCGACTCCCTGGAGCTTTTTCAAAAATGCATGAAAATCCATTTTTTTTTTTTTTTTTTGTTAGTTTTAATATGGTGTGCACGAGGTCAAAGAAAAATTCAATATGTTTTCCAATGCTGTAAACATTTGTAGAATAATTACAGTTAAAACATGATTTGCATCATAGCCATAGAGGTCAGTGGTCATAACTTGCAAGCAGCATGGCACGGTGCCAGGCTAACAAAGCTGCAGGCGTGTCTCAGACCATGGATCCCAAAGGGAAAAAAAGAAAGATAGCTGATGAGAAAAGAGGATTCAAAGAATGGAGCGAATCATTTGCTTTCATTATCAATGCGGAAGGATTGCCTGCATTTTTGCTTTGTAATCAAAGGTTGTCAAAAAATAAAAATAAAAATTTGGAAAGGCATTTCCAGGGAAGGCTAAATATGCAGCCGAACATCAAGCTGGGAGGGAGAGAAAAAGTGTGATCGCAGAACTTCTGGATAAATTAGAGGAGAGCAAATATAGATTTAAGAAGTAGATTGCATCTCCAAACACCACTACTGCTGCTAGTTTGGTTGCAAGCATAGAAAACCGTTCATAGACCCAACAGGTCGAGCTCTGATGGAGGATGGGAACTTTCTGCCATTTTTTCCCCCAAATCCTAAAAATATAAATAACACCAAGGAACGCTGCATGGTGACGGAGGATGTGGGATTTCAGGGTTAGAAAGCTCTAACCAAGTTCCTGCTTGGTTCCTCAACTCCTCCCAACAGAAACACGTCCATCATGGAAAGATTCTTTTATTATGTTTTTATAATTCCCTCAATGCAACAAACCCTAAACCGCACGGGGAAGGGCGGTGAGAGTGTTCACTGCTCCTCCCTTACCTGATGTGACATTTGCTCCAGGATAAACATTTAATCATTAATGCTTATTATATATTTAATAAGCCCACATAGGCCTTTTCTATAGTTGGATAATAGACCTAGAGCCCGTGTTGCCATACCAAGCAGATAGAAGAATTTTTAATTTTTGCGGCTCCAGACAGATTTGTTTTTTTGGTCCAATATGGCTCTATGAGCAGTTTGGGTTGCAGACTCCTGGTATAGGGAGACGGAGACCAACCAGACCTCCCTCATCCTTGTTTTTTTTTTACTTTATACTTTTATACTTTAAGTAGTTTTTGGAGCACATACTTTTTCACTTTTACTTGAGCAATGAGGTCAAGTTGATACTTCATCTTTTACCAAAGTGTTTTTAAACTGCAGTATCTATACTTCTACTTAAGTAACAAAGGTGTGAACTTTAGACATCACTGATAGCAACACAAAAGTGAGCATCATATTGACCTTTTCAAACAAAAATCTGAAAACGTTATTCCTATTATTCCAATCAGGTTTTAAAGACCATTTAATGCGGCTGCATGTGACACCAGAAAACCTTGTTTATCCCACTGACTGATTTGAGCAGAACTTTCCACATGACCCCAGAGAAGCAAAGGTCCACCAGCTGACAGCAGTGATACTGTTGGTGGCTGGTGCCAGCACACATGACATGACTGCACCTGCAACATCATGGCTCTAAACACGCCTGCTTCTTGCTTTCTAACCTACATGGATCCCCTACTGTTGCAATATTTATATGACATAAAAGTGTTTATAAACACGCAAACAATTTTACACATTGATTCAGTGTGTTTAAAATTTAAATCTTAAATTAGCTTATTCAAATGCTTTATGACTTACTAAATTATATCAAGCACTCGTTATTTTTTGTTGCAATACGCAGAAATGCCATTTTTGCTTATTTTCTCATTTTCAGTGAGCAAAGATATTTTAGCTGTGTTAGCTTATTTAAATGTTGCTAACAGCCGTTAGCTTCAGAAGAAAAAGTGAAGAGCTGTAAAACTACGCAGACATTGTAGTGATTTAAAACAAACGTTAGCAGGTAGTTGGGCTAACAGCTGACCCAGCGGCTGTTTGTGTCCAAGCTTTACTCGCTCTGTAAACATGTTGGAAGAGTTTAAGCACTTTCCCTTTGCAGCTAGCTGCTAACTTCCAAATGACACTGACATGACAGCTCTGGTGGACGCTTCATTTGATTTTCAGTGCGTTCCGCTGGGGCGGGCATGCGCGAGACAAATGGCTGAAAAGAGAGTCCTTCTGATGTTTTCCACCCGCCAAAACAAGGAGGCGATGAAAAACGTTCCCACTAAGCGCTATGCAAAGCGCACAGCTACATGCTGCTGAGCCCCCTTAGCATGCGAGCTAATAGTGGAGTTGTGCCCTTCCTCGCTTTTTATGACACATTCCCCTGGAATAAATGGATTAAACCCTGGGGGAAGAGTAGGGAACCCGGCTGAAATTAAGAGAGCGACACTCACAGATAGAACACTGATGCGGAGAGGGGCCTCCAACAAGCACGCCATCTCTCTTCCTCCAAGCGGGCGCCCCAATCGGCGCAGCACTTTGCGGACACTCCGCCCCCCAGAGCAACTGCGAGCGGCTTTAAAAAGTAACTGAGGCTCGGTCCTGAAGTTCTGCTTTCCTAATAACACATAGTATCCTCAGTGGCGGTTGGCTGTGAAATATCTGTGGATAGTAGCATCGATAACACTACTGGTTGGTGTTAGCAGCTGTTGGCATGAACACGAACCAATTAGGTAATGTTGTTTATAAGTGTACGCGGTGTCCTACTTTTCAACCAGATTCGATACTCCTCCATATCAGCCACAAATAAAATACATCATATTTAATTCTATCATCATCAAAATTCACCTTTTTATTATTGACATAAAACAAAATGGTAACAACATGAAAATAATAAACTTAATGATAGAATTGTGGTGTGTAAAAAAGTGCTCGTGTATGCACTATTTGATGCGATTGTCGTAATGCAAGGTGGAAAATTCGCTCAAATCGGATTCGCTGGATTGGAACCAAATAAGCATTTTAGAACATTAGTAACTATGGTCTCTTCGGGGACAGATTAATCTTCAACAACATTTCTCGTATTTTTAATTTATCGACATCTCTGCTATTGTTGTCTACTGTTTAAGTTTACAAATGTTACTGAACGTGTTGTTGCTAATCGGCTTCGATTTGGAAATTTTTAAACAATTGTTTCTTAACTTATCCTTAGAATGCAAGCAGCATTCTGTTTGGTTACATATAAAATTCTTCTTATTATTTCGGCCCTGAATCAGATATGTTTAAATTAGCCGCATTAGAAATTTAAGTAAATTTTGTTTGTTTTCAAACATCAAATGACACCGAAATTATTCATGATAGAGACTCAGGCAGGGGGTGTTTCACTTAGGCACATACTAGCAGCTGCTAGGCCCATTCCTGAGCCATAATACTCTGTTTTCAAAATGCCATTCAGACGTGATAATATTAGTGTCTTCAGTGTCCCCATATTTGACTATCCATTTGCTTGCACATTTCATGAAGGTTCCAAACTAGCGCAGCAAACCATTGAAAACAAACATGCAAAGACCCATGTTTGCCAACTTAGCTATTAGTCGCTAATTTAGCATTTTCGACCCTCTAGCACTTTGTTTCTAAACTCATACGCAAATCTAGAGACTTTTTTTATACTGGAGACTTGCAGAAACTTAAAGCAGCTGAACCTGTCTCAAGTGTTAGATTGGTATACCGCTCTGCTCTCTCTACTCATTGTCAGCTGTCAGATTCATTGCGCTATATTTCTCCAATGAAATGGTAGAACGATAACAATCAGGCTGTACTACAGTTGATAAAGAAGGACTGGTTATTTACTTTGCCATTTTGGAAAACAAAGGCATCACTAGTCAGTTATGCTTGGAATCATCTAGTAAGATTTGAATATACTGATAGTAATTGTTTAAATGTACCTGTACTGAACTACTATCAATGATGAAAGATTTATCCTGCTTCTTTTCCATGATTGTCATATCTACTGTTGCTTCTGGTAAAATCCATGGCGGTATTACTGATGTTGGTGTTGTATGACTAATTTCCAGATTATTCATGTTAAATTCTTTTATTTTATTTTCAATTGTCCATCCAAGACTCCCCATATCTTTTGTTTCTTTTTCCCAACATGGTTTTAAAATTTCCATAGCTGGATGATCTGAATTATTGCTCTGCAAATTTAACCAATAATTTAATTCCAACCTTAATCTTCTTAATTCTAATGGCATTTCTCCCATCTCTACTTCCATTGCTGCTCTTGGTGTGGTTTTAAACGCTCCAGAACACAATCTTAATGCTTGATGTTGAGGCTCGGTCCTGAAGTTCTGCTTTCCTAATAACACATAGAAATCCTCCGTGGGTTCGGCTGTGAAATCATCTGCTGGATAGAGATCATAACACAGCCTGGTTGTGTTAGCGAGCTGTCTGACAGAACACTGAACCAATTAGGTAAATGTTGTTTATAAGTGTGACGCCGGTGTCCTACTTTTCAACCAGATTCGATACTCCTCCATTATCAGCCTCAAATAAAATAATATAAATTAATTCATCATCAAAAATTCACCTTTTTATTATTGACATAAAAAACAAAAATGGTAAACAACAATGAAAAATAAAACTAAACATTCAATGATAGAATCTGCTGGTGTGTAAAAAAGGTGCTCGGGTGTTTGCAGTATTTGCGCATGCGCATTGTGCGGTAATAGCAAGGTGGGAAAATTCGGTCTATCGGATTCAGCTGGAATTGGACCAAAATAATGCATTTTAGAAGATATTAGTAACTCTATGGTCTCTATCTGGGGACAGATAAAATCTTCAAACACAACGTGATTCACGTGAGTTTTTAATTTACCGAATCTCTGCTTGTGTTGTCTCGTGTTAAAGGGTACAAATGTTAGCTGAAGCGTGTTGTTTGCTAAATCCGGGCTACGATTGTGGAAATGTTTTAAATCAATTGTTTCTTAACTTATTCCTTAAGAAATACAAGCAGTCATTCTGTTTGGTACATAATAAAATAATTTTCATATTAATTCGGCTGAAGCAAGATAGGTTTAAAATTAGCCGCATTAGAAACATAAGGTATATTTTGTTTGGTTTTCAAACATCAGAAAATGAACGAAAATTATTCATGATAGAGACTCAGGCAGGGGGGGATTCACCATTAGGCAATACTAGGCAGCTGCCTAGGGCCCCAAGTTCCTGAGGGCCCCATAAAACTCTGTTTCCAAAATGCCATCAGAACGCTGATAATATTAAGTGTCCTTCAGTGTCCACCATATTGGATCAGTCCATTTGCTGCACATGTTCAGAAAGGTCCAAACAGACAGCAGCAAACCATTTGAAAACAAACAATGCAAAGAGCAGTGTTGCCAACTTAGCGCTTTAGTCGCTATATTTAGCCACTTTTCAGACCCCTCTAGCACTTTGATTTCTAAAAAGCTCCTAGCGCCAAATCTAGAGACTTTTTTCTGCTACTGGAGACTTTGGAGACAACATCTAAAAGCAGCGAACTCTGCTCTCCAGAGCGAGTAGATTGGTAACCCCGCCTCCTGCTCTCCTCTATCTTGTCTGCTGTCATGATTCATGCAGCTATTATTTCATCCAAATGAAAAATGGAGAACAGATAAGCAGATCATGGCTTGTCTACAGTGAAAAGAAGGACTGGGTTATTTACTTTGGCCTTTTTGGAAACACAGGAAGGAGCAATCAGCTAAGTGAGCTTAGTGCTTGGAAAAAATCTTTCATTCCTTTAGAGACAGCATGAAAAGTCAGCTGAGTACAAAACATAGAGAGGAAAACAAGAAGAAAAGGGACAAGAAGAGAGGGACACAACCTAGAACAGATAATGGATGTCTATTCTATTAACATTTCTCTATCTGGAGAATGGGGCTGTGTTCTCTATTTAAAGGGCCCAATATTTCCTAAATCCGCCCCTGGACTCGGGCAATGATGGTAAATTTTATACTCACAGGAGGATTGAATAGAATAGAAAATCTGTTTATTGTTCCACAACGGGGGAATTCTGGTAGCAGAGAAACGGCTTCTTCTCCTCAGTCTGTCCTGGATGTTATCCTTAGATTGAAGCGACGCCTTTTCTGAACTACTGTACTTCTCAGAGAACAGGCTTCCTGCTGCCCATTAGAAAATTGTGTTTATTATTAAGTAGCTTCTTTAAGATAATAAAACACCACATAAATAACATTCATTTTAACCAGATCATTGAACCTTGAGGATTTTCATCGCCGACTCACAGCGTGAATCTGATCTTTCTGAAGTAATCTGTAGTGCCCGGCATGAAGATCGCAGTCGAAGGCTGCTGTCATGGGGAGCTGGACAAGATCTACGAGACGATCGAGTACCTGGAGAAGAAGGAAGCGATCAAAGTGGATCTGCTGCTCTGCTGCGGAGACTTCCAGGCGGTGCGAAATGAGGGAGACCTGAAGTGCATGGCGGTACCTTCCAAGTACAGGACGATGCAAACCTTTTACAAGTCAGTGTTTTGGTTTTGCGACGAAGGGGATAAAATGTTTGAAGCAGACGTTGTTGAAAGTTGATGTAACATTTTCAGATATTACTCTGGGGAGAAGAAGGCTCCGGTGCTTACCATTTTTATCGGAGGGAACCACGAGGCTTCCAACCACCTGCAGGAGCTGGCCTACGGAGGCTGGGTTGCACCCAACATATATTACCTGGGTAAGGAGCAGGTGAGGGTTAGGCTCCTGTCACACCTTGCTGATTTATCCAGCATTTGCCCGACTTCCCAGAGTCTCCTAAAACGCTGGCATACGCTGAATTTAAATGTATTTTTTTCAATGTTTGGCGCATACATAGAGTATTCATAACGAGTCCAGAACTTCTTTCCCACGACAGCCTCACTTATGCGTAACGCACGGCAGCGTAACGCCCAGGAAGCATTACGAAGCATCAGTTGAAGCTGCTTTCCTCAGGAGCAGCGATGCGCCCGGTTTGCAGAAAAAGATTTCTTTGATCCCTGTATTAACCTAACGGCTGTTTACCGCCTGCCAAAAAATAAAGAGAAAAAGAAAGAAAGAAGGTTTGCAGTGGCAGCAGATTCAGCGTCATATCTGCTAGGAAGATTGTTGGTCGTGGGTGTTATCCTTAACTCTCTAAAAAATGCTAATACACACCTTTAAAATCTGATTAAACCATATTTATCTGCATTTTAGTTGTTTCCTTCTTTAGATTACACATTATATACCATAATGTTAACACGAAAGGAAAGAATAAAACTCAAAAAGAATAGATTTATGTTTAAATCTAAAACCTAAAAAGTTAGTTCCTGGAAGTAGCATAGGATCCCATTTCCAGTGCAGATCTGGTAGAGAGTGATAAAACAAACGATTTAAAGGCATTCATTTTCCCAGGAAATACATTAACCTTTAACACATTATACAGGGTTTCAGCGGGTCCTTAAAAAGTCTTAAAAGGCATTGAATTCTTCAAAATATAACTAAGGCCTTAATTGGTATTAAAATGTCTTAAATCAGTCTTTCGTAGGTCTTAATTTTTAAAATATCATAAATAGGATTATTTTTAATAAGATATATATTTGTAATCTAAATAAAACATTAAAATTGACCTTTTTTTATTTAAAAAAAACTAATGTCTCGCCATTATTGGTTCCGTCGCCATAGCGGAATCAATAATAGCGTTGTTGCGGCCGGGACATTTGGGAGATGCGCTATTAACTTTTTGTCTGGAAAATATGAGCAAGTGTAAATGTAACGTAAAATTGTCTCCAGCCAAGAGTTTTCTCCATGGCTAAAACCAGGGAACATACATGAGGCTCAGTGGATTTAGTGCAAGAAGTCCTTCAAGCTCAGAACGATGGGAATTAAGGCAGTGGAGTCGCACATGCGAAGCACGAAACACAAAGCGTCAAAATTACAGAGAAACAGCCGGTATTTCTCAGTTTAGTTCCACCCTTGTCTCTGCAACGCCTCCACTTATCACCAAATCAAACATACTAAGAAAACCATACAAAGAAAAATAGCTGCAAAAAAGACTTAGCGCTGGTTATGTTGGGGCTTTAAAACTGATTTGTTTTGTTCCCTGCTAAAACAAAGTTTGTGAATTCATTTAAATAATTGTTCAAATATATCTGTCATTTGTGTGTTTTTAGCTTTCTTCCTGTATGGGAAGCTTTTCAAAATTTGAAACATTAGTGCAGTGGTTTATGTTAAAATAAACCTTTGGGTTTAGTTATCGCAAACAGGTTTTTCTTGTGTTTCTTGTGAATTTGGTCTGAAATTTTTATTTCAAGTGGCATTAAAAAGTCTTAAAAAGTCTTGAATTTAACTTGCCTTATGCTGTAGGAACCCTGTTATTTCTATCCTTAACTCACTAAAAAATGCTAATACACACCTTTAAAAATGTTTTATGACTTTTGTGAGACAAGTTTGATGCTTTTACATTTTCTTCGTTAAACAGCTTCTCTGACGTCATCATGGGACACGCTCAGAGCAGTCCAGCAAAATCTGATTAAACCACGTTTATCTGCGTTTTAGTTGTTTCTTTCTTTAGATTACGCACTATATACCATCTCACTCACCTTCTGGCTCACCCTATGATGGGGATGAAGTCTGGAGGAGAACTGACGGTTTCCTCCTGTGAACCCCCTTTATACCAAAACGCTGCCAATACGCCATTATACAGTAGCTGGAAGTTAGAAACACGTTCAGCGCTCGTCTGGAACACGGCAGATACGCTGATATGCGTTGGAGAGAAGTTCTGGATAAGTTACGCAGAAGTTACTCAGAGGTTTAGGATCAGCTAGACGCCACGACTGATGAGGAACTGAGACTGAACGGATGTCAGCCATCAGATAACTCACCTGGAACTGGACACTGAACGGATGGCAGACGCTGGCATACATCGGGAAATATGAGCATACTCAAAATTTCTTGACGTACTCGCCGTATGTCGACGTGTGCCAGCGTGTTTCAGCGTGCTCCTAACTTATACAAAACATACTCATAACTCATCCAGCGTATGCCAGCTTTTTGGTGCGTCAGGCATATGCTGGTCTAAATCGTCAAGGTGTGACAGGAGCTTTAAGGTGTCTGCTTGGGCCTCTGATATTCACTAGCATTAACTTGGTCATGTGACTGTAGGTTACGCCGGTGTTGTTCGCTACAAAGGGATCCGGATCGGTGGCCTGTCTGGAATCTTCAAATCCAACGACTTCAGAAAGGGTCTGTTCATTTACACGTCTCATCTCTAATAGTTTGACCTTGGTGTTTGGCTGACAGAGCATGTTTTCTTTAAGGTCACCATGAATTCCCGCCGTATGATCAGGAAACTCTTCGGAGCGTTTACCACATCAGGAACATCGAGGTGTTCAAACTCAAACAGGTACCTATCTACGTCACATTTGATGTTTATTGATTCCTTTTCTGTCTGACGGATCGATAACCGTTTCAAAACAGGTTCAGATGCCCATCGACATTTTCCTGAGCCATGACTGGCCCAGAGGAATCTACCACTATGGAAAGACGGAGGATTTGTTGCGTAAGAAGAGGTTTCTGCGCCACGAAGTGGAGACGAACACGCTGGGAAATCCGGCTGCGGAGGAGTTGCTGGCTCATCTCCAGCCCAGCTACTGGTTCTCTGCACATCTCCATGTAAAGTTTGCTGCTGTCATGCAGCATCCAGTAAGTGACTCAGTCTCTGCAGCTTGACTTAAAGTTGCTCCTCTAAATGTCGGTCCAGATGCAAACCTTTTGTCTCTGCTCTGTAGCCAAAGGGAAATGCAGCCCCACGTGTCACTAAATTCCTCTCTCTGGACAAGTGTCTCCCCTACAGAGAGTTCCTGCAGGTCAGAGGACGTTTGCCTCGTATGTAAATGGTTTTTTATGCACGGGTTCACTGTGGTTCAGTATCGCTGCGTTTGTTTCAGGTTGTAGATGTTCCAGACAGACCAAGTTCATCGGAGGGTCTGGAGTATGATCCAGAGTGGTTTGCTATTCTAAAAGCCACCGACAGTTTGCAAAACACGACTCGTCAGCGCTGGAACCCCCCAGAGAACAACGGCCTGCATGAACGGTACACAGATGCTCACAAACACACAGACTGGCTGGATCCAGTGGCTCTGATAACTTCATAGGTCGGCTCCCTGATCAGAACCTCAGAAATCTGAACCTTTACAGCGACGTTACCACTTTCAAAACCGCTCTTTAGTGTGATAGCGGTTACTGAGGGAAAACAGCAGGGTGATAAAATATAAAGTTAGAAGCTCTTTGAAGGGATGGGTTTTCTTCCTGGTTATAAAAAGTATTGGATGAGGAAGCATCGGCAAAATCTAAGCTCATGTTGTCGCTTTTACTCCTAGCGTTAGGGATGAACTTAGATGGAAATTCTTAGCCGAAAACAAAAAATATGGAAACAGAGGCTGAAACACCAAGAACAATTCTGTCAACTATTAGAACCATAGCTCTGATGTGTACAACAAACATTTACAGTCGAAAATATTCATTAGTTGAATTTTTGGTGCATCCCTACTAGTAATAAAACCATTTCAATTCTATTCAGTTTATTTCTATAGCTCCAATTCACATCATGTCATCTCAGGTCACTTTCCAGTTCACCAGATCATCCAGTCAGATTGATTAAAAGTTTTCTATCTAAGGAAAACCAGCTGATTGCATCGACTCATTGACTCTTCAGCAATCCCTCACACTCAGCATGCTTGTAGCGACAGTGGAGAGGAAAAACTCCCTTTGAACAGGAAGAAACCTCCAGCAGAACCAGGCTCAGTGTGAGCGGCCATCTGCTGAGGCCCACTGGGGTTCAAGGAGACAGAAGCAGGCATAGAAAAAGAAGCATAGATACAAAAGGCAACTGTCAACCAGCTCCACAGGCGGCTCCGTCGAGAATAAACGAAAATACAAGAATAAAGTCGCAACGTAACGAGAATAAAGTCATCATTAAACAACCAGTTTCAGAAAAAAAAAAGCTTGGAGCTCCGCCCAGCAGATGACGGCCGACCAGCTCCACCAATCAGCAGCCAGAGTCCACTTTGACATCCTGCCCTTTTTGATGCTGCTGCTAAAAGATTTCCTGATTTGTCAAACCGACCCTAAAGTAGAACTTCACATGATGGTCCACATTCCTCATTTTAGGGAAGAAAGGGCGTCTTGGAAGAGTTGTCATAAAATACAACTTTATTCTCGTCATTTTATGACTTTATTTTCGTAATAATAATAAAAACTCTCTAGCCTGGCCCTAATACTGCGGAATTTCCTGGGTCTCCACCATAGAAATATTTTTGTCTGTTCGTGTGTTCAATGATTTATATATAAATATCTTTCCAATTCAACTGGATAAGGTTAAAAAAGCAAGAAAATGTCAAAATAACTAAATTAACAAAGTTCTTATTTTTGTAGTATTGTTTGTGTTGATCTTCCCTTTGCTTTTGGAACACATAGATTGACCACTGGAGGCTGTAAGCAAACTTTTAAATGTCTATTTTATTTTCTTGGGGGTGTTTTTATTGTCGAAAAAGCAGGTTTCACAGCATGACGCTGTGTTTTTTTAAACTTTTATGAAAGCTCCAGAGTCACATTAAAACAGAGACCGATAATGTTGGATTAACCAAAAACAAAATCACCCAAACATTCTGATAAAACACGGTTTTCTTGGTCTTTAATTGGGGATAAGGCAGATTTAAAGGCGCGCCGTGTAACGTTTGGCCACTCGGGGCGCTAGTCCTGTAACTTTCATGTCTAGCACCCCGAGGAGCTTTTGTTTGTGGCCTGCTATCTTCTTCTGCACGTATTTTGATTCTACTAAACATAGAAAATAATAACCCAGATATCTGACTGTATACTAGGAGCAAAGTATTAACTTACCCGTCTAATAATAAAGTAAAGAGAATCGGTTTTACATCCGGCTTCCTCTTTCAGCCTGCGCCGACGAACAAACCAATTTCCATGATCGACTCATTTTTCCTCGCATATGATCCCTTTCCCATTTCCTCTTTTTAGCCTCAGAAGGTTTAAACTTTTTCCTTGCCTCAGCCATGACCAGCAGGTGGGAAAATAGTAGAGCTAAAGCCTTAGCTCCATGATGACATAAGAGCCTGCCGCCGTGAAGCGGAACGTTCTTCCAGGTCAAATGACCTGACCAATGGCAGTGCGTCGTCTCCCAACTTACACAGTCAGTATTTAAAGATAGGAGCCCTGCTGGTAGCAGTGATGGTGTCATGCGCTGTATATTGGCCTGTGGAATCATTTAAAATTTAATTTAAGTGATCTCTAACCTAAAATAAAATAAAATCAGGCAGCTCATATGTGCGACTCGCTGTTCCTGAAGGCTTTGAATAAAACGTCCGGAATAAACTTCCTGCTGTGACGGTGCAGGTCTGAGCAGACTGACAATCATCTGTAGGGCCCTATAAAATCAGTTTTATTTTTTCCCAAATTCCGTTTTTTCCGTTTTAATTTTAGAAAATTCCATTTTTTTCCATTTTATGTATTTTTGCGCTTCCAATCAAGGGAATGTTGACAAAACTTGCAAAACAATAGTTCACCTGACACGTAAAAGTCACGAGGGAACTGCTGGGCTCTGTACTCGGGGCTTAGCGTCGTGTTTCTCAACCTTTTCGCCGAAAGCGGAGCTGTGGAGAGCCGCTTCGCCATTTTTTCAATGTTTTGATGCGGTAGGGTGAGCGGGAATGACGGATCGGGACGGGTTGTGTCGCCCAGATTTGCGTCCCCCGGTGTGCATTTCCCCACGATGTACGTTCTTCTCCCACACAAAAACAGAATTTTATTTCAAATGTAGAAATTCCACATTTACACTAGATTCCATCCTTAATTTGCCAATTCCGTCCGCGATTCCGTGATCACGGAAATTATAGGGCCCTACATCTGTCCTGATGCTGCTGGTTGAGCTTTGGACTCTCTGTTCCTCTCAGGTGGGACTTCAGGGCCACCGAGGCGGATATAATGCAGGTGGTGGAGGATCTCAGCGGTGACCTGGGCGTTCCAGACAACTTCAGCCGCACCGTGCCTCCATACGACCCCAGCCGCCCGCAGCCCGGCGCTCCCCCAAGCTACAACACCAACCCACAGACGACGGAGCTCTGCGCCAAGCTGGGCCTCACAGACATCTACTCTAAGGCTGGGCAGCGAGGCGATGACACGGGCAGGTCTCAGAGCCGCACCGGAGACGACGGCGACGAGGAGGAGGAAACTGATGAACCCAGCGAGTATCCCACTGATACCTCTGGCTTGTCAAGTTCTTTTAACCCTGATGAGATCACCATCGAGGACGAGTGGGAGGAGGAGGACGAAGAGGCCGGCGGCGAGTCAAAGGCGAAGGAGAAGCCAGACTCACCGTCTGCCATCAAAACCCCAAATCGGATGGTTCTGCCTGAGCCCATATCAGGTGCCTCCCCCTCCCTCCGCACCTCCCTGATGAACCTGCCTCCTCCCTCCCACTCCACCCCCAAAGCTGCTCCGGCTCAGTCGAACCCGGATCACGAAGGACGGTGCGACGACGCCGAAGAGGTCGCTGCTGCTCACATCCTGAAACGGAGCAGCAGCGAGAGCGCCGAGGCGGGCAGCCGAGGCGTGACTCCACGAATCAAACGCAGGAACCAGGTCATTTACCAGACCGCGGACGACGACGAGGGTTAGCGCTCTGCAAACCGGTGGTTCTTTTTATGGTTTTTTTTAAACGAGGCCATTTTAGAAAACATTTGGAGTTATTTTGTATCGGACATTTCTGATTTATAACATGGATTAAAGAGGCTGATTTTTTATTTTTCTAAATTAATAACATGAGCCTTTTGGTAAAAAAAACTAAAACATGATATTTTTAAACACAGCTGCTTATTGGATACAGGATATTAATAACTAAAGCAAAGGCCTCACAGATAAATGTCTGTAACTAAAGCACTGATGGACATTATTATGCAATAACTCATCAACCTCACCTCATGTGGAAAAATAAACTTCCAGACACTGAATAATGCATCCGTTAAAACTGGTTTAAATCCTACTTTCTATTGAGCTTTGAAATAAAAGGAAAACAAATCAACCATTTAGCTTTTATTCCTTCTGTATATTTAAACACGGAGTGTCTCCTACCAGTTTCATAAAATCACAATCCAATCGGTTCCTTTAAACCATTTCTTCTCATGTAAAGGCCTGTGTTGCCATGACAACAGATCCAGTTTGCTCTGAGATCTAATCCACCACTTCAGGTGGGGTTTGTGTCCCCATTTGGGAGCTTTTTTTGTTTTTAAGGAGGTAGAACTTGTTTTTAATCCTCCATAACACAGAAATTAGACCATCCACTTCTGGGAATCAAAGCAAGTGTCCTAAAATCTTGATATAATTCCAATTAATGCTAGTTATATTCCTCTGTTTAGCTTTTTTACAAACTAATGGTGGCAATTTTGACATTTTTACTGAAGAGAAAATGACTGAAAATGACTTCTGAGTTTCTAAAGTCTAAAAAAAAAAAATACTACTACTTCTTCCTCAAAAACGTCTTTTTTTACAGACTTAAAAACTTCTAAAGACGAGGGAAAAAATATTGATACATTAAAATATCCCAATATCTTCATATGCTGATATATTGCCATTTAAAAACATCATATCAATCTCTTTTACTAATGAAATATTGCTATATGTCATCGTTATGCTACGAAATCCCCCGAAAATTCACCAAATGTTGCCATATTTTTATATGTTGATATATTGACGCGGTATCGATCTATTTTACTAACAAAATCTCACAAGAATTTGCAAAATATCACGAGTTTGTAACAACGATGAAATTTCACCAGATTTTGAAAGTAAAATAGATCGATACCGCGTTTTTAAAAATCTATTTGATATCAGCATATGAAAATATATTTGAGTTTATTATTTTTCAGTGTCAGAAATGGATAACAAAACTGCTATTTTCAATGACTGCTTATTTTTGTCCAGCTTTAACATCGGTATCGATATCGGTTATCGGCTACATGAGTTTTAAAATATCGGCATATCAGATATCAGCCAAAATCTGAATATCGTGCATCCCTAATTTAGACAATTTAATCAGAAACCTACAAAGAGAAAAGTCATATGCTAATAGAAATTAACTGCTACAGAAAATAATTTAGCTGAAAGATAAAAAGCTGTTTATATTGTTTTTTACATTTTGTAACCATTTTAAATTTACCAAGGTAGTGTCCCATTAAAAGCTTAAAAAATCAGTCAGCAGGTTTATCTGCGTAATTTTTCCTGATATACCAGCTAACGTTAGCGGAGAGGCTAATTGCTAGCTATTTCCTCACTATTAGCTAATGTTATTAATGGCTAATATGCAAATGGGAACATCTTTTCTAGATGGAGCTAATTTTCAAATGTGATACTAGCTAAAGTTAGCAAATAATACCTGACATGCTAAGTTAGCATAGCAGTAATATTGAGCTAATGTCTTTAGGAGGGATTCTGTGAGATTCAGATGGTTTAAAACAAGATTTTATTGTCCAACTTTCTGAGACAGAACCTGCTTTTATTATATATTTCCAACAGTTTTTTTTTTATTATCAAAACTGCTTTCTTAATTTCTGAACTTCTCATATGTTTAAAGGAATAATCAATGGATCATTATCTATACCTAAAACTAATACGTTTGCGGTGATTTAATGAATTTAGCGTTAATCAGTAAAAAAATAAAAATCGCGATCACTGAGTCTGGGAGCGGCCATTTTTGCCCAAAAATAGTAACACCTCCCTCCTGCCATCTTCCTGTGTAGGTACCAGATCTGCCCGGGGCCCCGCCCCTTCTTATGACGTCAACATATGGCAACTCCACTCGCACCAGTTTCTTAAGGATCAAATCTCTTTTGGAGTCTCAACATATTACCTATATTTGCTATTACCCATCCATCCATTATCTGACACACTTGTCCCAATTGGGGTCGCGAGGGGTGCTGGTACCTATCTCCAACAGTCAATGGGCGAGAGGCGGGGTACACCCTGGACAGGTCGCCAGTCCATCGCAGGGCAACACAGAGACACACACACACACTCACATCTAAGGAGAATTCAGAGAAACAGTAATGTTTTTAGACTCTGGGAGGAAGCCGGAGTACCAGGAGAGAACCCACGCATGCTTAGGGAGAACAGGCAAACTCCATGCAGAAAGACCGGGCCGGGAATTGAACCCAGAACCTTCTTGCTGCAAGGCAGCAGTACTGCCAACCGTGCCACTGAGCAACCCATTTGCTATTATTTTACATTTCACTGGCGATATAAAGTAGCCGAAAGTAAAAAAAAAAAATAAAAATCATTTGTCAGTCTTGAAGGAAAGTACTGCGTTCTAAGACTGAGCTCTGCATTTTCAAAGTGACAAAAGTCTCCGCTTATTTTTATTCTTTTTAATAAGATCTTAGATCAGGGAAGGACAAATGGAACATCTTAATAAATGACTTTCGTAGAGATTTTGGACAAATAAAACTGTTGCTCTACTTGTAGAAAATGGTTGGTCGTTGGCAAGCTAAAAGAGGCTAACCTGTTAGCTACTGAGAACAGCTAGCTACAGCGCTACCCAGCTCTCCCCCTTTATATCATGGTCTAACAGTTCCTTAGTTCACCAGAAACTGATTTTTTTTTTTTTTGTTATCGATCCGGTAAAACTTCATCTGTCATTACGCTAACGCTACAGTTGCCCCCGACTCGCCACACTGATGCTGCGGGATGTTATTGTCTGTGCAACCACAATGTTTAACATCATGTGGCGACGTTCAGCCGATCATGTAGCGTACCGTGGCTGACAGAAAGCAGGGCCCCAGCAGATCTGGTAGCTACAGCGGTAGTGATGTCACGGTGCGGTAAGCCTAGCGCCATTCTCCCCGCTTTCCAAGCTAAATCAATGGGAACTACTAGACACATCTGCAATCAACAACAATTATTGAAGATTTCCAGAGGACTTCACCATTGAAATTCACCAGAGCTATAGTGAAACTGACAATGTCCACGTGCATGGCAGCTGGATGCTGGAATACATTGGGTAAAAGGGAAATAAAGAGTTATTCCACCTTTCTGATTCCTGATCCTCCACGGACGGGTTGGTCGTTGGATCGCCAACTTGAAGAGGGAGGATTTGCCATCGAACTTCTGGCCAGAGAAAAAACCCGTAATATGTAGCCAACATTTGGAAGAAGAATGTTTTCAAGATGACTTGGATAATAGCGCGTTGTGACAAACACCAGATACAGCACTGGGACTTGATCAACAGCCGATACCGCACCGTGACAATGTCACTAACCAGTAGGTGGCAGTAGTGTTCTTTGACAAACATGGATGCCTCCAGTAAAGCACATTCACATGGAAATTACTCTGGATTAAAAACACTGATCATTTATCGAACAGGATGGAATCATTTCAGATTTAAAGAACTTTCAGAAGTTAGAATTCTGGATATGAGCGACTTTTCCTTTAAAAATATTTCACTAAACCTCATTTCTGAAGTCAGATACAATAAGAGGCTTTATCCTCTACCCCTGAAGTCACCCTGTACTTCACTCTCACTGTGACATCTTTTTAATGCATAATTTCTGTTTCTTGTTTTTAAGTTTGCAATTAAATAAAAAATGAGAAATCACACAGAACACCAATGTTGGTTTAAATCAAATAGATTTATAACACTGATTAGAGTCCTTTGAACAATCCATTCCAAGTTCACAGGAGCGATCTGCTAAAATTAACCTACACTTTCATTAAAATAGGGACAATATACGACATACAGTGTCTGACTAAATCTCTTTACATCCATTCAAAGAGCCGTTAGTGTAGCTGAACAAGGCGTCACGTTGTTTTAAGTACGAGCCAGAGTCAGGGAAGTGCTTCTCCTGCACCCGTTTGCAAACCACACACCAAGGGGAAAGAAAACTGGGAGTAGGCACTTCTGTTCCACTATTTTCCTCTTTTCTTCAGCCAGGCCCGGCCGCTACCACGCACGCTTCACTCAACTCAAGAGCATTGTTTGAAAATAAGTTAATTCACAAAGCCATCCGAGATCACCGTGACAAGAGGGACGCCTTCCGGAAGATGGCCAGAGAAGATCCTACAGGACAACCTGGTTCATTCTAGATCCGTTATCCTTTAGGTAAATAAACAAATGTCACCATGGGGTTATCTGTGGACAGGATTTTCACATGCACAGAAGCACACATGGCCACTCCCCCTAAAAGATCTACTCACAGTACGATTCTGGTATCTAAACTCTTTGGGTTCCCTGCTGCAGGCGTTTTAAGATTGGCCACGTAGCATACGCTCCTCATCAACCCCATAGTGTCGTGGTAAAGTTTGCTTCTGTCTCTATTGTTACTCATGCACTACACTGCAGGGATTTTTAGACATTGCATCATAAATAGGTTATATGCAAACAGGTTGGGCTGTGCGAGCTTCCACCTCAGCTTCCTGGAGTCAATTGAAGATTCTATCCAGAGCGTAGGCCATGATTAGGACTGGCTGGAATGTTGCAGCCAAAACACGATGGAGGGTAGATGTTTGATAAAGCGGACACGTTTGAGAAGTTGTGTCATCGATGCTTCTCTGGGGGAAGCTTGGTGAAAGGAGTACGGATCATTCCAGGATGGCGGTACGGGACAGTGTTCACAGAAGAGTTGGATCAGTTCAAAATGAGGCAAAAGCTAAATCCACAAAGAAGGAGAAGAGGAAAGCTCCCTTTCTGTTGGTTCTCTCCTTTTTTAGGTCCACTCAAAAGCAGGTGATGTTCAGTTTGGGCCCTTTTTATGCAACATGGTGAAGGCAGAGAAAACACAGAAAGAAAAAAAACAAATCACCTTTAGTGCTAAATTCTACAGCAAGTTTTCCACATCCTTCGATTTTTTCCACTTCTCAATCTCTACGTTTGCCTCTGATTACCCAAAGTAAAGTCCTGAAACAAGCATGATGAGCAAACTTGTGTATCCGCCCTAAATTCAGCCGCTATCGTTGGAATGTCTTCCCCGTTCCTTGGAGTTGGCCAGGAGGATGGAGGCGGCGTGCAGAGGTGAGAGCTCGGCAGGTTTCCCTAGCTTACGGCTCCTCCTTTGCACGCTGCTTCTACATGACGCCATGATTTCAGGGCTGTGGCGATGGGGATGGCGGGGGGGCGGGGGGGTTGATTGGTCGTGGAGGGTTAGTTGCCGCCGCAGCAGGCTCTGGTGGAGTGGGCGTCCGGGTCCTGGAGGTTCACTCCCCGATGTCGTGCTGCATGCGTCGGGTTCTGGGTGTCTGTTTTTGGCATCTTTTTCGCTAAAGCAAAGTAAATTAAGGTTACAGATTATTAAAACGCTGCACTTTTATTCCAGATTACTAATCTACAGTGTTTAAGGAAGGTATGTATGTGAAGCAAGTGTTAAACATGTGTCTCACCAATAGCCAGGAAAAGCTCATTGACGTTCATGGCCGTCTTGGCAGACGTCTCCATGAAGAGCAGGCCTGTGTCCTCAGCATAAGACTGGGCCTCCTTCATGACAGAGGAGGATAGTTGGTCAGTAAAACCGCCCCTCTGGTCCCCATGAACAGCTTTAATGAATTCAGCCTAATCCCACTTGACCTTCTGCTTAGAAAGGTCTAACTTTGGGGGATCCACTCTAGAGACACAACCTCTCATCTTTAAAGGAATAGTACACCCAAAACATGATTAGCCTTCATTTTCTACTCACCCCCATGCTGAACAACACTCTGGAGTACTTTTTTGATATCTCAAATGCATCTGGAGATCTGGGAGGCTTCTTGCTGTCTGCTGACATTCAAATAATGGAGGTCTATGGCGCCCGAGGCAGAAAGGTCCATAAAAGTCCACAAAAAACGTGTCAATATTCCTCCATACTGCTCGTCCAATGTATTCCAAGTGTCCTGAGTGGGTAGCATCCAGAATTTACTCGAAACGAAGTCATTTAGAATGTTTTTAGAGCATAAACAGTAGTGTATAGGATTTCGTAAAAGCGCGTTCACGAGTCTACGGAAACCGCGGCAGACCAAACCAGATGAAAGTGCGCATTCAGCTCGGCAAAGAACTCATGCTCTTCCTCAACACTGAAGTCCTCAGACATTTTTCTTTCGTTGTTTCTTTCTTTGCGCAGGTAAACAGCACATTTCTTCTTCTACGCTTGCATTATCGGCAGAGCAGACGCTGAATGCTTACTTTCATCTGGTTTGGTCTGCCGCGGTTTCTGTAGGCTCGTGAACTCGCAGGCGCGCACTTTCAGGAAATCCTATACACTACTGTTTATGCTCTAAAAACATTCTAAATGACTTCGTTTCGAGTAAATTCTGGATGCTACCCACTCAGGACACTTGGAATACATTGGACGAGCAGTATGGAGGAATATTGACACGTTTTTTGTGGACTTTTATGGACCTTTCTGCCTCGGGCGCCATAGACCTCCATTATTTGAATGTCAGCAGACAGCAAGAAGCCTCCCAGATCTCCAGATGCATTTGAGATATCAAAAAAGTATTCCAGAGTGTTGTTCAGCATGGGGGTGAGTAGAAAATGAAGACTAATCATGTTTTGGGTGTACTATTCCTTTAAGAGGAAACATGGGAGATACTTTTATACAGATCTAACAATAATTTCACTGTACAGAAATTAAAAAGAACAAATCTATTTCTATTATAATTATAGTAGCTAATCATAGCATATTTTAAATAAAAACATGTAAAGCATATTAGATATAAGCGGTACAAATAGGACTTTATGATATTATAGGATGAGTCCTTGTTCTGTATTAGAGTCCATTTACATTTTATTTATTGTTGTTAATAAGTTTCCTTTTTTTCCATCCTTCCTAACATCTGTTCGCTTTGTTAATTTTCAGTTTCCGTGTAGAAATATACGCACCATTCTTGGTGCAAAATTTGTTCCCTCATTTATTGCAGCTGTTTTCAAAAATATAACATTGAGAAGTTTATTGTAAATAAAGACAAACAAATTTACAAATATGTTATTATTGTTCAATTCCAGGTTGGGGGCACCACACAGTAAATGTGCTCAGGGCCCCCTAATGGCTAGCACTAGCCCTGATCTTATTTGATATCTGAAAACGTGTCACAGGGGGTTTCACAGACTCAGTTCTCTGTCTAGCTTGCAATCAGACCTCCATCTCCTCATGTTGGGAAGGGCTGCTCAGACCGATTAGCCTTCATTCAATTCAATTCAATAATACTTTATTATTTAAAAAGGAAAAATTAAATGTTGCAGTTAGGCTTCTTGTTAGAGTGGCTCAGGTTATCCTGAGCTATCTCTATAGTTCTGCTGCTATAGGCTTAGACTGCTGGAGGACATAGGGACCCCTTTTTCGTCATTCTGCTTCATTCTATCTCTATTCTCCCACTCTGCAGAATCTGTTAGTTCAATCTCTAACGTTCTGCTCTCTCTGCTTTTTCTCATAGTAGCTTCATCTGGTCTGTTCCTGTTTGGCTGTGACTCCATCCTGGAGAGAAATATCAGCTGTGCTGCTGCCATCAACACCTTTGTTTCTAGATGTTGGAGATCGGCCTGTTTTCCAGTGTAGTCCTGTTTCTCTGACTGTGACTAACTGGATGTGCTCTCTTCATCCTCTGACATGGGAGCTGGCTCGGAGCTCGTCTGCCTGGCTGTGTGTTTCCTGGATGTGGGGATATGTTTACGTAAGGTCGTCCTACGTTCTCGTCCCCATTTCCACTTACCTCTGGTGAATCTGACATAGTGGAAAAATTGCAAATCTTCTTTTGGAAAGTAAGCTTGTATGAGCCATATATCAGCTTTAGCATGCTCTTTAATGCGTTTAATAGGCATTCATGTGTATTGTTTAAAAAAGAAAAAAAGTTGTGAAAATCCTCCCCTATACCTTTAATGTATAAAGTTAGCTCACAATCTTTTTTGGATAAAGCTTTTTTAAAGTTTTATTTCTGGGTTGTGTTCTTTACTTTGAACAATTATGGAGCAAAATGTACTCCATATTTTGACATATACAGGCATCACTCACTTTGTAGAAATGTAACATCTAAGATAGGGCTGAAACAATCGATTAATGGAGTAATCATCTAGTAATCGATTAATCGTTAACTTGAGTAAAGAGACTCTAAAACGTCTCTTTACTTCCCTGACTCTGGCTCGTACTTAAAACAACGTGACGCCTTGTTCAGCTACACGTCTAAAACGCCTTTAGCTGACAGAGCGACCCACTTAGAGCAGGAACTATATCAAGATTTTAAATAAATATATAAACTTTTTGCATGTAAGATTAAAAAAAAATCTTGTTCGCCTTAATCTGCTCTATCCAGAACACCTGGATTAATTTAGTAATGATCTTAAAGAGAGATTTGCTATCTGATTATTAATCTATTAATCGAAAAAATAAACGACAGATTAATCAAGAAGCAAAATAATCGTTAGTTGCAGCCCTAATCTAAGAACAGGAGTTGAACAGAGGGCATCAGACAGAGATGGGAAAGGAAGGAAGCCAGCTTAATGGTTTCAGTAAAAGTCTGGTTACAACTGTGGAGGGAACCTGTCATCAAACTCCTTAGAAAGTCAATTAAATAATATCATGAGAATTTATTATTCCAAAGTAAAAATCCAGATGAGGTTTCTTTGCTGGAGGCAGTTTGGGGTCATTGCAGATAGTCTCATTAGTTGAAGAAATTCTGTTTTATTCTGGGTTTAGCATAAGACTTCTCCTTTATTTCCATGTATCTTGGAAAACAGCCTAATGAACTTTGAGCAGGTGACACATATTTATGGAGGATATTTATGGCTGCAGGCAAGAAGAGAACCAAAGCCACCCACCCTGAGGCGCCTAGTTAATATTCTAAACTTGATCCAGGACATTTTTAATGCGTCTCCAGAAGAAAGACTGTTTGGATCATCACACGTTTAAAGATTTATAATAACAGTTAGAAGCAAACGCGTTGTACAGCGTAATCTGTTCCCTGCACCCGATCACTCGCAGCAGTTAGCTCATGTTTCTATCTATCGTTTTTAAGCTCTAGCCTTCGACTGTGTTCTTTTTTCCACATATATGAAAAATAAAGTTTAAAATCTTGATCTAGTTTGTCGTTTTTCAGATTTGTTCTCATAAAAGTGGATCTGAAATTGTGATTTAATTGACGCCCATGTAGCATTGCTACCTGTGGAAGATCAATAAGCGTCAGCATCAGACAGTGTTTGGCTGTTGGCAGCTCCAGGCGACGTATAAAGGGCTGAAAACACCAGCTGTGTACGACTTTTTAATCTCCGATCTGATTTTTTTTTTTCCCATGTCACGCTGACTGCGTATGGAGAGGCTCCGACTAGGCAGGGTGAGCAGATTTGTGTGGATTATTTTCACTTCTGTCTCTGTGCTAAACACACATTAGCACATGCTGCTATAGGCTTAGACTGCTGGAGGACATAGGGACCCTTTTTCTTCATTCTATCTCTATTCTCCCACTCTGCAGAATCTGTTAGTTCAATGTTCTGCTCTCTCTGCTTTTTCTCATAGTAGTGTTGCGCCATATGCCATTATCATACTTTTTGGACATTGGGAACCAGTGTCTATATTTCATCTTGACATGATGATGTGGAATCAGCTGTGAAATCTCTGCAACAACCCCCGTTTCAGCCAATGCCTCCACAGGCAAGTCACAGAGGTGTGACCTACGACCACCCCCACTCTGTGTGAGGACAGACAAAATCATAGAGCACAGAGAATTCTCCTTCTTCTGCTCCTGCTCTGCTTGGCTCCTCTCCCTTGCCCAGGAAGCTGGGGTTCGCTTTGGCTAGTTCTCCAACACAGTGGAGTAAGGGCCCAAGGAGACCCAGACCTCCAGAACCATCATAAAAGTCTTAAAGTATCAGAAATATAAATTCCCAGCTGGCTAACAATTGAATAGAATATAAAATCACAACAGTAGCTTCATCTGGTCTGTTCCTGTTTGGCTGTGACTCCATCCTGGAGAGAAATATCAGCTGTGCTGCTGCCATCAACACCTTTGTTTCTAGATGTTGGAGCTTGGCCTGTTTTCCAGTGTAGTCCTGTTTCTCTGGCTGTGACTAACTGGATGTGCTCTCTTCATCCTCTGAGATGAGAGCTGGCTCTCATTGGAATCTGCCTTTTTTCTGTATAAAGAACAAAACAATTTTTTTTACAAATTGAGTTCCTTACACTGAATTTTTATCTGTTGAAAATTTAGCTGCAAAAATATTCAACTGCAAAGAATTTGCCAGTAAATGTGTCGACCTTTTGGTGAGCTCAAACCAAAGCAATCGACACTTGATGCAGTCGAGCAGCTTTTAGCCAATGAAATCAGCTCATTTGGCCAGAAAAATAAAGGTCTCCCACCGGCTGCTTCTTCCGGATCAAACCAAGAGCCTAGGCAGACGGGGGTGCTGCACTAGCTGTGATTGGCTCAGTTATTTCCCTCAGCCCCATTAGATGGAAAACTCTAATAGCTGTCTGTTAGCAGCTACCTGACGTTTTTTTAATATGATCTGTTTAACAAGAAAAAATCCTCATTCAGCCGAGAACAAAGCTACGGCCAACTGTTGTATCATGTGACCAAATGAGCTCATTTCATTGGCTAAAAGCTACTCGACTGCATCCAGTGTCAATAGGGGGTTTTCAGTGACGTCACTGGCCAGCTCCCGGTCCGCCATCTTGGGTGGCATATTATCGTATATTAAATATATCATGTCGCGAATAGATAAGTACGCCAGCACGCTAGAGCCACCAGATCATGGAACATATCTGAGGAAATGTTCCGTGATCGACCATATGGACCCCTATGCCCTCCACGGTGCCTTGTTTAGCACTAATCCAGATGATTGGCCAAATGTAGAGCACGGTAACATAGTTCATTACCCGGTGTTCAGTGAAAACCCTCTGCACACTCTGGAGGAAATGAGAGCGTACAAGGGTCTAGAGGCTCACAACCAGTTCACATCTGGTTGGGTACGAGATGTCGAAGTGATGTACATGAAGGAAATCGCCATCATACGTGGACGGGTGAGTTTTAATAAGATGGTAAAAATGTAAACAATCCGACGCAGGGCTCGCTATGCTAGGTGGCTAACGGCCGGCGGTGCGCGAACAGTTCCAAAGCTACAAGTCCTTGGAGTCTCATGTGCAGTTTACGAATGGATGGGTTCAGGAGCTGCAGCTCATAAAGCCAGCAAACAGTGCTAACCGTTAGTGCTAACAACCACTCAGGCATGTAATGTACTTTTAACTAGCTGCTATGTGTTTCAAAGGTTTGGTTAGTAACGTTAACTGCCAAACCTCCCTAAACCCTCCGGGTTTCTCACATATTTGAGCCTTTTCCCGCTGGTTGAAATCAAGTTAAGGTGAAATTAATCAAATTAAAACACGGCAGAGAGAGGGAGTCCAGTACGCGGTGGTCATAGGCAGTAGTCTGAGTAGCGGCGGCGGAGACGGTCAACATTGCGGCCACGGAAAGTAATACGTCATGACGCCCAAGCCCTATTATTAATATATTCTTACATGTTTTAAATGCTTGACAGTTATTTACCTGTGACAAAGTGAGCACTGCAGACTCTGGCGTGTTCCAGCTTAACACCGTCCAAATCGGACCTGGATATCCGTGTCGGCCATAGGTGACGGCGTTGTTCAGATAGCTGTTTTGTTTTTTCACATTGATTCACGATTACGGCTGGTATGCGATAGAAAGAGCGTTGATCTCCACCTCCACGGGCCGTGCAACCAACAATTACACACGATTTCACAATTTTTCACTGTCAATACTGCCTAAGGCTGCCACCCAATATGGCGGACGCGCTGAGTAGTCACGTGAGCGCGACGTCACATGAAAACCCCCTACTGCTTGGCTTCAGTTCGCCAGAAAGTCGACACATTTACAGCTGAATTTTTTGCAGGCAAATTTTTACCAGATAAAAATTACGTGTAAGAAATTCAATGTTTAAAAAATTTAGTGTTTTAAATTTGGTGCTAAAAAAAATCCAGTGTTTAAAGGGGTGATAGAATGATTCTATAGGGTATCTGGTCCTTCAGGTCTCCAATAGGGTGATAGAATGATTCTATAGGGTATCTGGTCCTTCAGGTCTCTAATAGGGTGATAGAATGATTCTATAGGGTATCTGGTCCTTCAGGTCTCTAATAGGGTGATAGAATGATTCTATAGGGTATCTGGTCCTTCAGGTCTCTAATAGGGTGATAGAATGATTCTATAGGGTATCTGGTCCTTCAGGTCTTTAATAGGGTGATAGAATGATTCTATAGGGTATCTGGTCCTTCAGGTCTCTAATAGGGTGATAGAATGATTCTATAGGGTATCTGGTCCTTCAGGTCTCTAATAGGGTGATAGAATGATTCTATAGGGTATCTGGTCCTTCAGGTCTCCAATAGGGTGATAGAATGATTCTATAGGGTATCTGGTCCTTCAGGTCTCTAATAGGGTGATAGAATGATTCTATAGGGTATCTGGTCCTTCGGGTCTCTAATAGGGTGATAGAATGATTCTATAGGGTATCTGGTCCTTCAGGTCTCTAATAGGGTGATAGAATGATTCTATAGGGTATCTGGTCCTTCAGGTCTCTAATAGGGTGATAGAATGATTCTATAGGGTATCTGGTCCTTCAGGTCTCTAATAGGGTGATAGAATGATTCTATAGGGTATCTGGTCCTTCAGGTCTCTAATAGGGTGATAGAATGATTCTATAGGGTATCTGGTCCTTCAGGTCTCTAATAGGGTGTGTAACATTGTTTGGGCTGAAAATGGCATATTAGCTGTTCTATGAGCCCTAATGCAGCCTGGTTAAAAGCCCTAGAATGAAACCACAGCTTTTCTTCCTTTTATGGAATGATCATGAATATTTAGATGAGCTGTGCTCTGATTGGTTGGTTTACAACGAGCCAAGCTGCTGAGCAAAGACGCATCATAGCAACAAGCACTCACTCACTGAAACATCAGATTGTTGATATGATAGGGAGACCAGACGTCCTCTTTTTCACTGACATGTCCTACTCTTCATACCTAAGGACATATCCGGGGGGAATTTCAAAATCATCCAGGGTTTTGGTCGCCTACAGTGCTCCGTGCTTCCCCAGCCTCCCTCCTCCAGCTGAGGATGGGCCGCTCATGGTTCTCTGCGGAGGTATTTCATTCTATGACCCATTTAAAGTCGCAAGGTTGCGGCCGTTCCAACTTTTGCATTTCTGAATTCTCTCAAGTGGTGCCCGACTTTACACGGGTGAATAAAGTGAATGTGATTGGTCATTTATCAAGGGGGCGGGATTGTTGTGGCGGAAGGTTAGCAAGCAAGTTTGGTTGTTGCCAGTTTGTGGGAAGCATCTTGCTAACCAGTTAGCAACTTAGTGCTAGTAGGTTCCCAATGGGAAATTCCATTGGGAACAAGTAGCACTAAATTGGTGACTTAGAAACGACGCTGTCAAGGAACGCTATGGACAGAGTAAACATGCAAGAGGAGGAGAGTTTAGTGTCGGAGGTCGTGGAGGAGTCTCCTCCGTCATCCATTTTTTATTTAGAGGAGGAAAGCGGGGACGAAGATGTTGTGGAAGAGGACGCCAGGGCGGCAGAAGCTTGGTTTGGTGTAGAAGGCTTCCAGCCGTACATGTTTGAGCCCTTGCCTCGCAACGCTGCCAGTTCTGTTAGCTCTACGCCTGCTGAAGACACAGACGTCCATCCCCGTGAACACTGGGACGCAACTCAATGGGAAAGGAAAGGATTCTGATTTCAACCGTTGCGTATATTAGCTGCAACATATGAATCAAGATGCTATGACTGAACAAATTTGATTGACAGATGACCGTTGATATATGATTGGCTGAATTTAGGTGTTCAGGCTGACGTAGAACTAACTGTCCTGCAGAAGATAATAAAGAAAAAAAAGATTTTAAGACAGGATTTTTTTAAATAGAAATTTTGGGACAATATGGTCTGATAAAGAAAACATTTATATAAATGTTTAAGCCAGAATGATTTGACAGTTAAATAGGATTTCCCTACCATTTGGTGTACAAAAAAGGCAGATTCCAGTGAGACTGCTTTCCTTCCATATTAAGGTGACCTTTTTCCAACCTGAGCACCTGACCTGAAAAATGTCTGTGTACGCCACTGGCTTCATGTTCATGTTCTTCAGGGGTATATTTTTATTTTTAACAAGACCGTGTTAAATGGAGATACCTGCTGCGTTACTGGGTTGGTATTACCTCGTATTCCACCAGTCTCTTCTCAGCCAAGTCGGCCTTGTTTCCAGCCAGAGCGATGACGATGTTAGGACTGGCCTGCCGCTGCAGCTCCTTCACCCACGCCTTCGCTCTCTCAAAGGTCTCCTGCAATCAAACGCTGATCTTCACACAGGTCTGCATAATTAAACCCCTTCTGAGTGTAGAAGCTCGTAAACTTAAACGTACCGGTTTGGTGATATCGAAAACAACGATGGCAGCCTGCGCCCCGCGGTAGTACATGGGAGCCAGGCTGTGGTAGCGCTCCTGTCCGGCCGTGTCCCAGATCTCAAACTTCACCGTGGTGTCGTCTAAACACACGGACTGGGCCAAGAAGGCGGCTGCAGAAACACGGAGAGGAGAGAAACAATGAGCGGCGATCTGATGAGGTGCGAGGCTTCCTGACCTGCATCGCCGCGTCTCACCTCCTATAGTCGTCTCCTGGAACTCGTCAAACTGTCCCTTGACGAAGCGCAGCACCAGGCTGGACTTGCCCACAGCCATGTCCCCCAGCAGCACCAGCTTGAACTGGCAGATCTTCGTCTGCGGCAGGGCGCTGTTGGAGCGGCCACCACTCCCTCTGGAGCTCATAGCGTCCTGTGCAGCAGACAGCGGGGGGGGCTGGGCCTCCTCCCTGAAGTGGGGGTCAAACAGGGGGGTCCCAAACAGACGACTGTTCCTCCGCAGCTTGGACTCTGTTCTCTTTTGGATTATTTTCTTGGTGCAAAGAGAAAAACATAATTTTTGCAGTTAATTACAACAACCTGTCCTCTAAGCATCATTATAGGCAGAAGAAATGAAGCGGCACACGATGACAACATTATTGAACATTTTATATCCAAACATAAATTCATTTCGCTGCCCGGCAGGCGGAGCAGTTACCATCAACACCTTATCTTCACATTAGGGTGTTAATGGGAAACCATAAACTCAGTTTTCATTGCTCTTTCCAGGTGAGCCAAACCCCCGGGTTTAGATTGGCCCGTTTTTCAGTGTTGTCCTGTTTCTCTGACTGTGACTAATTGGATGTGCTCTCTTCATCCTCATTTCATCCTAGAGTTAGAGTGGCTCAGGTTACATCTCTATAGTTCTGCTGCTATAGGCTTAGACTGCTGGAGGACATAGGGACCCCTTTTTCATCATTCTGCTTCATTCTATCTCTATTCTCCCACTCTGCAGAATCTGTTAGTTCAATCTCTAACGTTCTGCTCTCTCTGCTTTTTCTCATAGTAGCTTCATCTGGTCTGTTCCTGTTTGGCTGTGACTCCATCCTGGAGAGAAATATCAGCTGTGCTGCTGCCATCAACACCTTTGTTTCTAGATGTTGGAGCTTGGCCTGTTTTCCAGTGTAGTCCTGTTTCTCTGACTGTGACTAACTGGATGTGCTCTCTTCATCCTCTGACATGGGAGCTGGCTCGGAGCTCGTCTGCCTGGCTGTGTGTTTCCTGGACGGGGCCGCCTGTGGAGCTGGTTGACAGTTGCCTTTTGTATCTATGCTTCTTTTTCTATGTCTGCTTCTGTCTCCTTGAACCCCAATGGGCCTCAGCAGATGGCCGCTCATACTGAGTCTGGTTCTGCTGGAGGTTTCTTCCTGTTCAAAGGGAGTTTTTCCTCTCCACTGTTGCTACAAGCATGCTTAGTGTGAAGGATTGCTGAAGAGTCAATGAGTCGATGCAATCAGCTGGTTTTTCTTAGATAGAAAACTTTGAATCAATCTGACTGGATGATCTGGTGAACTGGAAAGTGACCTGAGATGACATGATGTGAATTGGCGCTATAGAAATACACTGAATAGAAACTGAATTCTTATTGGGGCCGATCTGAGGAGCAGAACCTTCAGACTTTAGTTTTGAGTTTCAGCTTTTCTGGATCAAATTTTCTTAATTTGAATCTAAAGATAAATTCTTCCGACATGAAGCGCTGAGTTCCAACCTCAGCTTATTATCAGCAGTTTTCCTTCTGCTCCAAGAAAGCAGAGGAAATGTTAGAAACAACAAACAGTTTCTGTTCCGAGAGGTTTAGAGCAGCTTCCTTCATTCAACGCAGGAGAGCGTTTGGAGGTAAGGAAGGCTTCTGGTCACCATGGCAGCAAAGCGAGCCCTCATCATCATCCCTCCACCTCCGTGCTTTACAGATAGGATGATGTCGGGCAGCTGGCATGAACAATCCTTCCTCCTGCAGTCATTGGACTCCATTATTTGGAGATGACTCCTCACATTCCCAGATGGAGGAGCTTCTCTAAGATCAAACCTCAACTCTAACTTCCTCACCGCTGATCTAAGCAACCTTTGCTCCAAAGGATCTCAGATTAGCTGTTGTGTGAAAATATCACAGAGCAGCAGCACCAAAGTCAGACAATTTCACACCAATCTTCTCACATGTCTCCTCAGGAGGATGGATCCTCCTCGGAGGTCTCAGCTCTCCTGGACCCCCCACCTCCAGCCCCTCTGGCCGGAGCAGCGGATCGCTTCTGTTCCTCCCTCACCGACCCTTATCTTATCTGAGCTAACGACACACCGCCGCCTCCAGACGAGTCAGCAGACACCGGAATAAAGACCTGGACCTGGACCAACCCCCCCGGGCCAAACCGACCTCACACTGACGGCATATTTACCGTGTCTGAGCCGCAGCGGGTTTCCAGCCTTCTCTGTTGACAGCGGAGCTATCAGCTGCTGCTACAAGAACGACGGCAACACTTCCGGGAATCTGGCGCATGCGCACTGAGTGCCGCAGTGTCAACCTGCTGGAAACAAAAGCAATGAATGAACTTTAATCATATCTGAGGTCCAAGAGACATTTCATTCTCATTTTATTCTCATTTTATCCTCATTTTATTCTTTTTGTGGAAACGAAACCCAAACGATTTTTATTTCGATTTTTTTATAAGAAAAATAAACTTAAGTTTGTTTTTGTTTCGTTTCATGCAAACCAAATTTATTAAATTAATTTAGGTAGCCTGTTTTTTTTGTTTGTTTGTTTGTTTCTTTTTTTATTTTATTTTTTTTATTTTTATTTACATTTATTTGAATAGAACAGAATATAATGGATGGAATAGAATTGTACAGAATAGAAAATCTCTTTTTTGTCTCACAAAGAGGAAGTTCTACTGTTTAGAGCAACAAAAATATTATAGAAAGAAATGATCATTGAAATGTGGACATTAGAAAATGTATGAGAATAACATAATAGTGTAGAATTAAAAGATAAACAATAAAATCTTGTACTGTTAAAGCTACAGTGTGTAACTTTTAGCGACATCTAGCGCTCAGACTGCAGACTGCAGCAACATGATCATCTCCCCCCCACCGCTTCTCCCCCCCCCCCCCCCCCCCCCCACAACAGTACGGCGAGCGTTACGGGACAAAATGTCTTCCACGACGTCCGCATCACCTACCTTTGCAAGTGATGAGGTTTGTTTACATAGATAATTTTACAGATAGTATTTCATTAGTCTGTGTAGGGTATAGATTTCATGTAGACTTAAGATAATAAATATACCCGTTATTTTTTCTACATCGTCACGTTTTGGCGATCTCGCAATCGCTAGTTTGTTGGCTCTGCGCTGCCGTAGCGCAAAGATGTCTGCCTCCATGGCTGCGAGACCCGCTCCTATGTAATTATAAATAACGAATTCTAAGGCAACGCAAATATTAAGGTTAAGAGGCTGAGCTTGTAGATGATGATAAATAACATAGTTATGTATAATATATTACATTTCTGATTTCATATCCCTGTAATTATTACACACTGTAGCTTTAAAAGTGTTTTACAAAATATATAAAACTGCACCTAGAGAATAAATAACCAATACACAGCTATGGACATTTTTTGCTGTTATGGGTATTTATAAATAGCAGCATAGTTGGTGAACTATGTCATTAAATTGAAAAATATGTGATTGTTTTAAAAACCAATAAATATGGTGAACATTTTAAAGAAATTTTCAAATAAGAACAATAACATGGTTCTGTTTATCATTATTGGTCTTTTTATTAATTCACATGAAAGTTTGAATTATGGTTTCTAAATCTAATACATAACACCTGGACAAAAAAACAATGTTTAAATGTAAGTTTAGTTCTGCAGATGACAGGACTCTGTCTGGTCCTGGAAGTCAGAGGTGAACAGAGGAAAAAGGAAGGGAGAGAGTACCGGCCCCTGTGGTTCTCCTGTGCTGCTGGATCAGATAGCTGAGCCTTCAGTCTGTCTGTCAGGTAGTATTTGATCCAGGTGGTTGTTGTTGCCTCCACCTGAGTCTGCTGGAGTTTCTGCCAAAGTCAGTCAGGTTGAATGGTGTTAAATGGGAGAAATCAAAGAACACGTCTAAACAACAGTTGGTTTGTTGAAGCAGGTGGATGATGACATCCTCAACTCCATCTCCATGGTAATAAGAAACCTGCAGGGGGTCCTGATAGCTGCTGGTTTGCTTGCTGAGGTGAACCATCAGAAGTCTCTCTAGGACCTTAAAAAGAAGGTTTAAATTGGAAGGCAAGCGGACTTTCGATTAGTTTCTTAAATATTTGCAAATCAAAGCTGTTGTTTTTAACAGATAAAAAAAAAACAATCTTTTCTGAAAATTCGTGTTCAATAGTCTTGTACATTAGGTGGCGGTATGCACGTATAAGTTGTTTGCAATCCGCCAATCAAATGAAAGAAGAAGAAGAAGATAAAAGAAGAGGTCTTTCCCCCTCCAGGCCGTAGGGGGGCGTCCGTGAGCCGCAATGAAGGACCTCGGAAGTGAGACTCACATGGAGGAGAATTGATTGTTTTTGCTTGACATTTCAGAGGACAGACTTTTAATATTAAAACAAGCAAAGCCATTTGCTTTATCGGTGGACATGATCCGCAGAAGAAGAAGTCTAGTGACGCTAATGACTCGATGACGTCATGCCATCCAGAGACGGAAAGAAGCAGCGAAAAGGCAGCGACACGGCGGCAAGTTCAATAAGAATAAAACTCTTAATTCACTGATTCAACAACTTTATGGAAGAATTAATTTAAACATTAATACAGAATTAACTGATCAATGAAGAAGAAGGAGAATCAACTCATTCATCTATTTTTAGGAATATAAGTATTTATTTAATTTATATCCAATTATTACAGAAGAGGATTAAGGCCACTGGGGAAAAAAAAAAAAAAAAAGATAACTGATTTTTAAACGTTATTTCAGTTTAATATGGGAAAAAAGTCAGAATTCTGAGATTAAAGTCAGAATTCTGCCTTTTTTACCCATATTAAACTAAAATAATATTTTTAAAATAATAAACTTTTCAGTGGCCCTAATCTTCTTTTCTATATTATCCAATAATTAACAGGAACAATAACATTTTTGCTGCATAATTTCTGCTAAAACCAGAATAATATAAAATGTTCTTTTTGTTATTTATGTGTCCAGAAAAGCAGTTAATGGTAGAATAATGAAATAAAAGACTTTGATTTGATTTTTTTGTTCTCCCCATAAAGAAAGAAAGGAATATATAGAAATATTAAATAAATGTTTCCATACCTGCAACAAGGAATCAGAAATTAAATAAAGTACATTTATGATTTAATTATATTTACATTTTTGTAATCTGGATAATTGATTTAATAACTGGCTAATTATGTCAGATTTGCTGTATTATTCAATTATTCTGACTGTTTATAAAATTATTGGAGTTACTTGAAAAACAATAATAAATGTAGTCAGTGTGCAGATGAAGATCACATGACCTTCATCAGCTTCTGGAATTTTATCTTTTTCATTTTAAATCTGAATAGTAATCTATTATAATAATATATTATAATAGATTACTATAATATAATATATTATTAATTACACATCTATGCTGATAGTTTTTAAAGTAAAATATTTGTTTTGCTACTATTTTTTTTTTACAGTAATTAATATTAATAGATATGCAGTGATTTTTTTTTTTTTTTTTTTTTTTGCGAAAACAAAAGAAAATATGCAATCCAGAGATAAAACTTTGAATAATGTAATAATTATGGTTTGATAGTAACTTTGCTGTTCTTTCTTTTTTTTCCCAGATTTATCTTTATACTAAATTTGAAAAATCACATTTTTATAATCGACCTTATATTTACACATTTCAGTGTTTCAGATTGAGTTTTATGAATTGTACTTTTCTTACACTCTGTAGACAAAATGACCTAAAGTTTGTCTCAGTCTAAGTTGTTTAATCTGCCTCCTCAGGTGCAGGGAACCAACGACAGCAGCGTGGTGAGCAAGGCTTCGGCTGCAGCTCAGGGCTACTTCAGCGACGCTTTTATCCAGCACTTTGTGTGTAAAGTGGGTCGAAGGGCGCCGCTGATCAACAGGTGAGGAGGGGTCCGAGTGTCGCACAGCTGGACCTCTGATCTCAGTAAACCTTCAGTCAGTCTCTCTGTCTTTAGGGGCTATTATGTTCGCTGGAAAGCTTTGGACCACTGCGTGAGGCGGTTCCTTCACGTCACGGCGGATCGCCCCAAGAAACAGGCAAGCTGAGCTCAGACCCGGTGGATGAGATGCACCACCGCCCTCATTCTGACTCTGTCTGGCTATCTTGTCCTCCGCTGCTGCAGGTTCTGTCTCTGGGCGCCGGATTCGACTCTCTGTACTTCCGCCTCCATGCAGACGGAGTTCTGGGCGGAGCCGTGGTGTTCGAGGTGGATTTTCCGGACGTGGCGCGTCGCAAAGCTGCTCTGATCGCCGCTGATGCAGCACTGAGAGGGATGCTGGACTCCTGCCTGCCTCCTCAAGCAGGTTCCTCTTCTCATTTCTTTCTTTGCTTCGGCTTTTCTAAATATAGTTAGAGTTTTACTCCAAGGGGTCATAGAATGCATAACTGAGTTTCTATTGTCATAGATGAATAACGATAGTTCAGTGGATGAAATGGACGTACAGAGAAGATCAAACCCCATCAACCCCCCCTTCCTCTGCAAATCTCACTATTCTAAACTTCCACCTTAAAACGGGCGAATCCAAATGAAGCCCAGAGTTGACGTAAACCCAGAGATGTTGCCTTATTTGGTTCTGGCCTGGACTTTTGTCACGCCCAAAAATTGACATATAATTTCCGGGGGGCGAGAACACGGGGCCGCCAGTGTCCAGGCTACCATCGCCAGGTCGGATACGGTCGCTCCGTCCCACGCTGGCTCCCTCCCCTCATCCACTGGACCAGCCCAGAGCTGACGGCTCGTAAGATTTTGAAATTCCCCCTGGACATTTTTTAGGAAAAGTAGGACATGTCCAGGAAAAAGAGGACGTCTGGTCCCCCTACCATATCAACAATTTGATGTTTCAGTGAGTGAGTGCTTGTTGCTATGGTGCGTCTTTGCTCAGCAGCTTGGCTCGTTGTAAACCAACCAATCAGAGCACAGCTCATCTAAATATTCATGATCATTCCATAAAAGGAAGAAACCTGTGGTTTCATTCTAGGGCTTTTAACCAGGCTGCATTAGGGCTCATAGAACAGCTACCGTATTTTCACGACCATAAGGCGCACCGTACTAAAAGGCGCAGTCTCAGTTATGTGTCCCATTTCTGTATTTAACACACATAAGGCGCACCGGACTATAGGGCGCGTTTTTTATACACAGGTACATGTCCTCTACTACCTTTAAATACCTCTACTGCGTATTTAAAAATACAGCGGGGGCAAAACTGAGTATGACTGTGCTTTATTCATGTATTTATTACAAAGTATTAATCAAACCTGGCAGCTGGCCGTGAGACAGACACATCGCTGATGACACAGCGCTGTGATCACTCCTAAATTAACTTAAAATCCTGAAACCTGTCGACGGAATTTGTTCGCTTTTATTACCGGTATCCTGGTGCCTGCAGTTTAAATTATTTAGATGAAAAACACCTGCCATCCACCGCGGTGAACCCGGAGGCTGCCCAGCCTAGAGGCTGCTGATGAAGGGATTTTTACTGTCGGTGCACCGCTGGTATGTGGGGGTCTGAGCGCCTCCGACAGAAATAGATAATCTGGATGAACTGACTGCAATTATTAAGTTTTCAGGTGGACTTTCTCACTTAAAAACATATTAAAACTACTTTATTCCCACTGATCACAGCAAATATAGCTGCAAGATTTAGATTATTTAGATGAAAAAACACCTGCCAGCCACCGCGGTGAAGAGGAGGAGACCCGCCCAGAGGCTGCTGTTGAATTAAGTTTTCAGGTAGAAAAATAGAGCGGGAGCAAAACTGAGTATGATTGTGCTTTATTCATGTATTTATTACAAAGTATTAATCAAACCCATCAAAGTCATCATCCTCTGTTTCTGAATAAAACAGCTGCACTAAATCAGACATGCCAGTTTCCCCTTCGCTGTCAGAGTCACTTTCCGCGCCTTGCGGCTCCTCAGAAATAATGCCTGCTTTTGTGAAAGCTTGAACAACAGAGCCAGCAGACACGTTAGTCCAAGCATCAACAATCCATCCGCTAACGGTGGCGTAACTTGCCCGGCGCTGCCTTCCACTTATCCTGAAACTGTGCTCTCCGTCTGTCATCCATCGCTCCCACGCCGCTCACAGCCTTACTTTGAACGGCCGCTTCACACCGATGTCGAGCGGTTGAAGTTCCTTTGTCAGACCTCCCGGGATAACAGCGAGCACAGCGTTAATTTTTTTTTCACCATGTTTTTCACATCAGCTGTGAGATGGGCACGCATGGAGTCACATATTAAAAGCGATGGTGATGCGTGGAAAAAAACACCTGGTCTCCTCACATACACCTGCCTCAGCCACTCTTTCATCATCTCCTCATCCATCCAGCCCTTTTCATTTGCCTTAATATCATATGTCATCAGAGCGATGTGTCGTCTCACAGCCAGCTCCCAGATCAGCTTCTCTGATTGGTTGATGCGGCGCTTCCAGCAGCAAAACTTCAATTTTTCCATCTCGAGCAGCACCAAAACGCGCTGCGGGACCTTTTGCTGCGTCTATACGCTTGTCAACCATTGACTTTGCATGTAAACTCGCTGCTTCTGCTGCACCTGCTGCGTCCGGTTCACAGCGAGCACAGCGTTAATTTGTTTCCCCATGTTTTTCACATCAGCTGTGAGATGGGCACGCATGGAGTCACAGATTAACAGCGATGGTGATGAGTGGAAAAAAAAAAACACCTGGTCTCCTTACATTCAGCCACTCTTTCATCATCTCCTCAATGAGGTGGTCTCAAAAGTCGCAGTTGCAACACACATAGGGCGCACCGCACCAAAGGGCGCGCCGCACATTTTGAGGGGAAAAAAAGACGTTTATGTGCGCCTTATAGTCGTGAAAATACGCTAATATGCCATTTTCAGCCCAACCAATGTTACACACCCTATTAGAGACCTGAAGGACCAGATACCCTATAGAATCATTCTATCACCTTATTAGAGACCTGAAGGACCAGATACCCTATAGAATCATTCTATCACCCTATTAGAGACCTGAAGGACCAGATACCCTATAGAATCATTCTATCACCCTATTAGAGACCTGAAGGACCAGATACCCGATAGAATCATTCTATCACCTTATTAGAGACCTGAAGGACCAGATACCCGATAGAATCATTCTATCACCCTATTAGAGACCTGAAGGACCAGATACCCGATAGAATCATTCTATGACCCTATTAGAGACCTGAAGGACCAGATACCCTATAGAATCATTCTATCACCCTATTAGAGACCTGAAGGACCAGATACCCGATAGAATCATTCTATCACCCTATTAGAGACCTGAAGGACCAGATACCCTATAGAATCATTCTATGACCCTATTAGAGACCTGAAGGACCAGATACCCTATAGAATCATTCTATCACCCTATTAGAGACCTGAAGGACCAGATACCCGATAGAATCATTCTATGACCCTATTAGAGACCTGAAGGACCAGATACCCTATAGAATCATTCTATCACCCTATTAGAGACCTGAAGGACCAGATACCCTATAGAATCATTCTATCACCCTATTAGAGACCTGAAGGACCAGATACCCTATAGAATCATTCTATCACCCTATTAGAGACCTGAAGGACCAGATACCCTATAGAATCATTCTATCACCCTATTAGAGACCTGAAGGACCAGATACCCGATAGAATCATTCTATGACCTTATTAGAGACCCGAAGGACCAGATACCCTATAGAATCATTCTATCACCCTATTAGAGACCTGAAGGACCAGATACCCGATAGAATAATTCTATCACCCTATTAGAGACCTGAAGGACCAGATACCCTATAGAATCATTCTATCACCCTATTAGAGACCTGAAGGACCAGATACCCTATAGAATCATTCTATGACCCTATTAGAGACCTGAAGGACCAGATACCCTATAGAATCATTCTATCACCCTATTAGAGACCTGAAGGACCAGATACCCTATAGAATCATTCTATCACCCTATTAGAGACCTGAAGGACCAGATACCCTATAGAATCATTCTATCACCCTATTAGAGACCTGAAGGACCAGATACCCGATAGAATCATTCTATCACCCTATTAGAGACCTGAAGGACCAGATACCCTATAGAATCATTCTATCACCCTATTAGAGACCTGAAGGACCAGATACCCTATAGAATCATTCTATCACCCTATTAGAGACCTGAAGGACCAGATACCCTATAGAATCATTCTATCACCCTATTAGAGACCTGAAGGACCAGATACCCTATAGAATCATTCTATTACCCTATTAGAGACCTGAAGGACCAGATACCCTATAGAATCATTCTATCACCCTATTAGAGACCTGAAGGACCAGATACCCTATAGAATCATTCTATCACCCTATTAGAGACCTGAAGGACCAGATACCCTATAGAATCATTCTATCACCCTATTAGAGACCTGAAGGACCAGATACCCTATAGAATCATTCTATGACCCTATTAGAGACCTGAAGGACCAGATACCCTATATAATCATTCTATCACCCTATTAGAGACCTGAAGGACCAGATACCCTATAGAATCATTCTATCACCCTATTAGAGACCTGAAGGACCAGATACCCTATAGAATCATTCTATCACCCTATTAGAGACCTGAAGGACCAGATACCCTATAGAATCATTCTATGACCCTATTAGAGACCTGAAGGACCAGATACCCTATAGAATCATTCTATGACCCTATTAGAGACCTGAAGGACCAGATACCCTATAGAATCATTCTATCACCCTATTAGAGACCTGAAGGACCAGATACCCTATAGAATCATTCTATCACCCTATTAGAGACCTGAAGGACCAGATACCCTATAGAATCATTCTATCACCCTATTAGAGACCTGAAGGACCAGATACCCTATAGAATCATTCTATGACCCTATTAGAGACCTGAAGGACCAGATACCCTATAGAATCATTCTATCACCCTATTAGAGACCTGAAGGACCAGATACCCTATAGAATCATTCTATCGCCCTATTAGAGACCTGAAGGACCAGATACCCTATAGAATCATTCTATCACCTTATTAGAGACCTGAAGGACCAGATACCCTATAGAATCATTCTATCACCCTATTAGAGACCTGAAGGACCAGATACCCTATAGAATCATTCTATGACCCTATTAGAGACCTGAAGGACCAGATACCCTATAGAATCATTCTATCACCCTATTAGAGACCTGAAGGACCAGATACCCTATAGAATCATTCTATCACCCTATTAGAGACCTGAAGGACCAGATACCCTATAGAATCATTCTATCACCCTATTAGAGACCTGAAGGACCAGATACCCGATAGAATCATTCTATGACCCTATTAGAGACCTGAAGGACCAGATACCCTATAGAATCATTCTATCGCCCTATTAGAGACCTGAAGGACCAGATACCCTATAGAATCATTCTATCGCCCTATTAGAGACCTGAAGGACCAGATACCCTATAGAATCATTCTATCACCTTATTAGAGACCTGAAGGACCAGATACCCTATAGAATCATTCTATCACCCTATTAGAGACCTGAAGGACCAGATACCCTATAGAATCATTCTATCACCCTATTAGAGACCTGAAGGACCAGATACCCTATAGAATCATTCTATCACCCTATTAGAGACCTGAAGGACCAGATACCCTATAGAATCACTCCTTTAATAATCGTTAATCTGCCCTCAGGGCCCGTCCAGGTGTCCAGCAGCCGGTACCGCCTGTTAGGCCTGGATGTCAGGGAGGAATCCCCGGTGGAGGAGGCTCTGAGTGCAGCTGGTCTGGACTGGGCGGCTCCCACCCTCATCCTCTCTGAAGTGGTGCTGACCTACATGGAAACCCGATGGTACGGCCCAGACGCTGAAAGAACTGCATTCACCAGGCTGTGAGGCTAAACCGCTGCTCGTCTCGCAGGTCGGACGCCGTCATCGGCTGGGCGGCGAGGCTCCTCCCGCAGTCCCTCTTTGTGATGTACGAGCAGATCCACCCCCACGATCCTTTTGGCCGCGTGATGCAGGATCATTTCCTAAAGCTCAACTCCACGCTGCACGCGCTGCAGCGGTACCCAGAGCTGTCGGCACAGAGACGCAGGTTCCTGGACAAGGCCAGTACACGAACACGCCGCCATCTGCTAACCACACAGGACACGTAATTTACTTTGAGTCTTTGAAAGATTCCGACCGAATAAATTAAGTTTGAATCCATCAATTTATTTTGAAGAGGCCGACTGCTCTGATAATCTAATTTTACTCTCATTTATTCAGCAGTTTTAGCAACTTTTTTCATTTTAAAATGGCAAATAAATCCTCATGATGACATGTGAGGCTTTTTTGGATCTGGAGCGCCAGATAGATCGCTGAGGAGGGACAGACTGTCTGCAACCTCACTGGAAAAAATCTAAATCTAGATAAGTCATTTTCTCTTAAAATAGGTGTATTTGTTCTTGGATTGAGGAGACATTTGGCCAATCGAACAAGACAATTTACATTTAGAATAAGAAAACGCAGTAGCATTGTCTTATTTCAAGTGCATAATATCTAATTATCTTATTTTAGGAGTAAAAATACTAATTTAATCAGCAAATCATCTCATTTACCTACTTAAATTAAGGGTAAACACACTTAATTAAAAAAATGATCATTTATTTTTAGATAATTTTTTCAGTGCTGCTGCTCCAGAACCACATGTGGTTCTTTGCACGCCAAAAACAATCAAGACATAAGTAAAAATGTCCTAAATTAAATGTATTTACCCTTAATTTGAGTAGGTTAATGAGATGATTTGCAAATGGAATGAGTATTTTTACTCCTTAAATAAGCTTAAATCAATTACAATTAAATCACTTTTTGTTTTGTAAATGTAAATTGTCTTGTTCCATTGGCAAAGTGTCTCACATACCGCCTCAATTAAAGAAAAATTGCACTTATTTCAAGAAAAAAATTGCTAATCGAGAGTTCGATTTCTTCCAGTGTGGCGCCTCTACAATAAATCTTCATAGAGTGGCTAAAATGAATATAAAGTGTCAAAACGTATTTGAATCAAATCTTCACAACAAAATGACATGAAAAGAACCAGAAATATGTTTTTAGAGATATTTGCCTTTGAATTAGCATAGAGATAATTTATTATTATTATTTTATAAGCTAAAAATACAAATCAAACAGTTTAAGATGGCAGCAGGTTTCCTGTGGCAGAAGTTTAACAAAAATATGTTTTTTTTAAGTCATGTAAAACTTTAAATGACTTTTTTTAGCAGACTCAGGGAAAAATGGCTCTTTTGATTTGAACATGTTGCAGCTCATTGTGTTACGCTGCAAAAAAATGAAAATCTAAATTAGTCATTTTTTTCTTAAAATAAGTAAATTTGTCCCTTCAACTGAGAAGGAAAGTGAAATTTTGCCAATGCAACGTGACAATTTACACTTAAAATAGCGTCTTATTTAAAGTGCATTTTATCTATTTATCTTAAAGAGTATAAATCCTTATTCCATTGGCAGATCATCTTATTTACCTGCTCAGATTAAAGGTAAATACACTTAATATAAGAAGTTTTGACTTTTTTCTAGATAGTTTTTTCAGTGTAGACAGTTAGACAGAGCAGGAAAACCCCCAATATGCAGCGATATGGAAGAAAAACAGTTTTTTGTACATCGAATTTTAAACACTGAATTTTTATCTGGTGAAAATTCACCTGTAAAAAAGCCTTAAAAAAATGTGCCTGCAAATGTATCGTCCTTTTGGCAAACTGAAGTCAAGCAATTCACACTGGGTGCAGTCGAGCATTCTAGCCAATGAAATGAGCTCATTTGGTCACGTGACACGACAGTTGGCCGTAGCTTTGTTTTCGGCTGAAGAGTTTTTCTTATTAAATAGCTGATTTCATTGGCTGGAAGCTGCTCGACTGCATCGAGTGTCGATTGCTTTGGCCTGAGTTAAACAAAAGGTCAATACTTTTGCAGGCAAAGTTTTTGCAGCTGAATTTTAACCAGATAAAAATTTTGTGTAAGGAATTCAATGTGTAAAAAAGTTCAGTGTTTAAAATTCGATAAAAAAAAAAGGCAGATTTAAATGAGACTGATTTTCTTCCATGCAGGCAGAGCTACAGTGGAATAAATTAGATCAAAGATCAACCGATGCTCGTTTTTTTAAATATTTAATTCTTCTTTTGAGCCGGATTATTTCCACATCAGTCTAACGGATCCCAGATCTGTGCTGCAGATGTTACCTTTTCTTCTTTTACATGATGGCAACGATAACAAGCGTAACTCTAATCTAAATTTACTGAAAAGCAAATAAACATTTATAAACAAACTAAACATGCTGGGAAAAAAGAGGCTGAAATCTTCCGGTTTACTCCGAGTTTAGATCGTTCTGTCGATGTGTTAAAACGGCCTAGTCAAAGTCTGGAACCAGATTTAGGGGATTTATTTTAGCTAGATTTAGCCAGCTGGTGCTTTAGATGCTCCCCATGCCGTCTGACTGAACTAGGAGGGATTTTCTGCGTAATATCTGTATGATGTAGCTCTATAGATTCTTTCTAAACGTTGACTTTTCTTTCATATTTGATCTAAATGAAGAAATGTTGGTGAAACCTTTCTCTGTTTTTCTGTGCTCAGGGCTGGGAGTGCTGTGTGTGTCTGGATATGAATGATTTCTATCTGGGGCTGGTCCCCCAGGAGGAGCGGGACCGAGTGGAGAGCCTGGAGCCGTTTGACGAGCATGAGGTGAGCTGGTTCTGGAGGGGGGGGGGGGGGTGCGGGGGGTAGCGTCAGTGAACGCTCTGAGCGTGTTTGTTTCCGTCTGCAGGAATGGAACCAGAAGTGCTCCCACTACTTCATCCTGACTGCATCTCGCGGGGCGTTGATGGAGCAGGCTCTGCTCCCCCAGACCTCAGGTAGGGACCCCCGCCCCCCAATCCGTCCCATCGTCCCAGAAACCCTCTCATCCTCTGGTTTTCCTGTCTGCAGCGCCGTCCGTCGCTCCGAGCTGGAGCCCCGCAGCCCTGAGCGTGCGCCCGGTCCCGGTGCGTCTGGAGGGCCTGGGGTTGGCCTCCACCCGGATCAGGCCGCAGGTGGTGCTGCTCACTGGAGGGTCCGGCAGAGGGGGCCGGGGGGCGGAGACCAGGTGTCTCCTCAGAGGTCAGGGGGGGTGGAGCTCCACCAGAGTGGAAGCATCAGCAGATCTGGGTCAGCTTCTCCTCTCCTTCACTCTCCGACTGGTTTGGTTGATCTCAGAGGTTTGCTAAATCCGATCTTCATGGATCCACAGGAGAGAGACTCTATCACACCGTCACCCCCCTCCCTGGAGGAGCGCTGGTCTACGGCGGCCGCTCCTCCCCGCTCAGACCCAGCTGCGACCTGTTGAAGGTGACGCTGGACCCGTTTGCTCCGCCGTCTGCAGCCGGGTCAGCAGAGGAACAGAGGGTTCAGGTGGAGCGGATGGGCTGCACGGGCACCGCCCCCCCACCGAGATGGAGACACGCAGCCGCAGTGGTCAGTCACGGAGGTGAGCTGGAGATAAACACCAACATAGTTCACCCCATAAAACCAGTTTCCTTGTGTCTCTTTCTACTAAAGAGTTTGGTTGATTAAAAGTTTCCCTTCGCTGCATCGTTTAGCGTAGCGGATGCAGCCTGGGGGCCGAGGTTAGCCGGTGAACCCGCCTTTTAATGGGCAGCAACATGCTGCTGATTGAAGAAGATCCCAACACATTGGGAAAAAAATCCCTGAACATCTGTTCAGAGGCACGTTCATAATTCTACGTTCAGACCACAAAGCAGCAGAAGCAGCAAGTTTACAATCAAAGGCAATGGTTCACGCACAGCAAAAGGTCCTGCAGCATCTGTGCAGCTGAAGCAGCGGCGCCTCATGAGCATCTGAGGAGCTTCACAAGCAGCAGCTGCTGGAGTTGGAGAAATGTAACTTTAGCTGCTGGACGCGCCGCATCAACCAATGAGAGCAGCTGATCTTGGAGCTGGCAGGGAGTCAGACGCAGCGCTGATGATCAGAGCGCTATGATCACTCCTCTGAAACAGTTTATTAACGCCTAAATTAACTTCAAATGTAGAAACCTGCCGGCAGAATATGTTGGCTTTTATTATCCTGCTGCCTGCAGTTTGTAGCACAGACCTGAAAAACGCTAACATCTACTTCCAGCCGCCACCAACAGGAGGGGAAAACCCTGGAGAGGCGAGCGGGCCTGAGGCAGCTGCTGCTGGGGATTCCCAGTGACAGCGCAGCGCCGGTATGTGGGGGTCTGAGCGGCTCCCACAGAGAAATAATCTTTGAAGGCAGGATGGTAATCTGGATGAACTGACTGCACAGACCATGTTTTCAGGAGGACTTTCTCACTTCAACATAGATTCTAACTACTTTCTACCCGCTGATCACAGCTAATATAGCCGCCATTGTTCCAGGCAGAGAAAGGATAGAGTAGCTCCGCCCACCGAGCAGCTAGAGCAGCAAAGATGATTCAGCTGCGTGTCAGAACTAAACTACAAGTATCAAAATTGAAGCAGCACGTGCGTTTCTGCAGCTTCTGCTGCGTGCGATCTGAACGTAGCATAACAGAATTGTTTTGCCATAAAATCAAGATTATACTGAGACCATTTAAATGAAATATTTTTTGGCACAAATATCTTTTAATTATTTGATCTAAAGCTTTAAGACAAGAAGGAAAAATATGTTTCATTTCTTATTTTTAATGTCCACTAGGTGGCACCATGGAGCAAATGAAACGTCCTGATGGCGCTTCATGTCACCATCATCATTTAAAACGTCAACAAAAGGAAAATACAAACTAGATGTGTTTTGATCCATTAGAGTGAAAGAACCAGGAAGTGCAAAGCGTAATGTTGTCACATGTTAACGTTACGCTTGGCTAGCTAGCTAGCTAGCAGGGAGCTCAGATCAGCAGTAAGCAGAGGTTTTAATCAATGTGTTGGAATCAGGAAGGAGGTGCCGACCATAGACGCCTCGTTGGACGCTGGCCGACATGCCTAGAGGGCGGCCATCTTGGTGGCGCCTTAGATCTTATTTTAATCACATGGAAGACGAGTCAGAGATAATATTACAATAATCTGGTACATGTCACCTGACCACTGGCCCCTGTTGGCCCCCGTCTAGAACCACCCATGCAGACATGTGAGGCAAATATTCCCAACATCAGAAATTATTCAGTAAATATGTTTCCGTCTATATTTCCTTCTATAAGAAAGCATGGAAACTTTTTGGAGAAATCCAGTCAGTTATTTGATTCTTGGATTCCCATCAACCTCTTCTGATGCAATACTTGATAGTAGATGATTTTCCATTCATGCTTTAACGCTTATTTTCATCTTTTATGACAATAGTTTATCATGCAGAAAAGTGTCTGATAATGACGGCCTGATCTCCTCCGTCAGGCTGCTGAGGAACGGACCAATCACAGCGAGGGAGGCGGGGCCATGATGCAGCAGAGCAACGTTTTAATGATGATGCCCAGAAAAAAAAGATGTTTAGATTGTTTACATTTGAAAGACTGGCTGGTTTAAGAGCTTTTTTTTTAAGATGTTTTTGCATCACATTCGTAGTTTTCTGGTTGGTTCTGAACTGTTTCTAACGACGCCATTTAAAATCGAACTCTACTGAATGATTAGAATGAGAAGTTAATTTTACATTTACTTTAAATGCAGGAAATTAAACTAAATGAAGCCCAGAATGCAAAGTGTGGGATCTGCTGGTATATAAATCGTTTTTATTTATTCTTTTTCTTTTCCTTCTTACTTTTTATAATTTTTTTTATCTCTGAGATTCTTCCTTTTTTTTCTTTCAGTCCCTCCAGCCTGTTTTTGACTTTTCGTCTCCTGTTCTCGGATCCAGAACATCTCTCATGTTTTTCTCTTCCTGCAGACTTTCAATGCGGCAGATATTTCTTTTCTAATTAATTTTCAGATTTTTTCATTTATCCATTTTCTTCTTCTTTCCTTCTTTTGCCGTCCACGCCAGCTCTTTCCTATTCTTCCTGTTCTTGTCCAAAGCTTAATGGCTTTTTCCTGTCCATGGTAGGTGGAGACTTCCTGTTTGTGTTTGGTGGGAAGAACCAATCAGAGCGGGTTCTGGGTGACAGCAGCTTCCTGAGTCTGGACCGGCGGGAATGGATGGAGGTTTGTTTGGCCTCTTTTTTTTTTTTTTAAGTACTGAACTTTGGACTCGGGTGACCGTCTGTATGTGATCCTCAGATTCCAGTAGAGGGCGCTGCACCGGCGGCTCGTCATTCTCACACCGCCTGCTCCTACCAAGGAGGCGTGGTCGTGTTCGGAGGACTGGGCCGAGGAGGGGAGCCTCTGGGCGACACCAGCCTGCTGGTACCGACGGAGCGAGGCTTTTGTTGGAGGAGGGTGGCAGTGCATCCTCCCCCCATCCCTCGGTCAGAGTTAAACCAAACATCCATTAGCGACACGAGATGCGGGAATCGAACCGACGACTTTCAGGTCGGAGGCGCCGGCTGATCTGAGCCTCTGTTCTCCTGTTATCCAGGTTTTCTCACTGCGCCCACCTGCTGGGCGATAGGCTGGTTGTGGTGGGCGGAGTCTGGATGCATCCAGACGGAGTTCCTGGCGTCGCCGTCATCAGCCTGGCCGTAGGCAGCAGCGTGGAGTTCAGACTGGACATGGTCAGTGTTTACCCAGGGTTCTTCTGGTACGGTGGGGAGGGGCAGGAGGTGAACATGACTTTAACAGGTTCTTAAACAAACACGTCTGTGAAGTTACTGCTGGACAGAGATGGCAAAGTACTCACTTTCCGTACTTGAGTAAAAGTACAGATACTTGTGTCAAAAAATACTCTGGTAAAAGTGGAAGTACTGATTAAACTTCTTTACTCAAGTAAAAGTAACAAAGTACAGGCTTGTAAATTTACTTAAAGTATAAAAGTAAAAGTAGAAACCACTTTTTTCATGCCGTTGCCTACATTTTAAATGGATGTCTGCCAATAGGACTAGATCTCCGTTGTGTTCATTTTCAATCATCTCGTCGTCCATGCTACTATGCTAACGCCGCCGCCACCAAGCTGCAATGATTTGCCGCCAATGAATACCGCCGAATCTGTCGATTCATCTTGTAGTGGTGCGTCAAATGCAACGTAGATTCCCATCCAATTAGATTGAATTTGGTATTGGTGACGTGAAAAATAATAACGGTAACTCCATTGAAATGATTCAAAACTAAAGTAACGAGCCAATTTTTTAAAATGTAAGGAGTAGAAAGTACAGATATTTGTGTAAAAATGTAAGGAGTAGAAGTAAAAAGTCGCCATAAAAATAAGTAGTAAAGTAAAGTAAAAATATCAGAAAAATCTACTTGAGTACAGTAACGAAGTATTTGTACTTCGTTACTTCCCATCTCTGCTGCTGGAAAAGCCCTTTTTTTACTTGACTTTAACCCTTTCATCCAAACAAACTCATCATGGAGGTTCTGGTCTGTCCAGAGAGGAGAAAACATGAACAGATGTGTTTATTACGCCTGAAGGATTGTTTAGTTTCCTCTCATGACCACATATCCCACCTGGCATATCCCCCCCTGTTTAAAGGAATAGTACACCCAAAACATGTTTAGCCTTCATTTTCTACTCACCCCCATGCTGAACAACACTCTGGAGTACTTTTTTGATATCTCAAATGCATCTGGAGATCTGGGAGGCTTCTTGCTGTCTGCTGACATTCAAATAATGGAGGTCTATGGCGCCCGAGGCAGAAAGGTCCATAAAAGTCCACAAAAACGTGTCAATATTCCTCCATACTGCTCGTCCAATGTATTCCAAGTGTCCTGAGTGGGTAGCATCCAGAATTTACTCGAAACGAAGTCATTTAGAATGTTTTTAGAGCATAAACAGTAGTGTATAGGATTTCCTAAAAGCGCGTTCACGAGTCTACGGAAACCGCGGCAGACCAAACCAGATGAAAGTGCGCATTCAGCGTCTGCTCTGCCGATAATGCAAGCGTAGAAGAAGAAATGTGCTGTTTACCTGTGCAAAGAAAGAAACAACGAAAGAAAAATGTCTGAGGACTTCAGTGTTGAGGAAGAGCATGAGTTCTTTGCCGAGCTGAATGCGCACTTTCATCTGGTTTGGTCTGCCGCGGTTTCCGTAGACTCGTGAACGCGCTTTTAGGAAATCCTATACACTACTGTTTATGCTCTAAAAACATTCTAAATGACTTCGTTTCGAGTAAATTCTGGACGCTACCCACTCAGGACACTTGGAATACATTGGACGAGCAGTATGGAGGAATATTGACACGTTTTTTGTGGACTTTTATGGACCTTTCTGCCTCGGGCGCCATAGACCTCCATTATTTGAATGTCAGCAGACAGCAAGAAGCCTCCCAGATCTCCAGATGCATTTGAGATATCAAAAAAGTACTCCAGAGTGTTGTTCAGCATGGGGGTGAGTAGAAAATGAAGGCTAATCATGTTTTGGGTGTACTATTCCTTTAAGCTTGTTTTTTTTTTTTTCTTAACATAGATGGCTTCCTTCAGGCCCCTCTCAAACCACCTGTCTTCTTTGTCCAAAAAGTGAACAGATTTTGTGTTTTAGTGCATAGCGTAGATTTAAAGGGCAGGCGTTCTTCTTACCCTGACAGTTTAATGGAGTAAATGTGTGGATGTGTTTGCAGAGCTCGGTGCCCTGGCCTCTGATGCTCCACTCGTTCTGCTCCGAGCTGACGGACGCAGAAGAACCGCAGCTGCTCCTCATTGGGGGGGGTGGGAACTGCTTCTCCTTCGGGACTCATCTGAACCCTCAGCCTGTCTGTGTGGAGCTCCGGCCTGCACTGGGATGAGGCGGCGAACCACAACCAGGATTTTTAAAGCGTTAAATCCTGATAATTTGTCATTTTTTTACTGTTTGTTTCAACCGCTGTTTGTTTTTCAATAAAAATGTGATTTTAATCCCAGATTTTTATGCATTAAAATACTTTTTTATGCCCATTTTAACACCTGATGATCCATTAGAAGACGAACCGCCTATAGAATAAAGAACCCTGCTGTGATTGGTCAGATCCTGGATTACTATCAGCTAATTAGTCTTATGTTCACATGTTTGACCTCAGAGTGATGATTACAGTAAAACTTTTATTCCTATCAAACCTCAGTGAATAAAAACTCTGTAGACTCAGATTAAAGATAAAATCTAAGGGAAAGTTACTGATTCAGATCAAATATTTGCTTCTTCCTGTTTTCAAAAGTGGCTGAAGCTCCATCAGTCGATATTTAATATAAATAACCCTATAAATGCCCTGAGAAATTAGAACAGTTCAGCTGTTTTGGTTTATTTAATATTTAGATGGGGAGAAAAGAAAACTCCCTGAAACAATCTGCAGAAGGTTGGGCAGCTCCAGTGCTTAATGTAACGGGTCAGCTGATTAAAATCATTTATCAGCATATTAATGGGCCCAGTGTTGACATGAACCATCTAGAGATGGTTTCTGATTGGAAGTTTAATGCTAATAGTGCAATGCTTCATGTCGATCAGAAAACAGTAGAATAAAGTAGAAAGTGTCTTTAGCTTGATGCAGATTCAGTAAGACGTCCTTTATTATTATGAACAGCACAACGTTGGTTTATTTTCTTTAAAAAAAATACCATCATCCCCAAACAACAGAGGCTGCAAAAGCATAAATGTTTTATCTATATTATGGATGCTCAAGCTTTAGCTGGGGGCCCTGCAGTAGAACATTGTGGAGGGAGTGTGGTGATCTGGGGATGTTTTGCTCCCTCAGAACCAGATATGTCCTCTTTGGTTCTGCAGCAGGACCACCTCTGAATAACGTTAGAGAGACAGAATGAGGAGTGGCCTGTAGTTAAAGTCCTGACCTGAATCCTGCAGCTTTAAAGGAAAAGTCGCTCATATTCAGAATTCAAACTTCTGAAAGTTCTTTAAATCTGAAATGATTCCATCCTGTTCAATAAATGATCAGTGTTTTTAATTCAGAGTAATTTTCATGTGAATGTGCTTTACTGGAGGCATCCATGTTTGTCAAAGAACACTACTGCCACCTACTGGTTAGTGACATTGTCACGGTGCGGTATCGGCTGTTGATCAAGTCCCAGTGCTGTATCTGGTGTTTGTCACAACGCGCTATTATCCAAGTCATCTTGAAAACATTCTTCTTCCAAATGTTGGCTACATATTACGGGTTTTTTCTCTGGCCAGAAGTTCGATGGCAAATCCTCCCTCTTCAAGTTGGCGATCCAACGACCAACCCGTCCGTGGAGGATCAGGAATCAGAAAGGTGGAATAACTCTATTTTTCACTTTTACCCGATGTATTCCAGCATCCAGCTGCCATGCACGTGGGCATTGTCAGTTTCACTATAGCTCTGGTGAATTTCAATGGTGAAGTCCTCTGGAAATCTTCAATAATTGTTGTTGATTGCAGATGTGTCTAGTAGTTCCCATCGATTTAGCTTGTAAAGCGGGGAGAATGGCGCTAGGCTTACCGCACCGTGACGTCACTGCTGGAAGATGGCAGGAGGGAGGGGCTACTATATTTGGGCAAAAATGGCCGCTCCCAGACTCAGTGATCGCAACCAAAATTATTGTTTTTATTTTTTTTCTTTACTGATTAACACTAATTTCATTAAATCACATCAAACAGTTTTTTGGACCAACCAGAACCCCACAGAGAATCTTTGTTCTTCGCTGCTGTGCTGCTTGGTTCCATGTTTCTTCACACATGACTGAAACGTGTATGACGGCTGGCAGCAGCTGAAAGGACAAACATCTAAGCAGCATTCCTGTTGAAGAAAATGATCTCCGCAGCATGACGCTGCCACCGCCATGTTGTCATGGTAGCTCCTAGTGAGGTGGACAACTTCAGATCCTGTCGCCAAAAGTAATCAAATAAATGAGTATTTAATGTGTTTACAGTAGAAGTGTTGTCCTGTTAATTATTTTTGGTTCAAGAAGCTGAAGCAGCAAATATGCAAGGAAACTACTTTGATGTAAGAACAGGAAAAAAATTAGTAAAAATACTTAATTCAAAATTTAAAGAAATAAACAACAGAATATTAAACGCACACCCAGATGTGAAAGCAGCTAAAAACAACATTCAGAGATAACTAGTCTTGGAAACGAGGTGAATATATGTAAAAGCTCTACTTGAAAAAGTAAAAAATAATAAAAATTTAAAAAACCCCCCTAACTTTCTGATTTTATGTGACTCTTAGCTTCATAAGCTGTGCTTCCTGACTGAAAATTCATTCATGACATCCCTTTATTATCAGCCCAACCAGTCTTTATTCAAGTATAAAAAATTCTATTCAGTTTATTTCTATAGCTCCAATTCACATCATGTCATCTCAGGTCACTTTCCAGTTCACCAGATCATCCAGTCAGATTGATTCAAAGTTTTCTATCTAAGGAAAACCAGCTGATTGCATCGACTCATTGACTCTTCAGCAATCCCTCACACTAAGCATGCTTGTAGCGACAGTGGAGAGGAAAAACTCCCTTTGAACAGGATGTCATCAGTGACTTTGCCTCCAGAAAAGCCAGGAAGGGACAATTTTGTGGTCATTGTTGTACAATTGTGGGTGTTGAACCATTGCTGTTCTAATGTTTGCTTCCATTATTTAAGTATTTTTTTTCGTAACATCCTATTTTTGATTATATTCATGTTTCTCTATTTTTTTTTAAAGAATGCACATTTGCAAATAATTTATTTTATGTTTTGTAGCAGTTTGTATTCTGAAGTTTTAATAAAAGAGTCAAGTATTTTTAGTATAATTTATTTTGTATTAATACATAACCTAGCATAGTGTGACATTTGTGTAAATGGCTACGTTCACACAGCAGCCTGAAGTGACCCAAATCTAATTTTTTTGCCCATATACGACATGTTTCTGATCTTTTCATGGCAGTCTGAACACAGATCCGATTTGTTCCAATGCGACCCAGAACACTTGGCTCTGTGGTCCTGAATCCAATATGAATCTGATCTTTTTAAATACGACCTGTGTCTGGACAGACAGGTCGCATTCATCCGACCTGAACGCCATTAATACCCAACAAAGGTCACTATTCTGCCTCTTGCTACACAGAAGCGGCAAGATAAAGAACAACCATGGCAGACGATGATGCGGAGAGCAGTATTTATGTTTAACCATATTTAAAAGATTGAGTTTTTATGGTTGGAAAAGACGCCGAAAAGACCCCGAAACGCGCGCCGGCACAAACCCTTTTTTCCGGAAAAAAAAGAGCACGCTGGCCTGTGACGTCATCGCATCCTCTACTGCGCATGCGGGACACTTGCGTTGTATGACTGCAGTTCACACAGGAGATCACGTATAAGTCGCATATATTTATAAATATGAACGGCAACGCAAAAAAATGGGATTTCGCAAAAGGATCGGAATTGAGCATCAAGGCCTGCAGTGTGAACGTAGTCTATGATGTTTTTAGCATAGGTGATTCTGCGTGGTGAGAGGGGGCCTCCAGATCAAATTCTACTTTGCTGGCACTGATTTGGAGACAGGAGTTTTCTCCAAGCCCTTATTGGAAAAAGGTTTGGATTGTTTCAGATATTTTTTATTAGTTGAGTTAAATTCAATTCAGTTTATTTCTATAGCAAATATTCACAACTTATGTCATCTCAAGGCACTTTCCAGTTCACCAGATCATCCAGTCAGATTGATTCAAAGTTTTCTAAGGAAGATCAGCTGCATCGACTGAATAGAACTGAAACAGCCGATTCATCTGTTCCAGTCAGTCAAACACACCTATTTAAGCAAAACATTTTTGTTGTACCATTTCTGAAAGAAAATAAAAAAGATCCAGCACACAAAAAGTCCAAAGAGATTTTAGTTTTATTTGTACAGTTTCTAGAAAAGAAGGGGAGCCGACAAACAGCCCTCAGCAAGCCGTACTGCATCAGGAACTGGTATGAAAATCATCAGACTGGAAACGATGGAGATTTTCAGCTCTTCTTCTGGTGCAATAAAAACACTGATGGCCTGAAAACAACAATATTAAAACACTGTGCTGGTTGACAGCGTGTGTGCTTATTACTTCAACCTCAAACATCAACCGTCTCGCACAAAGATCAGCGTCAACGCTGGGAACAAAATCGTTTCATATCCGTACCTAAAGCTAAATCACTCACACACGCGCAGCTTTAACACAACCCTGGAGATGCTCCTTTGTTTATTACCAACAGATTCTGCTTTAGATTTGGAGTCACAGATCTACAAACGTCTGGTTTTGGTCTCATCAAGAGAAATAATGGGTGTTTATTTAAACAAAGGAAAATCTGCAGGCAGGAAGGAGAAATGGAAACATCCCTCCCTCCGAACGTCGTCTTTCAAAGTTCAATCTTTATCCCACATTGAGATTAAGATATTAAAGGATCAGTTCACACAATAACTCTTTTCAAGACATTTGGAGCTAAAAATCTCTGGATTAAAACCAGATTATTTAGAAATCAATTCAAGTTTTCAATTAACGGCTTAGTTTTACTAAGAGAACGAAGAAAGAGTAAAAGCGAGGCTACGAATCTGCAAGTAGGAGGTGGATTTTATTAATAATCGACAGTTTTTGGTGAACTTATTCTTTAAAACAGCATAACTGGAATTATCAAATAGAAAACACTATAAAAAGAAACCAAATGAAACAACAGCAAGGCACTGGACATGTTGGAGACGATGGCACGTTGCTGGTAGGCGGACACACAGAGGGCGGGTGATGCTGTGTACCTTTACATGGAAGTGCTGGCAGTATTTGTACCGTCATGATGAAGTTGATAAAAAGTACAAAGAACTGAGCTAAAGACTTTTTTTAAATCACGTGAGACATTTTGGTCTTTTTAAATCTAAAAACTGCTGCTCTGAGCTGAAAGTGTGCAAACGTGCACAGATGGGTGGTTTACACAGAGGGGTCAAAGTGCAGGGGGCGCAGTAAGACTGGAGGACGAAAACACATAAAGCTGTGTGATAATCTTATCGTTCATCCACACCTGCACTAATACTGCGTTTCTCAACAGGTACAGCCTGGTTCCATCGGCTAATTGTTCCTCACATGGTTGGGAGGTCGCTCATATTTATTTTTTTACTATTTCCTTTCACCTGGGATCCTCATTTTGACTGTTTAAGAAAGTCCTTGATGTAGCAGTAACTTCTTCATCCTAATAAAATCTGCCGGCGGAAACATTTTAGGCGACTTTTCTGAAATTTCCTGAACTTTCGTCCCGATTCCTTTGCAATATTTGCATTTCTGGTTGTTTATTTGTATGTTTAAGAATTTCTAATGAGTTTCCATGATAACGTGTCAAAAAAGGCTTAAACTATCCCAATAGTTATGTTGCTTTTTGGAAAACCTGATTTGAGGCCCCCGAGGGAATAAAGGGTTGATATGAGACCAGCCCGCTAACAGACACACCTTCCTGTTTTTTAGTAAAGTTGACCTTTTAAAAACAGCGACTGGCCGTGACTTCTTCTAAATTTGGGCGTTTTAATTCACTGCAGATATCTATGAAGCTAAAACTCCTCTTTAAGTCTTAAACAATAACTGATGTCTGGAAGCTAAAGAGGGGGATGAAAAAATATAGCCTAGCTTGTTTAAGCTAGTACAGCCTGGATCACTCTGGGGTCTAAAACTGTAGAAAATGGTTTCTTGTTCCAAATGAATCCAAAATTATATTTTTGGATTCATGTTAGCTTGTTTGACACAGTAGCTGCGTTTCCTGGTTTAGTGATGCTAATATTATTTAAGCTAACAATAGTTTGTGTTTTTTTTTTTTGTTTTTTTTTTACATTAGCTTGTCCAAATTCAAAAACTACGGAAGAGGATTAGGGCCACTGGGAAAAAAAAAAAGTTAACAGATTTTTAAATTTTATTTCAGATTAGTATGGGAAAAAAGTCAGAATTCCGACTTTTTTCTCAGAATTCTGACTTTTTTTCTCAGAATTCTGACTTTTTTTCTCAGAATTCCGACTTTTTTTCTCAGAATTCCGACTTTTTTTCTCAGAATTCCGACTTTTTTTCTCAGAATTCCGACTTTTTTCTCAGAATTCCGATTTTAATCTCAAAAGTCTGACTTTAATCTCAGAATTCTGACTTTTTTCTCAGAATTCTGACTTTTTTCTCAGAATTTTGACTTTTTTCTCAGAATTCTGACTTTTTTCTCAGAATTCTGACTTTTTTCTCAGAATTCTGACTTTTTTCTCAGAATTCTGACTTTAATCTCAAAATTCTGACTTTTTTTCTCAGAATTCTGACTTTTTTCACAAAATTCTGACAATACTAACAATCCCATACTAAACTGAAATAAAATAAAAAAATCAGTTAACTGTTTTTTTTTCCCAGTGGCTCTAATCCTCTTCCGTAAAAGACAGCTAACATTAGCTTGTTTTATTTCACGTAGCGAAGAACTTTCTTGCTAAAGAAAGAATTTTGTCGAAACATTGGCGTCCGTTTAATGCAAACACAGAAGCTAGCATGTACCTGACTAAAATTAGCTCAATTTCGTTTTAATTTTAAAACAGCAGAGTACGGGGAGGTGTTTGTTTTAAAGGAGGCACGTTTTTTGCGTAATTTCAGTGAGATTTGTCTGTGCAGTGTGAGCAATGGTGCAAAAGCTTGAGTCTCACTACGAAAGAGTGAGAGTCGGCAACGCGTTATTTTAAGCGTGGGATGCTAACACATCCGACGACGTGTCGGACCTTTTCCTGTCGATGGAACATAGATGTACCCGTCATGCTAGATTCTCTCTCCTGGTGAACATCTAAACGTCTCACTCAGGCTGTGCTATTCACATTCTGAAAACATTTCATCAAAATAAACAACCAACTCCAAACTTGTGCTTTAGCTGGTAAAACATTTCATAAAGTACCTGTTCACGTAACCCTTCAGTACATGTTATTTTCTTCTGAATGGAAGTCAAATATTTGGTACAATCTTAAAAAAACAAAGCATAAAATTACAGTTGAATTTCTAATAATCTTTGCGTACAAACAGTTAAAATGGCTTTTTAACAGAAAATGTCTGAGAGCGGCATGGCTTTGCTGCGCGGATGTTGAGTACTGAGGTTTAGTTTGGATTTAAGCACCCAGGAGCTTCAGGACTGAACCGGGGAGTCCATCGGACCGGAGCTGGAACCAGTCCGGATATCGTTTGTGCACCAGTTTGGTCAGCTGCAGCCGTCGGCCCTGGGAAGAATGAGGAGGAGCTGCTGGACTTCCATCTTTGAGACAGAGAAGGTCAACAGCCTGCAGGCGCAAAGCGAACATGTGGAGCCCCAAGGGTTTAATGTTTTCTTCACCAACACTAATAAAAAATAAACAACCTAACGATCAAACGCACTAATGATACTGTCTGGTATTGTTTTGTTTTTTATCATTTCTAGACGTTTAGCATCAATTAGTAATTTCATTGCTCTCAGAGCAGCACGCTCACATAAAAAGGCGTTTTAACTATTTGCTCCCAAAGCAAAGATCCCTGTGTGTCTGTTAGTTGTTTGTGTTTCCACTGTTAGGCCTGAAATCCGACTGTCCATGTAAACTTCAGCCGCAGACGTTCCTCCTGCTTTTAAAATGTAATAAATCTAAGAGGTAAAACAACAATTAATGGATTAATACAGAACAGTTTCAAAGTCAGGGAAGGTCCCCATGGAAAGGTAAAACTGGAACAGATTAAATAACTGAGATGATTTCCAGCAACAAAACGATACCTGAGGATTCTGTGGGAATCATTCATCTTTAAAAATCATTTAAGTCTTCTCAGCTTCTATGGAGACGTGAAGCAAGAACTAACTTTAAAGGAAAAGTCCGGTCAGCAGGGAATGATCAATGGATCATTATTTATACCCAAAACGAATATGTTCTACTATACGTTAGCGGTGATTTTATCATATCGCTACACCCATGCCAATACTGGCCCCTACCTCCCATGACCTCCAACAGATGGTGGAGTTCGAGGCCTACCTCTGACTGGTTGTATTACATTTATTGGAAAACGACCGAGTTTGGATTAATAAAGAAAATGAAATATAAACAAACCTCCATATTGATCTAGCTGTAAAACGGGAAGATGGAGGAGTGCGGACTGGAACTAGAACAGAAGTGTTCAGCTCCTCCAGTGGAAACACACCAGTAACCGGTTAGCTTTAGCCGTGATGATAAATGGAAACCAGCCGAACTCCAGGTGGATTTACTGATTCCTGCTTACAGTAGCAGCCATTCAAAATGGCCGTTCCCAGTCAAACACCAGTCCAATGGCGGCCCACTTCCCTGCAGCTCCCAGACAAATCCCCTCCAACTCCCAGCCACTGGCTTCCTCCTGGGCATGTTTTCACTCTGACTCCACCCTTTCACTGAATTGAATGGCTGCTACTGTAGTTACATTTATAACCCAGAAATTTGTTCTCAGTTTTAGATTTTACAAAATCTAAAAAAATATAATTTTTGTTTTTTATATTTAACTTCTGTGACGCCTTCAAAGTCTGCAGGATGAAACGACCACAACGTTCCACAGAAAAGTTTAGTTTGTAAGAAATTCAGACGAGTATGATTGAGTAGAAAAGCAGAGAGACATCTTATAAATTAATAAGAGAATAAATTAGGAATTAAATTCTGAGATCATTTTAGATTTTTTTGTAATAATATATAATAGTAAAATTTGCTTCATTGTTTGTTGCTGAAACCCTTGGAGCTCCATCATTAAAATCAGAAACATCCCTCTCCAAAAAAACAAAAAAAAAAGTCTGAGGTAAGAAGCGGGAGTCCGATCAGAGATCCGTCAAAAGGTTTCAGAGTCTTCTGAGTCGTTCTCAGTAGTTCCCTCGCTGGAAGGTCCCGAGGGGTTCCTGGGGCTGCGTGGTCCCCGCGGGCCGGCGTTCCCGCCTTTACCCCCCCGGCGAGGCAGCTGCCTCAGCAGGGAGCCTGGGGAGGGAGCTCCGGAGCTGCAAGGGGAGCAGAAAGGCATCATGGTAGCCAGAATGAGAGCCAGACAGTCAGCCACCTCTCTGCTAGGAGCACAAGCCAGAGCAGGGGTCAGACCTGAGGCAGAGAGACAGAGCAGAGAGGAGGAGGAGGAGGAGACATGGACATGGAGGAAGCAGGGGAGGCGAAGCAGAGGACAAAGATGGAGCAGCATTCCATTAGTTTACAGCCAGCTGACGAATCAAACAACAGAGGAGAACACCGAGGACAGCAAAGACCGACGCATCTAGAAGCAGTCAGAGCTGGAGGAATTATTCAGCCTCCGTCAGAAACGCTGCTGCTGCTTTAGTCCCACTGGTGGAAGAATCGGGCTGATTTCCAGCTTCTGCAGGAAACTCATCTCCTGTGACTCCAGGAGCAACGACTCGGCTCAGCATCAGGCCATGGGGGCTTTTATTCAGCCGGCTCTAGCAGACGGGTCGGACTGTGGGCGGTTCTGCTCGGATCACTCCTTCAGCAACAGTTCTAAGTCACCCGCTTCTATAAAGGGAGGCGCTGCGTTCGGACATTTCTACAGCAATCAGTGAAGGGAAGGACCTGCTCTCTGAGGGAGAACACAAGTGCCATGCTAACTGCTAACATTAGATGCTCAATTAAATCTGAGAAAAATCCTGTTTTTATAGCAGCTGCTTTCTGACACACCTGCTGCTAATTTATAATGACACCTAGAAAATAGCATTTAAACAACTATGTGGATATAAAACAGCTAAAGTGGGGACAAAGTTTGTTTATATATATATATATAATAAAAGAAGATTTTAAATTGAGAAAAAAATGTTTAAAACTAGATTTTTTTTTACAGCTCAAAATATTTCCAGGTGTTGCATTCAGGAACTGCGGAAACTAGAAACGCCTTTATTATATTCCATATTTTTGTGACTTCCGCTTTACTTGCAGGAAATGTCCATTGGGGGATGAATGCGCTGCTAAGATTCCCACAGTTCCTTAAGGGAACACCTGGTGATGTGTTTCAGATGCATAAGCTGTCATCATTTTACACCCCATGTAATCTAAGCCCCGCCCCCTCAACAGTTTGAAACTGATGCCATATTTGAAAAAAAAAAAAATTATCTTAAAAGTAGTTAAAAGATTTTTTAGATTAAAACATTTTTTATTTTAATTTCAATTTTCAAGTCGTCTTTTTTTATAAAAAAAATGTTCAGCCAAACTTTTTGGCCCCAATGTGGCTCCGTATCGGCAGCCGATTTTCTATTTGATTATGTTCACGTCTGGAATTGCTGTTATAAGAAAGAAAAACTGTTTTACTATCTGCTGCTAATGTCATTTCAAACTCTCAGGCACCAGAGAGTTCACGATTTAAGGAAGTTTTTAAAACCTTTATTTTATTTACAAGCAGAAAAGATGCGACTAACAGAGCCAGCGGCCATCTTTGATCATCAGATCTATTGTTAACGTTTAAGTTAGCTTTCTTAGTCTGATCAGAACAACGTAGATTCAGGATTTTTTGGACGGATATTTTTAAATGACTTCCAGCTCTGACCATTAATCACATCAAATAGACAAACAATGAGAAGAGTTCAACAACAGCTCCCACCGCCACATGAAAAGGTTCCTGTTAGAGGAAAATGGCTACGATGGGCCAGATATTTGTTCCAAATCCGCTGTTAGCTTCAAAAGGATAAAAAACATCCTGCAGAAGAATCTCTTCCATTCTAAAAGGAACAGAAACTTTAAATCCAGTGGGAGCAGCTGCTTTCAGCACCCTTCATGCTGCAGGAGAGAAAAGCTTTCATGCGGAGCGACGATCAAGGCGGCCTCCTCCTACCGTTCTCATCCACCGTCTGAACGTTGGCTCCTCTGGACAGCAGCTCCTGGACCGCCTTCTTCAGGCCGCTACGCGCCGCCAGGTGCAGCGGCCTGACGGACACAGACAGTTTCACACAGGGGTCACTTCACTGGGAACCGTCTTCATTCTAAGCTAGTTTCTGCTAAACTACAGACCGCCTACAACTAAAATACTTTATTTAGATTTATCCAGATTTTATCTGATAGACCACAATGTATTCAGACCCCTTTATGACGACAACCCTAAATAAAAAGCCTTTAGATGTCAGCGGGTTAGTTAGTAAATCAAATAGAGTGAGTTTGATTGAATCCACTTAGAAATCAGGGGCCAAGGTGTCGCTCTCACAAACTGACTTTACCGCTGGAACTGGATGCTAACTGTGATTTAGTGGAAAACCAGTGATCGGCGCTAAGGGAGACTGTTAGAGTTATTGAATGACAATTATAAAATTATTGTGTGGGCATATGAAACATTGAAGAAATAAGATGCTACATTTCTGTCCTGTGATTCAATCAGGAGGGTCATAAACTTTTATGACCTGCATCCAGTAGGTCATGAGGAAGTCACACTGTTGTGTGACTTCCATTCAGCCAGTTGGTCATTCTAGGGTCATAAAACCCACCCATCTGTCTTCTGCTCTGTGAATAAAAGACTCTGCTGTTCTGTTGGGGGTCAGATTGGTGCTGGGATGTGAGCAGCAGCCTTTCTCATTCCTGCAGGAAAAGCAAAATCCTTTTGTGCTTCAGATTAATTTTTGTCCTATATGAAATATGAAAAATGAACTCACAATATTTTGAATCTAACAGAGACTTTATCCTGTTAGCTTAGCTTTTAAACTGTGTTTTGCTTCTAGTTGGGATATTAGAATTTGGCTCCTTGAAGGTTATTAACTCCATCTATCATGCTAACTGCTAGCATACCTTAGTCCGGCGGTTTTAAAAATGTGAGGCCCCTAAAGTGCTCTGGCGCCCCCTAGGGGAGGCGCGGTGCGAGGGAAAAAATAAACCGATTCAGGACCGTGATAGAAAAACAAAGGGTTCGCATAGCGTGCGTAATTTTTTTTCCCTTTGTAAGCCTCCGCTCTTTCTTACAGCACGCTATTTTAGCTCGAGATAAATTGTTTAGATGAGCCACAAAAAGAGCTCCACGATTTTGCAACTGTTTAAATAAAAAAAATAAATAAAAAACTTAATTTCAAGGAAATTTACAGAGGTGTTCCAAAGATCTGATCAACATGTTTTTGTTAAGATGTGAAAACACTGTTGGCATCTCAAACATTAAACTATGAGTCTCAGATATAACGTTTGTTTGAGAAAACAGTTGAAAAGTGAGTTTGGGGTTGTTCTTATCATTAGAAAAATGAAAAAAAGGGCATATTTGTCAAACAAAGGCCCCGATAAAATAATTAAAATTGGAAGAAATATTTAAAAATGTTCATGTGTTAAATTTCACTCAGAGTGTAATTTTAAAAGATGAGACGGTTCTAAAATAAAAGCAATTACAAGGTGTTTTGTAGTGGCATTTTTAACACATAATACATACAATTAACACAAACTAAAAATGCTTAAACTCCTTTTACACACCAGCTCCAAAAAGACCAAAAGAGTAGAATTTAATAATATTTAATAATGCTTTAACACTGTATGTCAGAACAGATAAAACCACGTTCTAAACCTAAACCTTACAGGCTAAATTCAAGGTGAACAACTCTTCATATTGAATTGAAACAGAAATATATTCCCTGTATTGTTTTCCATTGCTAATGAGAAACATCTGATTGAAGTTATGTGACTGTTGAAATCACAGCTGAACTCTGCCAGGGGTGGATACGGCATGCAAAAAGATTCTTCCCACGATGCCTTGGTAGAAACCATATCAGCTGTGATGTGGATGAGAACATGTGGCCAAATGCAAAAGAACGAGTAAATTGAAAGTTTTTATTCTGGAGTATTTCTAATTGTATATCTTGTAGTAATTTCCTTTTGCAAATAAAGTATTTATACTGAAGCAATTCTGTCTCTGTCTTTTGTTTCATAAAATGTACGATCTATAAAGCTACTATCTGTAGCAAACGAAACAAAATGCATGTGTAAAACCCAGGTGTGCCTTTGTTCAGTTACTGTTTATTGTATAAGGGCACCTAACACATCTAAAATAATGCAGTTTCTGTAATTTCAGCTGATGATTGTGTTATTTTTGTCATTGTGTTATGATTTATTAAATGCTCCTGATAGAAGAGAACATGCGTTAGTGTTTTGATTAATTATGTGATTTTGAAACATGTTTGCAGTGTTTTGTTAGACATGGTGTGTCGTGTTAGTGTATTAATTTATTTTGAAATTTAGTTTTGGAGTTTAGTTTACATTGTGTGAAGTTAAACATGAAATTAACCGTTTTGCCAATCGTGTGTTTTAGGTGTGTTGGTGCGTTAAGAGGTTAGGAAACCTGTTAAATGTAGTGAAAACTGTGTCTTAGCGATTGTAAAAAACTGTAATAATCCTGCTGCTCCTCCATAGAGCGGCTAAATGGGCCCATTTAGAAGAACTGAAGGAGTTTTTCAAGAGTTTAGATTCACTAACAGAACCACAGGAAGTTCATTCTGGATCCTTGGATCCATCAAACGGTGGAAATAATCCGGAACGAACTCTGGATCCATTCATGTTTCTGCTTTCCAAAGAGCAGTGAGGCTACACCTAAAGGTGAACTTTGGCGCCCTCTAGTGAATGTTGCCAACATTACAACACTGAAAGAAATTCCCATGATCAGTTAATCAGATGGATCAAATTTTTATCCGATAAACTTTTAATCGACGATGATCCGTCGATTATTTGATCACAAAAAGCAACTAATGCTGATAAATTAAGCTTCATTTCATCTTTCAGAAACTCACGTTTGCAGGGCGGCGTTTGTGGCATTGATGAGCGTCGCGTCGGACAGCTTCTCTATGATCAGCAACACACAGTCTTCTTTCCCCTAAAACGAAAGGATGTTACAGCTCTGATGAAATACAATAATCTCGCTTTAGCTAAGCTCAGAGTGTGAATCAAAGCAAGTAAAGCTCCCAAACTAAAAATTGGAAATACAATTGTTTGTATTTGTATAACAGAAAGGCACTGAGGAATATTTTTCAGGTGGAACCGCTATTTTAAATGTCACCATGTCTAAAATTATAGGTGATTAAGCAAAGAAAAAATGAAAGATATTTAGCCTCACCAAATTTGTTTTCCAAAATAAACACTGCGAAACACCATGAAAACCCATTTGAAACTCTGGATGAACCGTCAGACTTTATAGATCCACATCTTGACTATAACTGAAGCAAATTTGGACTGAATAAGTTGAAGAATGTTTGTTCCACAGAGGATTTAGTGGGCAGGGTGCGAGGAGGAAGCTTATGTAACACATGCCGGTTACATGACCTGGAATGGTCGCACAATGACCTCCGACCCCTCAATGGAAAGGTCTTAGCCTGTAGTTTCCATTGATGGCGGCCATTAGGGGGCGGGGCTAAAAATGAATACCTGCTGTTGCATTACTCCCAGACATTTCAGGTAGAATTTTAAATCTAATTCTATTTGTTTACACATCTATAAAACAAATACTTTTGAAAAAAATAAATTTGAAAGATGTTTTAGAAATTTTAAAGTCCCATTTGAAAGGTGTGTGGATGAAACACCATGTGACTGTGTTTCGGCCATTTCTATAAATAGATAAAGATCAGCTGGTGTCAGCGCCGGGCTTAAATACATGAGTTTTTATAATAAACCCATTTTGTGATCGATAACAAAGTCAAAACTGTTTGAAATTATCGACATAGTGGGAAAATAAATAAACTTTCTTTTTTTACTCTGCTGCTTTAAAAAATCAACTGTAGGGATTCAGAATCTCCTGCAGCCGGATGACATGAGCTATGCAAATTAGGCGATGATGTCATCTAGCGCCTTTTAACATTGGCTGAAATTCTGTTTAGGCTCCAGAAGGACGAGCTAAACGCTGTCAGGACGGACGCTTGGTGTTCATCGCCTTAGATCATCAGGATCAAATGATTATTTTTTGTGTTCAAATAAAACTGCAGCTAGCACAGTGATTGCTAGCTGGACGTTAGCACTTCTCCACGCCGTGCCAAAGTTCTGCAACTTTATATGTTGGACAGGAGAGCATAACCATAAAAAGCATAAAACCTCAGAGCTGCGAGTAAACATGCTACCGTTAGCATAGCCCTGCAGCCATTACTCTATGGAGACAGATGGTAAAGCTGCACAGTGGTGCTGCCGCTTCAAACACTCACGTTACTGCAGGCCAGGTGCAGCGCCGTGTTTCCTTCTTTGTCCGTAAGGCTGAGGTCTGCATTGGCGCCGGTCAGCAGCACATCTGCAAAAAACACCGGCGTTAAAATAAATCAGAAAGAAGCAAGCAGCAGAGAAGAAAACCGACTCAAACAGAAAGAGAGAATCGGCACCGAGAGCTTCGGCCCGGCCTTTCTCTGCCGCCATCATCAGCGCCGAACGGCCCGACTGGTCCACAGTGTCTACAGGTGCATCATGGGAGAGAAGCAGCTGGATGCAGTCTACGTGTCCGTTGAACGCTGCAGCGTGGAGAGGAGTCCTGCAGGAGCAAAGGAAGAGGAATGATGCACTGGAGACGAGAGCTGCAGCATCGGCGGCGTTCAGCTCTGGTCTTACCTGCCCTTCGCATCGCTGCAGCCGGCTATGTCTGATCCCATGGCCTCCAGAAGCAGCGACGCACACGCTTCATGGTCGTTCAACCTGACAATTCGACACACGGCGCCAGGCATGAAGGGCAAACAGCCAAACGGAAAATGTAGCAGAGGGACCAAGAGGCCGACTTACGCTGCACAATGCAGAGGAGTGAAAGGGTTCCCATCGATGCAGCGGCAGCCTTTCTGCTCCAGCAGGACCTCCACACACCCTTCATGGCCTGATGATGCAAACGCATTTTAGTAACAACCAGTGGATAACAGAGGAAGTATGGCGTCACATTTATTTCAAAACATTCTGGGAGCAAAATAAACATACAGGCATGTATGTTAAACTACTTCTGCCATTGGTTTATCTACCATCGCTCAAAGATGCAGGAGAAACCGCCGCTCAGAGAGGAGGAAAACGCTCTCCACGTGCGGCAGTTCCTCCCAGGCGCGCTTGGGATCTAACCGCGCACACGATTTTCTGTCGTGGCCATGCTGGAGGACAGCTGCGCTCCTGAAAGCGTCTCTGCCCTCGGAGTGATTTTCAACTCGCGCAAAAAAAATAGTTTTTTGACAGGTTGGGTGGAGAAAATCCTCTACTGTAAGCCTCCTCCTGATTGGGCCTTGCAGACACCATCACACAGGAAGTAGTGTTATGGCTGGAGGCGACATTGTCCCGCCACCAGCGGGAGCTTTTAATAGAGGCGGGAGTGTGGTGCCTACAGCCGTCGCCTCCACCTGAGCATGATGCCAAGTGACTGTGGGAGGAGCTAACATGCGTAGAGAGTATTTTTCTCCTCTCTGAGCGTCAGTTTCTTGTGCGTGTGTAATTTTGATGTGCGGTGGTAGATAAACGTTGGTGAAGATTCTCAGTCATCCAGGTCAGAGTCATTCCAGAAAAAAGAAAATAAAAAACAATCAACTGGACTTTGTTTCCAAGTTTGAAGACGTTTCGCTTCCCATCCAGGAAGCTTTTTCAATTCTAGATGTCAGGAACGAACTCAACGCTATTTCTGACATTTTGAATTCAGAAAGCTTAATTTTCTTTTTTTGTGGTAGATAAACCATGCGCAGAAATAGTTTGCGGCGTTTTTAAATAAATGTGACGCCATATGATGTATCTGAAGGCTCAGGAGGATAAAAACGCTTCAGCTCTACAGCAACCCATTGAGCCTTCCTGTTATCTGCTGAAAGTCCTGCTCTCTCTCACTCTGCAGCTCTGCTAGTCTTTGATAAGCTTTTCTGTTGCTGTTTGCCTTTTTCAGACGGTCTTTCAATGTCTTTTTTTTATCTTCTGACATTGCATTCTGTAATTTCGCATTTCTTTGCTGCCTGACAGTTGTTTGATGCCTCTGCTGCGTTGACCACCGCTATTCTAAAATTTGCATTATAACAATCAATCCACTCCGTTCTAGGCAGCGACTCTCCGTTTGAAGCATCCTGGTCACTTCCTCTCCGTTATGATAGAAAGATGAGCCCAGCCACGAAAAGATCTTCAAAGTATAATGATTTTGAAGCTGTTATTGTTCGTTTTCTTGTTGGAGCGATGGGATTTCTGCAGCTGAGCGCCAAAAAGTCGGGGATTCAAATCTAGCTGTACTTCCGCTGATTTTATCCTAAATATACAGCTCAAAAAAATGAAGCGACACTCAAATAACACATCCTGGTTCTCAATGTATGAAATATTTTCATTGGATACTTTGCTCTGTAGAAAGCTGAATGTTCTGACGACAAAATCACAAAAAAACCCGAAGTTTGATTTAATTGAAGTTATATTGCGTCGTTTATGTGTTTCCTTTTTTTTTTTGATCAGTGAGAGTCGGCCCACTGAGAGTGGAAGTAACTAACCGCCTTAGGAAAAGTGCCTAACGAGTGTTAGCGTGAGGAAAGAACATGAGGCATCAATCAGGACTGATTATGATTAAAAGCGTCTGATTCTTTCTCTGATTTGGATTTTTTAACGAGCGTTTTAAAGACGTATGAAAACCAGAGCTGCTGATGTCACTGACCGTAGTAGCAGGCCCAGTGCAGAGGTGTGTACCCGCTGACGTCCATCAGTGGCGGCAGAGACGGCGACTCTGAGCAGGCGATGCTCAGGAGCTCGCTCAGCCAGGAGGCGTGTCCCCGAGCGGCGGCCAGGTGGATGGCCGTGCGTCCCCGAGCGTCTCCCAGCAGCACGGACGCCTCCTGCTCCAGCAGGCACTGGATGCACTCCTCCTGACCACACAGCAGCTGGGGCAGACAGCGCAGGTCAGAGTGGTTTCAGGTTCCTCGCAGAGAGGCGTGTGTTGGATGCTCACCCCGAGGTGCAGCGCCGTGAGGCCGTGGCTGTCCGCCTGGTTCACGTTGGCTTCCCTCTCCAGCAGCAGCGACACGGCGTCCACATGACCGCCAGCCGCCGCCAGCATCAGAGGAGTCCTGCAGGGAAGAACGGCGGCGCTTCGTTAGCAGCGAGCACGCAGGCGACCTGGAGGAGGAGCAGGAGAGAAAGACGACTCACTGTCCCTGGGAGTCCGCAGCGTCGATGAGCTCCGCTCCGTCCGACTCATCCAGCAGGAGGCGCACACACGTGGTATGACCGTTCATCACTGACCCGTCGACAGGCAGAGAGCAGCAGGCGTTAACGGATGTCCAGCTAACATCATGGCTTCAACCTCCTAGAAAATGCCCTACCTGCCAGGTGCACAGGTGAGCGGCCGTACTGCCGATCGGTGGCGTGCGGCGACGCCCCCTGGCTGAGGAGCGTGTGAACGCAGTCGGTGTGGCCCCGCAGGGCGGCCAGGGCCAGAGGGGTCCTCCCCGCCTCATCTGCCTGATCCACGTCTGCGTCCCCCTGCAGCAGCACCTCCAGAGCCTGGGCGTGGCCGTGGTACGCCTGAGCAGAAGCGGGAAGCCGTTAGAGGCTGAATGGAAGCTTTGAATCAGGAACCCACCGACTAGCAGAGACTCACGGCGAGGTGCAGCGGGCTCCTGGCGTGAGGAGATCCGGGATCCTCTGGATGGTCGTCATCTCTGTTCAGCAGCTGCAGGTCACAGAAACATCTACATGAATCCCTGATGCATCAGACTGTGGTTCAGAAGCGGCAGATTAAATGTAATCCAACTTTACCCATAATCCATCTGCTTTTTATACATTTAATATTTCAGGTTAGTTTGGAGCTGATTCATTGGTTGATTTTGTTCCATTGGTCATTTTAACAAGTATGGAGTGAATTTTGTTCCATTATTGTTGTAAATTTGAAGGATAAAGGAGCAGTCCAGAAATTAAAGTTTTAGAAAAAATGTATCATCAAAAATGTCTTTTTTCCCACATTTTATTTTTTCAAATTTCTCTTTTTCAGATCGAGTTGGAATAAAAACGCTCGCTTGTTGACCAATAAAAATGCTGTTGCTAACGTCCAGCATGCTAACAGAAATGCATCTTCAATCACAGAAGTGAAAAAAAGCGAAATTTGAAAAACCTTTTAAAAAAACAGAAAATAAATTAAAATCTGACGTCGGATCCAGAATATAATAATAAACAAATTCATCTGAGAAAACATGAAGCTTCTCTTAAAGGAGAAGTTCACTTTTTAACACTTTAAGCCCATTTTCTGTAGTGTCCAGGATGAAATCGAATGATCGACACCAAAATGTTGACAATTGGTCCTGTCTCTGCTTTTTGGCTCATTTAGAATCCCCCCCTGGCTGCTTCAGAATGGCTAGCATAGAGCATGTCCGATAATGTCCTTAAAACAACCTTAAACGTTCTTTTTTTAAAATATGCTACTCACCGGGTCGTCAGCGCTGTTCAATGACGTTCCAAAAAAAGTTTCGTGAAGAAAAAACGTTCCTGTAGTGTTTTATTTAGCATTTTGTAAATCCCATTGAGTTCTGTAGGAATAGTCAATATTCCGCTGCCACCGGAAACGGAAATGGGGCCTGTTTACACAGTTGTAGTCTTTTCGCTTCACTCTGTGTACTCCGACGTCGAGAATCAAGAATCCACCTTTCGTATTCCATTTTCAGAGTTTTTTAAAGTGTTTAACAGAGACGTTAGCACCTCGACGTCGGAGTACACAGAGTGAAGCGAAAAGACTACAACTAAGCGTAAACAGGCCCCCTTTCCGTTTCCTGTGGCGGAGGGATATTGACTATTCCAACAGAACTCAATGGGATTTACAAAATGCTAAATAAAACACTACAGGAACGTTTTTTCTTTACGAAACTTTTTTTGGAATGTCATTGAACAGCGCTGACGACACGGTGAGTAGCATATTTTAAAAAAAGAACGTTTAAGGTTGTTTTAAGGACATTATCGGACATGCACTATGGAAGCCATTCTGAAGCAGCCAGGGGTGGATTCTAAATGAGCCAAAAAGCAGAGACAGGACCAATTGTCAACATTTTGGTGTCGATCATTCGATTTCATCCTGGACACTACAGAAAATGGGCTTAAAGTGTTAAAAAGTGAACTTCACCTTTAAAACCATTAGAAGCTTTTCAAAGCGTTGCATCTTTTTAAATTTCCATTTTCATAAACTTTTCTTTTCTTTGAACATTAATGGGACAAAAAACTTCAAATCTAAATAAATCTAGTTTCTTTAAAATAATCTGCTTTTTTTTTTCTTGAATTGAGGAGGTAAGTGAGACACTTTGGTAATGGAACAAGACTATTTACATTTAAAATAAGAAAAAACAATTGCATTGTCTCATTTCAAGTACATATTATATAATTATCTTATTTTAGGCAAACTCTTTCTACTGGAATATCATCTCATTTAACTACTCAAAATAAGGTGAAATACATATTTAAAGATTTTCTTTTTAGTCATTTTGAAATTATTTTTGCAGTGTAGAATCAAGTCATGCTAATGGAACAAAATCCCACTAAAAGATGTTTAAAGATTTCATATCTAAAATCATTTTACTTTTTATCTGAAAAGTTAAGATTATTTAACCTGGATTATAAGGCCATACTTGGTGCCCTAATCCCTTTCAGCATTTAAATTTATTGTAAAAATAGAAAACATTTCGATTCAAACTAAAAAAGATATTTTTAGGACTTTCAATCTTTTTTACAGGATTATTGACACATAAATAAATCATATACTGACTGATATATATTTGAGGACAAAATAATCTTTTATAAATTTTGGGTGTTTTATGCTTCTCTGATTTTTATTGTTTGTTGTTTTAATTTAGATAAAAAATTTATACAATAAAAAAATTTAAGAGAAGTTTTACTAGTCCTTGCTTCCTCGTTTGTTAGCGTTTAGCTTCAGGGTTTAAGACTGAACAGAGTCTAAGGCTCTGTTCTAATTCATGGGATGCGTCCTCAGAAGGCCAGATTTGAAGGCCGATGACGTCATAGCGCGGCGCCGAGGTCTGGTCGGATTCCAACACTCCTCGTTATGCGGCTGATAAATGCGTCCTTCGTTTTGCCTGATTTGAAGGACGGGTCCGATGTATCCTCGCTATCCTTGGTTTACCCAGGATTCATTGCGAGACCAAGCAAGCCGTGATCAGAGGAAAGGTTACTTGGCGCCTAACAGTGGTGAAAATTGGAATTTAAGTTTAATATAATACAAGTCTGTGAATAGTTCCATCTGAAATTAATGAAAATAGTTGTTTTAATGGTTATTGAGTCAGATATGTGGCGGTAATGTTTGATTTATCTAAAGGTTTTTATCTGTTACTGATTAAATGGGTTTGGCTGTAATTTAATGACAGATTCTAATAAATCTGCAGGGTGGGGACTATAAATCTGATAGGATTTAGATTTTTTTATTGCTGTTTTGCACAATATGCTTAACTAAGATGTGTTTGTTTTTAAGTATTAGCGATTTTGCAGATATATTTTTATAAATACATTGTTTAGATTTACTTATATATTTCTACCCCTTTTATAGAATAGAATAGAAAATCCCTTTATTGTCCCACAATGGGCAGATTTACAGCAGCAGAAAGATTATTGAAAATGGTCACACAAATGAGGACCTTAGAAAAATGTCTAAGAATAACATAATAGGGAAGAGTTAAAATATAAACAATACAATACTGTAAAGTGTTTTAACAACATAAAACTGGAGAATAAATAACCAATATGCAGCTATGGACATTTTTACAGTAATGGATATTTGAAAATAGCAGCAACATCAGAGATGTGCAGAATGACAGCAGCAGGTTATTTAACTGACTAAGGTTTCTATCATTACATTTGATTTGATTAGTTCCTGCTCCCGGTGGTTGGAACCTTTATTCCATTCTGGATTCTCATCAGTCTTTGTTCACTTTATGATAAAAATTTTTTTAAAAACTTTGAGAAAAGTTTGGTATTCATTCTTTTCCTGCTTTGTGTGTCAACTGTCATGGTTGCTAAGCGACGGAGCGTACGGCTGCAGAAGGCTGGACCTGTTTGTCTCCTTATTTTCATGGACTTTGAAGGATCCAGTCCAGGTAGACCACGTCCTTGGAGGACGCAGCCCAGGATTTGAACAGAGTCTAAGTTAAGGTTTAGGATTAGCTGTGCTCTGGTAAAGGTTGGGTTAAGGTTATTATCCAGGATGCAGAAACTAGGGATGCACCATATTGGGATTTTGGCCGATATCCGATATGCCGATATTTTAAAACTCATGTAGCCGATAACCGATATCGATACCGATGTTAAAGCTGGACAAAAATAAGTAGTCATTGAAAATAGCAGTTTTGTTATCCATTTCTGACACTTTGAAAAATAATAAACTCAAATATATTTTCATATGCTGATATCGAATAGATTTTTAAAAACGCGGTATCGATCTATTTTACTTTCAAAATCTGGTGAAATTTCATCTTTCTGTTACAAACTCTCGTGATATTTTGCAAATTCTTGTGAGATTTTGTTAGTAAAATAGATCGATACCGCGTCAATATATCAACATATAAAAATATGGCAACATTTGGTGAATTTTCGGGGGATTTCGTAGCATAACGATGACATATAGCAATATTTCATTAGTAAAAGAGATTGATATGGTGTTTTTAAATGGCAATATATCAGCATATGAAGATATTGGGATATTTTAATGGATCAATATTTTTTCCTTCGTCTTTAGAAGTTTTTAAGTCTGTAAAAAAGACGTTTTTGAGGAAGAAAAAGAAGTAGTATTTTTATTTTTTTTTTTTTTTAGACTTTAGAAACTCAGAAGCTGATCAAATATCGGGTTAAATATCGGTGGGGTGGCCGATGTCCGATATTCAGTTTTAAGGCCGATACCGATAGGGGGCCCATTATATCGTGCATCCCTAGCAGAAACTGTTGAAAATGTCCAAAAAGCAATAGGAGTCCTCATTGCATATATAAGATTAGGATGTGTATGTGTGTGTACCAACCAGCTCCAGACAGTGCCTGTGTCCGAAGGCGGCGGCGTAATGGACCGGACTGTAGCCCTGTTTGTCCTTCAGCGACGCCGTGGCTCCGCTCTTGAGCAGGAACTCCAAACATCTGCAGCATCGACACAAAGACTCAGCAAACGGAGCGAAGCAGGCGCCTCCAACATGTCCGCCGTGTTCAGTACTCACAGAGCTGCCTCCTTCTCCCTCTCTGCCTGGACGCCCTCGCTCTCCGGCTCCAGAGCCACGCGGCGCCTGCAGACCATACACTGTTATTCTACAACAAGCAGCTTTAACATCAACAGAAAATTATCGCATTTTGATCATATTTCTATAATCATATGAATGAAATCTGGAGTCTCTGAGTTCATTAAATCAAAACCGGAAAAGTTCTAAAAAATAAACCTGTTTTTGCAAACAGTCGGATGTTCTGTCAGATCAGCATACCCATAGTTAATTCCTGTTTATCCCTTTAGTCATGTACAAAAAATAACAATTTAATTACTTACTTTTTGGTGTTTTTTGAAGCGTATGGCGATCTGACTTTAAATTTCTTTTTTTACTAAAGGGATACGTTGCAAAAAATGGCAATCCCAATAAGTATTTTTCTTAAAATAAGTGCTTTTCGTCTTAAAATTGAGGAGGTAAGTAAGACACTTTGCTAATCAAACAAGACAATTTATATTTAAAATAAGAAAAATTTCAAGAGCATATTATCTAATTATCTTATTCTAAGAGTAAAAATACTCATTCCATTGGCAACTTATCTCATTTAACTGCTCAAATTGGGGCTAAATTCAATTAATTTCAGACATTTTTACTTATTTCTTGCTTGTTTTTGCAGTGTACACGCCCGTTGAGGTAGTTCAAAGTCTATTTTTCATACAAAACTAAAGGGATAAACACAAATCTGACATGTTGCTTAAGCGTATCGACTACAGGTATGCTGGTCTGACAGAACACGGGCTGTAAAGGTGCTGCTGGAAGCCGAGCCTTCATTCCCTCCCAGGTTTGCCTGACAGGAAAAGATCTGCAGGCTTCTTTTATTCGCACGCTTTGGACATTTGTGCAGCTCTCAGACTGTAGTGAAGCTGCTTTTCTGCTTCTTAAAGAGGAACAGGAAATAAGGGATTCTTAAACTACAGGATCTAAATATCTGTCACAGTTTTCAGGTCTGCAGAGAGGATCATCCCTGCAGGACAACGTCTGTGCAGAGCCCACACATCCTGGACATGCTCTGCATAACTCGTATTCCTGGTCTTATCTGAGTCGACGTTTCCTGAAACAGCCGTAGTCTATCTCACCTCCTGTCCAGGTCTGAGGCGGCGGCGTAATGCAGAGCGGAGCGCCCCCACTGATCCGTGGCATTGATGTCAATGCCGCACGCCACCAGCGTCTCCAGACACTGGAAGTGGCGGCTGGCGGCGGCGTAATGAAGGGGAGTCCTGAGGGACACGAGAGCAGACAATCCGATTCAGCGGGACTCCAGGAGAAAAGGAAGGAAAGACGAAAGTCCTTCGGATCAGGACGACGTTTCCTACCTGCCACATTTGTCTCTCCGGTTGTGTTCTCCACCGCTGCTCAGCAGCAGTTTGACACAGTCCACATTTCTGCAGAAAAAAAGAACAAATGTTGGAGCAACTGTCCATAAATCATCATAAAATAGATCAGAATAAGAGGGATTCATACTAGATATGGAATTATTATATAGATTTATGATGCATCTAAAGCGTTAAGAGTTAAATACATTAATTCTCCTTTAGTTCCATAGATTTTGTTCTTGTCTAAAGACTATTTTTCTTAAACAAAAATAACAAAATGGCAGAGATACAGAATTTGTTTTCTGGAAGAAAAACAGTCTCATTGGAATCTGCCTTTTTATACACTGGATTTTAAACAATTGAATTGAATTTAATTTTTGATGACACATTGAATTCCTTACACTGAATTGTTATCTGGTAAAAATCTTCCTGCAAAAAATTCAGCTGCAAAACATTTGCCTGCCAATGTGTCGACCTTTTGGTAAGCTGAAGCCAAAGCAGTCGCCACTCGATGCAGCAGAGCAGCTTCTAGCCAATGACATCAGCTCATTGTGTTATAAACTAAATGTGAGTAAAAGATGAGTTAGAACCGCTGATAAAACAGGTGAATGGGGAGTAAATCTGGTTCAATTTGCATGTTTTCTAAGCCAAAACATATGGAAGAAAAACAGTCTTATTGGAATCTGCCTTTTTTTTAACACCGAATTTTAAACACTGAATTCTTTTAGACATTGAATTCCTTACACTCACTTTTTATCTGGTAAAAATTCACCAGAAAAGAATTCAGCTGCCAAAGTGTTGACCTTTTGGTGAACTCAAGTCAAAGCAATCTACACTCGATAGAGTCGAGCAGCTTCTAGCCAATGAAATTAGCTCATTTGGTCACGTGACACAACAGCTTTGTTAAACAGATAGAATTACAAAACGTCAGTTAGCTACTGACAGACAGCTATAATGCTACGTTTGGACGCTGCAGGCGCGGCAGAAGCAAAGGTCCCGCAGCGCGTCTGAGCAGCTGAAGCAGCGCGTCGGGAGCGTTTAAGCATCTGACGCGCCGCAAACACACTGCTGCTCGAGATGGAAAAATTTAACTTTAGCTGCTGGACGCGCCGCATCAACCAATCAGAGAAGCTGATCTGGGAGCTGGCAGGGAGACAGACACATCGCTGATGATACAGAGCGCTGTGATCGCTCCTCTGAAACTGTTTATTGACGCGTAAATTAACTTAAAATGCAGAAATCTGCCGACAGAATATGTTCCCTTTCATTATTCTGGTGCGGCAGGTTGGATTATTTAGATGAAAAACACCTACCAGCCGCCGCGGCGAACCGCGAGGAGGCGACCCGGCCAGAGGCTGCTGTTGAATGGGATCCTACTGACAGCGCACCGCTGGTATGTGGGGGTCTGAGCGGCTCCGACAGAAATAATATTGTAAGGCAGGATGATAATCTGGATGAGCTGACTGCACTGATTAAGGCCCCGTCCACACGAAGCCGAACCCTGGCCTAAACGCGCAAATTTTTCACCAAACCAGCCTCTCATCCATACGAAGCCGGCGTTTCGGGGGTCTGTAAACGATCTTTTTTTTATTAAGCCTTCAGAGTGGGAAGATTTCGAAACACCGTTTTCGCGTTTCCATCTTTAAGCTCTAACCGCATTTTTTTTCTTACACGCATGCGTCATAGCGTCGCCTCTAAACACGCATGCGTCATAGCGTCGCCTCTAAACACGCATGCGCGACACAGTATCACAACAACAATGGCGCCGTACTGTGTTGAATGGTTGCTGCTCATGCTACTCACCCTGCTGTCGGGCTTACAACAGAATCTTCTTCTTCTGGAATATCTCCAGGAAGAACAGAGCAATATCGACCACATAGTTCAGCACCTGAATTTGACTGAACCACGAAAATGGACCCGCAGGGCAACCATGTATAAATATTACTGCGCATGCCCAACATTTCGTCGCCTATTTTTGCTTTGGCACCACAGCGCCACTTACAGGCCTGGCATACATTTTGCAGCGTTTTCATGCATTCGTGTGGACGATCACATTTATTTTACGTCTCAATCTTTACGACAAACGTTCTGGAAAATATTAGAGTTTCGTGTTCGTTTTGACTTCGTGTGGACGGGGCCTAAGTTTTCAGGTGGATTTTTTCACTTAAAAACATATTAAAACTACTTTATTCCCACTGATCACAGCAAATACAGCTGCAAGGCAAAGATAGGATAGAGTAGCTCCGCCCAACGCGCATCAGACAAACTTTTGCACCGCGCAGCCAGAGCAGCAAAGCTGCTTCAGCCGCGCGTCAGAACTAACTGGTACAAGCAGTAAAAAGGAAGCAGCAGACGTGATTTTGCTGCTCCTGCTGCGTCCGGTGTGAACGTAGCATGAGAGTTTTTCCTCTTATCAGACTGGGTGAAACAACTGAGCCGATCACAGCTAGGACGGCACCCTGTCTGTTTGCCGCCGCCATGTTGCCTCTGGCCGAAATGAAGAAGAAAAAAGTTTGCCGCCGGCCGCTTCTCCTGGCTGTGATCGGCTCAGCTGAGCGCAGCTGTTGTGTCACGTGACGAAATGAGCTAATTTCATTGGCTAGAAGCTGCTCAACTCTATCAAGGGTAGATTGCTTTGGCTTGAGTTCACAAAAAGGTCAACACTTTGGCGGCTGAATTTTTTCTGGTGAATTTTTACCAGATAAAACTGTAAGTGTAAGGAATTCAATGTCTAAAAAAATTCAGTGTTTAAAATTCAGTGTTAAAACAAGGCTGATTCCAATGAGACTGTTTTTCTTCCATAAAACAAGGCTTTACTTTTGTTCCACTCTATAAAGCCTGGAACTAAACGCTATTTCTGACATTCTGAATTGAAAAAGCTTCCTGGATGGAAGAGAAACGTCTTTAAACATGGAAACAAAGTCCACTGGATTGTTTTTTTACTTTTTTGGAACGATGAGTAAAGTTTAACATATACATGGAAAAGTTACTGATTTTGATCAGAATAAAGGTTTATGCTGAAATATTTCTGTATTTAGTATATTTTGTATTTTTCTATTTTCCCAAAACGTGGTTCAGGTAAAAGCTTTGAAAGCTGTTTGGACTCCTGGACAGGTGTGTTCAGCAGGACTCACCCTCCTGCAGCAGCTGCATGAAGGCATGTTCTCCCAAGCCGGTCCGGGGTGTCGATCTGGAAGCCTGCGGACAGGACCGAGTCGTTACACATAAAGCTAAACCTCCGGCCTGACGAGGGCAGCGGCGGGAACACAGAGAGGAGGAGAGGAGAGGCAGGCGGTCGTGGAGAGAGAGACAGGTGTTAGTGGAAAGGAGGGGGAACCAGCTCAGCCACAGGAAGCGTTAGGTCACATTTACACATCAGAACTGGGAGGAGTTTATCCCAGCTGGCAGAGCGCTGGACAGAAGGTCAGAGGAAAGGAAAATAACGATCCGCTACGGTTAAAACTATGAGGTGGATTTTATATGAGGTTATTCCAGAAAGTTAAAAAACAATTCGCTAGAATTTTTATTTCTAGGTTTGAAGACGTTTCGCTCCCATCCAGAAAGCTTTCTCAATTCAAAATGTCTGGAGTAGTGGCGCTCCAGGCTTTATAGAGTAGCCCCAAAAAAAGCCTCGTTATGGATTAAAGTTGATTTATACTCAGAAACCAGATATGCCCCGCCGCAGACACTCTGCTGCACCTCTCCAAAATTATAGGTGACCGCAGAGAGGATATATGACCGCCAACGACTGGTGAAGATGGACCCGCTAGAAGAGCGAGGTGCGTGAGAACGCTGGGACCCTTTTCCACCTGGATCCCCGCTCTTTTTGGCCCTCATGTCACACACTATCCGCCACTTCCTCACCGCCTCGGCCGTATCTAGACCCACAGCTAGTTCCTGATTGGCCCTCTGGCGTTGTGGCGTGGAATAACAATGCGCAGACCACACTTCAATATTGGGCAGAAATTAAAAATATCTGCGACACGCTAATGCTGGAGGATAACCGGACCTTTGGAAAGCTTGCGAATTTAACCGAAACAGGTCCACCTGTTAGTAATGGGGATTCGTTAGGGTCGTTATTGGCCTGGCTAAACAGGAGCAACGTTTTGATCACCTGCATGGCGACGAGGATTGAGGAGATAGCAGGAAGGAATCAACTCTATCGCAGCGTTATAGTTACTGTTTAAGGTTGGTTTTCCTTTCTTAACATAGATGCTTCCTTCCTCTCAAACCACCTGTCTTCTTTGTCCAAAATGTGAACATTCTGGTCCTCCAAAGAATGTCCTTTGTCCATCAGGTGTAGATGTAGCACAGATTTTGTCCAGAGGAGGGCGCTCTTCTGTGTTGGGCCATGCGTCTGTGGAGAGGTTGTTTGGTTTCTCCAATATAAAGATCAGAGCATTCCTCACTGCATTGACCTGCAGACACTCTGCTCAGATTAGGTTCTGGTTTTTGTCTTTAGGATGAACTAGTCTCTGTTTCAGGGTCTGTTTGGTTTGAAATGTTCCAGGATTTAATGTTTAATGACCCCCCCCCATCACTAAGGGACCCGTTTAGGTTCAATTTGCATGTTTACGACAGACATTTTGAACTGAGAAAGCTTTCTGGATGGGAAGCGAAACGTCTTCAAAGTTGGTGAAAAAAAACTGGTTTGTTTTTACGTTTCTGGAAAAACTACGACCTGAAACGCAGCCTGACCAGCCAGCCGCTGGGCGGGGCTCCGACATGGAAACAGTTTAGTTCAGAACCTGCTGCCTGGATAAATCTGACTCAGCAGGAAGAAGTTTTCTGAAAGCTGCTGTAAACTTCCTGCCTGATCGCCACTCAGCTGCTTCGCCTCGTTAAGCTCCTCCCTCTGATCGCTGCCGTTCCGTTCAGACGTACGCAGAGAGGTTTCAGGAACAGTTCATGCATTATTTTTCACATAAAGGTGGACGCTTGTAGCATTTAAACATCTTAACGACAGTGACTATAGCTGCTGTAGTTTGATTCAGACAGGTATGACCCCCCCCTCCCCACCAGGTGAGTTACCTGAGGACAGCAGCTTCCTGCAGCAGTCAGAGTGAGCGTTCAAGGCCGCCATGTGTAAAGGAAACATCCCATGGACTCCTCGACTACAGACACACAGATAGAGAACAGATTAAAACCTGTTTCCATGACGATAGCACCTGTGGACCGGCGGATGCCTCACCGTGTGCAGTCGGCTCCGCTTGTGATGAGGGTGTTGATGAGGAGCTCGTGACCGTAGCGGGCGGCGACGTGAAGCGGGGTGTTGCCGTCCTTATCCACGCTGTCGATCTCTCCTCCTGGAACAAAAAAAAGACGAAGACGCGATGAAGACGAGCGGAGTTACAGGACGCCCAGCGAAGATGACGAGCATGGCGAAGGCTGACCGTTCTGGATGAGGGTCTGGGAGCGGGTGAAACGCCCGTGGACGGCCGTCATGTGAAGAGGACTCTTTCCGTCTCGACTCTGATAAAGCAGAAAAACAAGAAAACATTTCAAGGATCTACTTTTTCACTTTTTACTTTTATATCTATGGTTAATACAGCTATAACTTATTTGTGCACATTAATTATGTTTTTGATAAAAATAATTGTTTAACATATCATCAGAGTGTGTCTCAGCCCCCCCCTTCAGTGTCCGCCATATTGGATCAGTCCATTTGCTGCACATGTTCAGAAAGGTCCAAACAGACAGCAGCAAACCATTTGAAAACAAACCATGCAAAGAGCAGTGTTGCCAACTTAGCGCTTTAGTCGCTATATTTTATTTTATTTATTCATATTTTTATTCACGTGACAAGGTCAAGTACAAACAATGAAAAGTAAGGATTTTTTTCTTTTTAACAAAAACAACAACCACTCATTCCCTCCCTTCCCCAGCCCTCCCCAATCCTACAAGATTATGTTACAGATCAGTAATAACCCACATCCTTCCTCCTTACCGTACACAAACGTGTGAATAAGAAAGTATATAGACAATTAAAAAAAGAGAGAGTAGGAAGAATAACATAGATAAGTAAATAGAAAACACCACAAAATAAAACTGAGAAGTAAAATTTTCAATGGGTTGAGATGAAGCAAGGGGGAAAAGGAAATGTAATCAAAAGTCAGTTGTCAAAGGTGGAGATTTCATTTGTCCTGTAGTGTCTTTAATCTAGCTATGTAACTAATCATGCAGCCCCAAACTGAAACAAAATTTCCAGGTGCCCCCCTCAGATCATATTTAATTTTCTCCAGATCTTAGTCACTATATTTAGCCACTTTTCAGACCCCTCTAGCACTTTGATTTCTAAAAAGCTCCTAGCGCCAAATCTAGAGACTTTTTTCTGCTACTGGAGACTTTGGAGACAACATCTAAAAGCATGGAGATAGATATGTCTCAATTTTCACTAATACACATATGTGATTCATACATTCACAGGACAAGATCCACACATGAACAGAAGAAGATTCACCAAAGTATTTGCAGAGGGGAGTATGTGGAATCTGGGGGTAAGCCATCCCACGTGGAGTATTTTCTTGTGATTGGCTTATAGAAGGGAGCTTTGTGATTGGTGGTAAACCATCCCCCGTTTAAAAAAAAATGCTTTTTTGTATCGAGGCGCATCAATGGAGTCTCAAAAATCTACACACAAAGCAGTGAAGTTTAAAGACCACTGGTACTTTGATTTATAGTTGTTTATGGAGCAGAAATACTTTGGTGAATCTTGTGTGCTTGCGTCAATCCTTCTGTGCGTCTGAGAATCTCGTCCTTTGCGTGTGTGGATTTTTTTGTACTTGTGTGAATCGTGCTGGGCATGTGTGGATCACATATTGATATTTGTGAACATTGAGAGCGATCTAGATAGATCTAAATGCAGCGAACTCTGCTCTCCAGAGCGAGTAACCCTGCCTCCTGCTCTCCTCTATCTTGTCTGCTGTGATGATTCATGCAGCTATTATTTCATCCAAATGAAAAATGGAGAACAGATAAGCAGATCATGGCTTGTCTACAGTGAAAAGAAGGACTGGGTTATTTACTTTGGCCTTTTTGGAAACACAGGAAGGAGCAATCAGCTAAGTGAGCTTAGTGCTTGGAAGAAATCTTTCATTCCTTTAGAGACAGCATGAAAAGTCAGCTGAGTACAAAACATAGAGAGGAAAACAAGAAGAAAAGGGACAAGAAGAGAGGGACACAACCTAGAACAGATAATGGATGTCTATTCTATTAACATTTCTCTATCTGGAGAATGGGGCTGTTTTATCTATTGTCTTCTCTATTCAGAGGGCCCCCTGCCTGTCTTTGCCAAGGGCCACAGATTTTCTAAATCCGCCCCTGCTTCTGGCTCCATCCTGCAGGTTATCTATCGTCCAGTAAACCGAGGGTTCGCTGGTTTACCTGAACGTTAACGTCGGCCCCGTTGATGACCAGGGACTCCAGACAGAGCGCTCCGTGGGTGGAGGCCGCAGCGAAGTGCAGAGGCGTGAAACCTTTGTTGTTGGGTTGGCTGACGTTGGCGCCGTGATCGATGAGCTCGTTGACGACGGCGTCCTGGCCGTTGAAGCAGGCCACGTGCAGCGCCGTGTTCCCGAACGCGTTGGCCTCATCTATCTGTATCACACAAGAGGGAAAAACGTCTTAACTCTCATGGTGGGCAGCCCCTTTACTCTGATGCCCCGAAAAATACAACCAGAAGAGGAACTTTCAGAGCTGACTGAAGCTCTGCTCGCTCTCAAGGGTTTTTGTTTTAAGCAAAGGAGATAATTTTTTAATATAAATGTGAAATAAAAGCAATCCAGAAATTTAAACCTTGTGAAGATAAAAGGTTTTAAATTAATTTTGCTGTTATTTTGTCTCACCTCTACAGGCAGGGTGAGGAGGTGTTTGACCACGGCCAGCTGTCCGCTGGAGGCGGCGGTGTGGAGAGGCGTGTATCCTCGTTTATCCTTGCAGCTGACCTCCGCTCCCTTACCCTGCAGCTGGCACACTACCTCCAAATGACCTGCAGGGGGCAGCAGCACAAACCAAACAACTGAAATGTTTGAGCAGAAACCTTGTTTCAAAGAGTCAAATCCTGGAAGCTTTCTGCTGGTTTCTCCTGAAACGACTGGGAAGAGTAAATATCTGCATCTGCTCAAAAAGCTCCTTGTTTTCCATCGACAAAGATGAGTTTCTATTCTGCGCCTCGCAGCCTGGCACGCCGAGAACTCAAAAGGAAGCACATGATCATGGCTTTTTTTCAGATTATCAGCAAAAAATGTCGAGGAACCCTCATGGTTTGAAAGCCGAATGTGCAAAAATATTAAAAAGTCCTCAGACACGTTAATGACACCAACTGGGCAATTTGAGAGAAAGGTTTCTTTATACTGGCTTTAAACTGGGAGATTAAACACTGAAGCAGAGTTTGGTCAAGAATTATGACTTTATGCTTCTAAAGGAAGCCTGGTGTTTGTAGGAACATGTAACCCTTTAAGTTTTATCTAAGTTAATAACCTCTACAGCTACAAACTAACTTTGGAATCGAAATTATCCTAAAATATGAGAGATTTCATCAGACGTATAAGAGTCACAGGTTGTCCGTTGTGTTTTAAATTGTATTTTATGTATTTATTACTAATGTATTGTATTTATTTTAGTTTCCTTTTCCAAAGTGGTTACTTAACTTGTCAGCCAGCCATCGTAAATAAAAATGTGTTAAAGGTATATATATATAAAAAAAAAGAAATTGAGGATAAAACATAAAAAAATCTGATTTTTTTTCTTTCCTTGCTAGAATTTAATTGCATTAGAGACCATATAAAGTATTAAAAATATGACAAATAAAGCAACAAACTTGGGAAACCTTAGATCAAACTTATTTTTACATTATCAGAGTAAAGATTCCTGCCACTGAGGTGATCTAAAGCAAAGCTACAGAAGTCTGAAGATTTCTTGTTTTTATTTGGAAAACATGAATAAAATTTTCACATAAAATAGGGCTGCAGCTATCGTTACTTATAGTTAGGCTTGTCCCGATCCGATACGTGGATCGGATCGGGACGCCGATATTGGCAAAAAATGCGTATCGGCAAAGCATGGAAAATGCCGATCCAGACTGCCGATCCAGTTTTTTTTTTTTTTTATCCGGTCCGTATTTTCCAGTTTCGCCGATTAAAACGATCCATTCCACTATTTTGCGCCAGTGTTCCCCTGTTTTGCATTTTTATTAAAACTTACAGTAATACTTGCACCTTTAACTGTTTACGGTTTTACTGCTCACTGTGCAATTTCAGATTGCTATTCGTAATTTTGTCCAGTTTGTGTTTATCTCTTAACAGGTAAGTTTGTTGTTACCAAGCATTGTGTTTTATTCAATCTCACCTAATTTAGCTGGCTAGATGTTATCAAGAGTACTAAAACCCTTTTCAACATGAGTCTTACAACTAAGGCTAAATACTTTAACTTAAACTTAAATACATGCTCGGATAGGCTGGTATCGGCCAGTATCGGTATCGGATCGGAAGTCCAAAAACAATATCGGTATCGGATCGGAAGTGCAAAAACCTGGATCGGGACATCTCTACTTATAGTAGCTGACTATCCATCCATTTTCTGATACGCTTAATCCCAAGCTTGGTCGCAAGGGGTGCTGGTGCCTATCCCCAGCTGTCTACGGGGGAGAGGCGGGGTCCATCCTGGACAGAGAGGCGGGGTCCATCCTGGACAGAGAGGCGGGGTCCACCCTGGACAGAGAGGCGGGGTCCACCCTTGACAGAGAGGCGGGGTCCACCCTGGACAGGTCTCCAGTCCATCGCTGAGTAACTGACTAACCTATCGATTATTTTTTGAGGCTTCATTAAAGCTATAGTGGTCCTCCTAACTGTCAATCATTCTGGTGATATATTTACATAGGGCCGTCCCATGCGCTCATCCTGTTAGCTATCTTTTTCTGCCCACTTTCAGGCGTACATCTATGGTGAGCTACGGTTTCAGACAGTCACTGATGCTCACCTTTGAAACAGAGTTTATACAGGAATAAGTAACTGTAATTTAATGTTCTTTAATGCTCTTAGAAATAATTGTAATGCCATCAACAAGTATACATATATATAAACATACATACATATATATATATATATATATATATATATATATATATATATATATATATATATATATATATATATATATATATATATATATATATATATATATATATATATATATATATGTATATGTATATATGTATCATTGACAGGCTGCAGCCATGTCCCCAATTCCTCGTTTTCCAGCCACCTTTGTTGAAATGCGCATTTTCCAATTCTCTTGCTTTTTCTCCGAATGTACGACTTTACCATCAACTGGAAGCAGTTTCATGCAAACATGCGGAACCAGTTCTATCTGATATATCTGAAGAAATTCATTTTATAATTTTAACAAATTTTAATGCCAATTAACGCCTTTCATTTAAAATATAATAATTTTATGGCGTTTTATGATTGTTAATGACCTGCGGAAACCCTGTGAAAATGGCTGAGGGTCGCAACAGAAAAAGTGTCTACGAAGTGTATGAGAAGAAAAGAAAGGCCTTGGAAGAGGCAGATATATCCCAGAATGCTTTGCATGGAGAGCTCTCCTCGCAAAGCACTATGGGATTTGCTGTCGCTACAAACAGCGGCGACTGATAACAAAGATGGCGCAGGCACCGAGCGGCGGACCAACAGTGAAGTGATCATCTGTCCGAACGGTCCGTTAACTGAGTTTACTTTAAAGTCCACCATATAGCCCCCCCTGTATCTAGTGATGGAGGGATGTAGGGCGGACGTTCAGGCTAAGTTAGCTTGTATGAGCTATGAGAACAGCTACTTTAAAAGTTGAGCGTGCACGAGGAGAAATGGGCTCCCTCACGCTCTCGCACGCGCATTTTTTATTATAGTGGAGGGGGCCCATCTTTTAAAAAATTCAAGATCCTCCACAATACCTTTAAGCTTCTACGTCTGATCTCCGATCATTTAAGTAAATTACATTTCTAAATAAATGTTTGAAACCAAGAAGTTTCATACCTATATTTCATATTTTAAATTAATTGCAATAACATAAAGAATACACACACACACACACACATACTGGTTCTGCTTATGTAGTGAGGACCATGTGTTGACTCCCATTGACTTCCATTGGTTTTCAGTCATTTTCAACCCTTTCTATGCCCTAACCCTAAACCTAACCATTACCAATGCATACCTCACCATAACCCTAACCAACTGACACCTTAGCCCTAAATCTAACCATTAACAAATAGCATGTAAGGACCATCAAAATGTTCTCACTTTGCAATAACTGGTCCTCCATCTGATGCTGAAATTGGAAAAATGTCCTCACTCTGAGGGCTAGACAGGTACACACATTATTTCCTGCTGAACAGGAAATAAAAAACGTTTCTATTCTACCATCTATGTGAGAATAACCTCCAACACATTGAATCATGCAGGAATATGTTACTAGGATGAAATAACTTAATCAGAGGGATGGATTGGTGACGTTAGATAAATTTAATTATCTATTTTAGTCAAATCAAGATGTTTTTGCTTGTAGAGCAGGAATATTTATGATCATAAATATAATACAGAACACAGAGTCCCAAACATTTCAGCCTGAAACCCCAAAAATAACGACGTTACAATGCTTCTCTCTATGTTCCCTGATAAATATAAAGTTAAGTAACTATTTTAATGCTGGAATTATTTGTTTAAATATCATTTAGAGACTGCGAGATCAATAAAGCCCTGTTATTTGATAATAATAATAATATATTCTTTTAAACTAATGTTTCAATATTTAACAGTGTATTTAATAATTTAATGGTTTAGTTATTAATAAAAAAACAATATAAATAATAAATTGATATTTGAATCATGTATTAAATAAATAAATGTATTAATTAATAAATAGATCAATATTAAATCAGTTTATCTGTTTTATAAAACATTTATATAATGTGTTTTTAATTATTTTGGGCCTAAATATAACTGAGGGATTTCATCACAATCATTGTGAAAACTCTTCACTAGGTCTCATGTGACCCCTGGGGGGCCCTGACCCTCACTGGTGGTAAATATGACAGAACTCTGAGGGCGGGGCTCCGTCTGCGCGTCACCTCGCTCCTTAAAGTAACGACCCTTTCTGTTAAAATAAGTCTGATCAATAAGTAAAATGATTTTCAAACAGCAAAAAATTTTACATTTAGAATAAAAAAAAAAGTCCAAACAAACAAACGTATGATCTTATTATGAAGTTTAGATATTTTCCTGTTTTTTTTTTTTCTGGCGGCCAAAATGGAAGAAGCAGCTGATCTGTTCTCACCCATGAAAGCCGCCCAGTGCAGCGCGCGGCCGTCCTTCTTGTCGAAGGCGTTGATGTTGGCTCCTTTATCGAGCAGAAGGTTCACCATCTGAAAGCAGAGATTAGTTAGTCTGGGGGGGGGGGGTCCAGCTGCCCCGCAGGGCTAATTTAGGATCAGGCACATTTCTGAAGGGTTCTGTCAGAAATGAACAGCCCACTCAATAAATAACCGCCATGATTCAGCTGCAGTCGCCCGCCCGCCTGTTTCCTCCAGTCAGTCAACAGTTAGGGCACAGTGGGGGGGGGGGGTTTAGTGTACCTCAGTGTGGCCGTTCAGGGCAGCGTGGTGCAGCGCGGTTCGCCCGCCGCGGTCCGACACGTTCACGCTGCTCAGCAGAGGAATGATGACCTCGGCGCATCGTAGGGCGTTGTTGGCGGCGGCGACGTGCAGCGGCGTCTGCCAGTTCTTGTCCCGCGCGTTGACGTCCGCAGAGTGGCGGATCAGAACCCGCACGGCGTCCTGGAGGAGGGAAACCACAGAAATTAAGCTAAAAAGTAAGAAGTTATGATAAAAAAGATATAAAAGCATAATTTTTATATGGATAATTAATATTGGAACATTAACATTATGGATAGTTGCTTTTTTTATTTACTAAAACAATCTTTTGGGTCATTGGCTGATTCTGGAACCACTTTTTTGGGTGAAAAGCTGAGAAGTTTGGATAAACGCTCATCCCTACTTCACATAAAAAAGCAGATTTGCTAAATAGTAAAATCAAAAAGGAGAGAAATCCTATAGAAGCTTTTTTTTCTACCTACTATCAGTAATCACACTTTTCAGGAGAGAGACGCTGTTCTGTCAGATGAGCATACCCATAATCAATACCCGTTTATCCCTTTAGTTTTATACGAATAAGAGACTTTAAACTAGGGATGCACGATATCGGGATTTTGGCCGATATCCGATATGCCGATATTTTAAAACTCACGTAGCCGATAACCGATATCGATACCGATGTTAAAGCTGGACAAAAATAAGTAGTCATTGAAAATAGCAGTTTTGTTATCCATTTCTGACACTTTGAAAAATAATATACTCAAATATATTTTCATATGCTGATATCAAATAGATTTTTAAAAACGCGGTATCGATCTATTTTACTTTCAAAATCTGGTAAAATTTCATCGTTCTGTTACAAACTCTCGTGATATTTTGCAAATTCTTGTGAGATTTTGTTAGTAAAATAGATCGATGCCGCGTCAATATATCAACATATAAAAATATGGCAAAAGTTTGTGAATTTTCGGGGGATTTCGTAGCATAACGATGACATATAGCAACATTTCATTAGTAAAAGAGATTGATATGGTGTTTTTAAATGGCAATATATCAGCATATGAAGATATTGGGATATTTTAATGTATCAATATTTTTTCCCTCGTCTTTAGAAGTTTTTAAGTCTGTAAAAAAGAAGTTTTTGAGGAAGAAGTAGTATTTTTTATTTTTTTAGACTTTAGAAACTCAGAAGCTGATCAAATATCAGGTTAAATATCGGTGGGGTGGCCGATGTCCGATATTCAGTTTTAAGGCCGATACCAATAGGGGGCCGATTATATCGTGCATCCCTACTTTAAACTACCTCAACTGCCGTGTATCCCTTTATTCGTGTACAAAAAATGATTTAATTACTTACTTTTTGGTGTATTTTTTAAAAGTATGGCGATCTGACCTTAAATAGTTTTTTTTGTCCATGACTAAAGGGATACACGCTGGTTGAGGTAGTTTAAAGTCTATTTTTTTCGTTTAAAACTAAATGTCTTGCGTACGCTGGTCTGACAGAACACCAGCACTGCAAAAACCATCTGGAAATAAGTGAAAAGGTCTGAGGTGTGATTATCCTTAATTAGAGAAGCTAAATAAGAAGATCTGCCAATGGAATGAGGATTTCTACTCATTAAATAAGATAACTAGATAATACGCACTTGAAATGAGAAAATGTAATTGTATTTGTCGTATCTTTAAATGTTAATTATCTTGTTTCATTGGCAAAGTTTCTTACTTACCTCCACAATTTAAGAAAACCTTTTTTTCTTCTTTTTTTTTTTTATGGGGGGGAGTCCCAGAGAGGAAGGTGTGAATTACCGGTAAACAGAACAAAGACCCTCTGAGGATACATTTACCCCGTTTCCACTACCCTTGAAAAAACGATCCATGCCGAGACCGGTCCGAGTTAGGATCAGTTAACCAGGCCGAGCTCGGTTCTTACAACCGTTTACACATCACGCAATCTCCGTTCCTCGCCTCCTAGTGACGATCTGCGGTATTACTGCCAGTATTGAAGGAGGAAATCAAGCAGTTGGTGGCGGTAATGCACCAAAAGTTGTTTGCCAACCGCCATAAAGCACAAGAAGAAGAAGACGAACAAGGAGGGAATCAAGCAAATCAAAATGGCGGCGCCCGTCACATTCAGAAAGTTATGCTTGATTATCATTGCTGTACTTCGGTTTTATTATTTTAAATGTTGCGTGGAGAAGATTTTGATTGTTGTTTATAGTTGAAGAAGAAGTTGTTCTTCTTCTTCTGTTTCCGGAGGGGCATTACCGCCAACTACTGGAATGGAGGGTGAATCGCGATGTGCAGCCAGACGGAGATGACGCGTTCTGCTCATGCGCTCTCGTTATCAGAGAACCGAGCCAGGGAAAAACCGAGCCGAGCCCACCTCTGGAACTGGTCTGCAGTTAGCTCGGTTCGGTTGTGTCTAGCTCGGTTCAGTTCAGTTTCCATTTACACACGAACATTAAAAGATGGCGGCGCGAACGGACGCAGCGGCTTACGGCTCTCCATTCCAGTGCTACCGAAAGTACACTTTTCAGTCGCTCTTGGACATTGGATATCAATCACAGATATCTATTTCGAGTGACTTTCTTCGTAAGCACAACATTCCGGACGAGATAGCGAGACCACCCGGGTCTCCGTGGATTGTTGTCGGGTCCTGGAGAAGACGCAGGCGGAGGAGAGAGAGGAAGCAGAAGCGGGGCTGCCGGTCTGGCCTATTGCTAAGGCTACGTAAACAACCACACAAGCCGCCTCTCCCGAGCCTGTTTCTCTCCAACGCCAGATCCCTGCTGCATAAAATGGACGACCTGGATTTACACCTCACTGGAAATCGCTACGTCCGGGACTGCTGTGTGTTTATCATTACCGAAACTTGGCTTAACCCGGACATTCCCGATGCTAGCATGCAGCTAGCCAGCCGCACTCTGCTACGCGCGGACAGAACAATGGACTCCGGTAAGAGCAGAGGAGGGGGGCTTTGTATGTATGTGCATGACAACTGGTGCAACAACGGAACCATCATAGACAGCCACTGTTGTCCGGACCTCGAGTACATGATTGTTAGGTGCCGGCCTTTTTTCCTCCCGAGAGAGCTGACCGTAGTTATCGTCACGGCTGTTTACATCCCACCCGACGCCGATGTAAGCGCGGCACTCTCTCTCCTGCTGAACGCGGTGAGCGAACAACAACGAGCTCACCCCGACGGCTTTCACATCATAGCGGGGGATTTTAATAAGGCCAACCTAAAGTCTGTACTACCAAATTTCCATCAGCACGTGAAATGTGCCACGCGAGGCGAGAACACCTTGGACCACGTCTACACCAGCATCAGGCATGCTTACAGAGCCGTCCCCCTCCCCCATCTGGGAAAATCGGACCATCTGTCCCTACTGCTCTTTCCGGCCTACACCCCCCTCAGACGCAGAATCAGGCCCACCGTAAGGACCATCACCACCTGGCCTGAAGATGCACTTCACAAACTCAAAGACTGTTTTCAACGGACAAACTGGGACCTGTTCGAACACCAGGAGCTGGGAGCACACACAGACACAGTACTGGACTACATCCACTTCTGCACCAGTAATGTGACTGTGACCAAAACTATCCGGGTCTTCCCCAACCAGAAGCCCTGGATGACCAGTCAGGTCCGCTCCCTTCTTAGAGCCCGTGACGCCGCCTTCAGGTCAGGAGACAGAGCTCTGTATAGTGCTGCCAGAGCTGAGCTGAAGAGAGGGGTCAAAGAGGCTAAAGCAGACCACAGACAACGGCTGGAGTCCCAACTGTCCAGTAACAATACCCGTAAGGTGTGGCAGGGCATCCAGGAGATCACCAACTTCAGGGGCAGCGTCGTTCAAACTGAACAACAGGGCGCACAGCTGTCAGAGGAGCTAAACAGCTTCTTTGCTCGGTTTGGAGAATCCCAGCGGCCCTCCCCTGTCCCTGCCCTGTCCCCTCCCCCACCCAGCGCTGACACCCCCCCACTCACTGTCCAGGAGCACAACGTCAGGAAGGTGCTACTGGCAGTGAACCCCAGGAAGGCCGCAGGCCCAGACGGAGTCCCTGGCAAGGTGCTAAAGGCATGCGCGGGCGAGCTCGCCCCCACCTTCACCAGGCTCTTCAACCTGTCCTTGGCCCAAGCCACCGTTCCGTCCCGCCTGAAAACCTCCACCATCATCCCAGTGCCGAAGAAGTCTGCCATCACCAGCCTGAATGATTACCGCCCAGTGGCCCTCACTCCGGTAATCATGAAGTGCTTTGAGAAGCTGGTTCTTCAGCACATCAAGGACTGTCTCCCCCCACACCTGGATCCCCAACAGTTTGCATACCGGGCCAACCGATCCACAGAGGACGCCGTTGCCGTGGCTCTCCACTCTGCTGTGAACCACCTGGAGCAGCAGCAGAGCTACGTCCGGATGCTCTTTGTGGATTACAGCTCGGCCTTTAACACCATCCTCCCGGACAGACTCATCATCAAACTGGGCTCCCTTGGACTCCCCCCTCTCACATGTGCCTGGATTAACAACTTCCTGACCGACCGACCCCAGGCTGTGAGAGTTGGCCCCCACCTCTCCTCCACCCGCACGCTGAGCATCGGCTCCCCACAGGGCTGTGTGCTGAGCCCCCTCCTCTTCTGCCTCTACACCCACGATTGCAGACCGATCCACAACCACAACCAGATCATCAAGTACGCCGACGATACCGCTGTGGTCGGTCTCATCTCCAGGGGCGACGAGGCCGCCTACAGAGAGGAGGTCCTGAAGCTGGCTGATTGGTGCTCAGAGAACAATCTGACTCTGAACACCAAGAAAACCAACGAGCTCATCATAGACTTCAGGAGGCACAGCCCTGAGCCAGCTCCCCTCTTCATCAACGGCGAGCAGGTGGAGAGGGTTCACAGCGTCAAATACCTCGGCGTCCACATCTCTGACCGCATCACCTGGTCAGAGAACATCACCACCATCATCAAGAAGGCCCGGCAAAGGTTACACTTCCTGAGAATCCTCAGAAGGTATAACCTCAACTCTGATCTGTTGCTGGCCTTCTACCGCTCCTCCATCGAGAGCTTGCTGACCTACTGCATCATAGTATGGTTCGGCAGCTCCACCGCTGCCGACAGGGAGAGGCTGCAGAGGGTGATAAAGGCGGCGCAGAGGATTATCGGTCGCCCTCTCCCCTCCCTGGCAGACATTTACTCCACCCGGTGCCTCAGCAGAGCCAGGGCCATCTCCAAGGACAGCTCCCACCCTGGCTCCACCCTGTTTGACCTGTTGCCCTCTGGAAGGCGCTACAGGCAAATGAGGATCAGGACAAACAGACTCAAGAACAGTTTCTTCCCCCGAGCCATTGCCGCCCTCAACTCCGACCTGCACTGTCGGTCACTTTACACCTGTTTTGCACTATCCCCCCCCCCACAATCTGTGCCAGTACTGTTTTACATTTCCTTTTCACTGTTTACATTTCCTTTTCACTGTTTACATTTCCTTTTAATATATTTATATATATTTTTTGTAACTGTTTACATTTCCTTTCCTTTTAATATATCTATATATTTTTTATATATTTTTATTTTATTTTTATTTCACGGTAGCTGTTATGGAAGTCCCAAATCTCATTGTATTTGTCACAGAATATAATGACAATAAAGGCTTTTTGACTTTTGACTTTTTGACTTTGAAAAGTTATCTCAGTTACTGAGCTCGGACCAGTCTCGGCATAATGGGGTAATTATCTAACGTTAAAGCAGCTCTGTACCGACAGGAAACGGCGTCCCGCCAAAATAAAGTAAAAGACAGATTAAACTTGGCACGGCAGCTTTGGGGCATGACTTTATGTTCTTTGGACCTGCTGGTCTGACGAAGCTACGGTTCAACGGTTTGGTTAGGACTGGAGGAACAGGGGAGCCGTGAAGCACGGGGGAGGCAGCATGATGATGTGGCTGCAGAAAGCACTGATGCACAACAGGTGGAGAGTGAAAACCATGTGAGCAAACTGAAGAAACGTCTCAGGGAGAAGTTCAATCTTTGGCACAAACGACTGAAAGCAGGATCCAATCAGAGCGGTTCATGGAGGACGACCCACGCCATCATTTAGAAGGAACTTCTACCAAACGCTAACGTCTGCTCACCTCGCTGCGGGAAGCCACGGCGCGGTGCAGAGGGGTCAGCCACATGTTGTCTTTGGCGTTGACTCTGGCCCCTGCAGCATGGAAACATGTGAACAGAGCTGCTGATGTGCATCAATAACAGACATAAAAACAGGCGGTCAGAGAAGGGAGCGCACTGAGAGGGGCGACAAAAGGAAAACCACTCACATCCTTTTATGATTACGGCATTTCAGAATAAAGCCAAGTTAAAAAATATTTCAATAATAAAATAAAGGACTATTGTTTACAGATTAATTGTGCCCATAGATAATCTGTTAAACTCAGCTGTGATCATTTCACGGTGAGGAAGTGAAAAACATAAACAAAGAGGCTGATCTGAGGGAGGAGAAAACGACAGACGTTTGAATAAAGAAGATCACAGAGAGGGTTTCCTACCAGAGAGGATGAGGAGTTCGATGATCTCAGCATCGCCCAGGAATGCCGCTGCATGCAGCGGGGTGCGTTTCTCAGAATCCTGCAGGAACATCCAGGAAAAAAAAACATGACTGAACAGGCTGGAGACGCTGTGAGCAGGTCTGAAAAAAAAAAAAAAAAAGCTCAAAGGACAGAAAATTAGTCAAATCCTGACGTTTGACCCCTAAGACACAGTATTGGTCTCATCATAACAGCAAAATGCAGGTTTATTAGTGGCTCCTAGAGTTTCTAAAAGTAGAATGGGAGGCAGATCTTTTAGTTCTCAGGCTCCTCTCCTGTGGAACCAACTACCAGTTTTAGTCCGTGAGGCAGACACCCTGTCTACTTTTAAGGCTAGGCTTAAAACTTTCCTTTTTGATAAAGCTTCTAGTTAGAGTGGCTCAGGTTATCCTGATCTATCTCTATAGTTCTGCTGCTATAGGCTTAGACTGCTGGAGGACATAGGGACCCCTTTTTCATCATTCTGCTTCATTCTATCTCTATTCTCCCACTCTGCAGAATCTGTTAGTTCAATCTCTAACGTTCTGCTCTCTCTGCTTTTTCTCATAGTAGCTTCATCTGGTCTGTTCCTGTTTGGCTGTGACTCCATACTGGAGAGAAATATCAGCTGTGCTGCTTCTATCAACACCTTTGTTTCTAGTTTCTTCACCCGTGGAGCTGGTTGACAGTTGCCTTTTGTATCTATGCTTCTTTTTCTATGTCTGCTTCTGTCTCCTTGAACCCCAGTGGGCCTCAGCAGATGGCCGCTCACACTGAGCCTGGTTCTGCTGGAGGTTTCTTCCTGTTCAAAGGGAGTTTTTCCTCTCCACTGTCGCTACAAGCATGCTTAGTGTCAGGGATTGCTGAAGAGTCAATGAGTCGATGCAATCAGCTGGTTTTCCTTAGATAGAAAACTTTGAATCAATCTGACTGGATGATCTGGTTGAACTGGAAAGTGACCTGAGATGACATGATGCGAATTGGAGCTATAGAAATAAACTGAATAGAATTGATTTAGCTGCACCTACAGATCAGAGTAAATAGAGCTGGATGTACAGAATGTGAAGACACGTGGACATAAAGGCTCAATAAAACTTCTTACTGGGAACAAAAACATCCTTTGAGGGATTTCAGTTCTTATTATATAACAGAGCAGCTTTTAGCCTCCGGATGTGCTAAATAGTGACGGCCAAATCCACGGTAAGCACGGGGACAAACAGACGGAATTTCTAACTTCTACCTGCTGCAGATCTGTAATGTTTGCTTTCAGAAAATCCTGAATTAAACAGGAAACTGCAGTTTGTGGTCTTCAATTGCCTTGTTTTTCCAGATAAAAAAAATCTATTTCCTGCGTTTATCTGCAGCTTTAATAAAATCCTAGAATGCTAGAAAATAAAGATCCATATTTGTGGATTTATTTCCATTTATTGCAAAAATATTTTAAATATTCTCCTTACTTCTGGGAGCCGGCTTCTTTTTTTCTTACTTTATTCTGCTTTGTTTCGTCTAATTGTTGTATTTGTTTTACAAAAGTTTTTGGTTTTACTCTGCTTCTATTTTATTATCTATAAAGCATTTATAATTGTCCATGAACTGAATTGTGCTTTACAGATAAAATTGCCTTGGCAAGCAAAGATGCATTTCTATTGATGAGAGAATGTGATCTCTAAAAGGTAGTTTGGAAAAAATAGAAATTGCAAAACTTAATCTGAAAAAAATAAAACTTTAAAATATAAAATCTCTAACAAAACTTGGAAAAATAACAGGTGAGCCAGCACTGATTAAAGGAAAAGTCGCTCATATTCAGAAATTAAACGTCTGAAAGTTCTTTAAATCTGAAATGATTCCATCCTGTTCAATAAATGATCAGTGTTTTTAATTCAGAGTCATTTTCATGTGAATGGGCTTTACTGGAGGCATCCATGTTTGTCAAAGAACACTACTGCCACCTACTGGTTAGTGACGTCACGGTGCGGTATCAGCTGTTGATCAAGTCCCAGTGCTGTATCTGGTGTTTGTCACAACGCGCTATTATCCAAGTCATCTTGAAAACATTCTTCTTCCAAATGTTGGCTACATATTACGGGTTTTTTCTCTGGCCAGAAGTTCGATGGCAAATCCTCCCTCTTCAAGTTGGCGATCCAACGACCAACCCGTCCGTGGAGGATCAGGAATCAGAAAGGTGGAATAACTCTTTTTTTCACTTTTACCCGATGTATTCCAGCATCCAGCTGCCATGCACGTGGGCATTGTCAGTTTCACTATAGCTCTGGTGAATTTCAATGGTGAAGTCCTCTGGAAATCTTCAATAATTGTTGTTGATTGCAGATGTGTCTAGTAGTTCCCATTGATTTAGCTTGTAAAGCGGGGAGAATGGCGCTAGGCTTACCGCACCGTGACGTCACTGCTGGAAGACGGCAGGAGGGAGGGGTTACTATAAAAATGGCCGATCCCAGACTCAGTGATTGCAACAGAAATATTATTTTAATTTTTTTTTACTGATTAACTTTAAATTCATTAAATCACTACGAACGTAATAGTTTTAGGTATAAATAATGATCATTGATTATTCCTTCCTGAACGGACTTTTCCTTTAAGACAGCCGTGACTGATTTGAAAGCACTTTGCAGAACATTTTATAATGTTGTTTTTTGTTGTTTATTCATATAAATATACTGGTGTGATACCTTAATATGCATTTGATTGGTTTTTGGTAAACATCTATTTTAAAGTTATTGCCCCCCCCCCCTGTTTGGGTCAAAGCAGAACTTTAGAGGTCAGTAGAGAAATATCAGCTCCAGATCAGCCTTTCTCTCCGTTTATCATCTTATTGATGCAGTTTGGGTTTTTCAGGACCTTTTATAAGGATAATACAGGAAGGTGTTAAATCCTGCTTGGCAATATAAATTATAAACATCTTTCACTTTTCTGTCTAACAGAGCTGAATGGAAATAAAGCATAAACATCCTAAACTGTGACGCGGATTAAAGGAGAACCTCACAGAGGAAACCCTTTGGAAGACAAACTCTAACCGGACCATAAGCCACGCAGGCCGACCCGCTGGTTCTGGTACCGGGCCGTTCCGCAGGAGGGAACTCTGTGCGTCTGAAGTTCTGATGCAGCGCGGGGAACGCTGGAACTGCGCTTCTTTAGAAGGAAGGAGAGTTTCTGTAAACACTAAAACGCTCTGTTTACATTCATGGCTCCTACTGAAACCTGCTGTGTACTCCAGAACCAAACATGTCGGTTCTTATGGGCCGCTTTGGACGCCTTCTAAAACCGAAGCGGTTTACGCGGACAATGACTCGTACGTCTTGAGTCTGAGCGGCCGCCGTGCAGAAGAGGAGGAGGATGAGGGACGGCAGCCGAGCCTCTCTGGATGCTCTGAGAGCAGAAAGAACATCCAGTGGAAAAGACGACCCACATCCGCTGCAGCTCTGCTGCATCTGGTCTATGTGGAGGCGTCTGTAAACAAAAACACACTCTGAACCCCTGACCTCTGACCTTCCTCCCCTCTCGGGCCACTCAGGAAGTGGAGGCGGAGCTTAGAGGAGAGCTGGCTCTGAACCTCAGGATACTTTCCTTTTCAGACATTATGAAGAAACACGGAAATACTCTGCATTCATTATCTGTGCCAGATTGAATAAGTCTGGTCTGCCTGTCAGCCCAGGAGGAAGAGGAGGGGGAAGAGGAGGAGGAAGAGGAGGCCAACGTTCGTATTAAGCCAGAAAACAAACCGCATGATGATGAGGAAAAGGTCGGCAAACATACGAGGAATCTAAAATAAATCGGCCCCCAAAGACGTCTGTTGGTTCAGATCCTGATAAACCCTTTAAAATGTTTTTTTCTTTTATTCTGACCTGTAACCACGATAAAAACCCAACATGCACCTTCTCAGCGCTAACTTAGCGTTCCTCCATCTTCCTCTGTCTTTTTGAATCCTGCAGCTCCTGGAGTTCAGGATAAATGAGACTCTGAGGACGTCCACAGCCAGTCCGGGCTTTGACTAGGCCTTCCCAAACGTTCCTCCCCCCGATTTCTTCATCTCCAACTTTCTGGCAGAAACCTCAGGAAATATTATGCCTTTATTCTTGTTATATAAGAACTTCATTCTGATAATGATGTGACTTTATTCTCATAATATTACGAGTTTATTCTTGTACATTAACGACTATTCTCGTAATATTTGGAGTTTATTTTTATGGATGCACGATATAATGGGCCCCCTATCGGTATCGGCCTTTAAACTGAATATCGGACATCGGCCACCCCACCGATATTTAACCCGATATTTGATCAGCTTCTGAGTTTCTAAAGTCTAAAAAAAAAAAAAAAATACTACTTCTTCTTCTTCCTCAAAAACTTCTTTTTTACAGACTTAAAAACTTCTAAAGACGAGGGAAAAAATATCGATACATTAAAATATCCCAGTATCTTCATATGCTGATATATTGCCATTTAAAAACACCATATCAATCTCTTTTACTAAAGAAATATTGCTATATGTCATCGTTATGCTACGAAATCCCCCGAAAATTCACCAAATGTTGCCATATTTTTATATGTTGATATATTGACGCGGTATTGATCTATTTTACTAACAAAATCTCACAAGAATTTGCAAAATATCACGAGAGTTTGTAACAGAACGATGAAATTTCACGAGATTTTGAAAGTAAAATAGATCAATACCGCGTTTTTAAAAATCTATTTGATATCAGCATATGAAAATATATTTGAGTATATTATTTTTCAAAGTGTCAGAGATGGATAACAAAACTGCTATTTTCAATGACTACTTATTTTTGTCCAGCTTTAACATCGGTATCGATATCGGTTATCGGCTACATGAGTTTTAAAATATCGGCATATCAGATATCGGCCAAAATCCCGATATCGTGCATCCCTAATTATTTTCATAAATTTACGACTTTATTCTCGCAATATAATGACTTTATTTTTGTAAATTTACTATTTTATTCTAGTAATATAAGGACTTAATTTTGATAATGTGACTTTATTTTCATATATTTACGATTTAATTCACATAAGTTACTACTTTATTCTCTTAATATAATGAATTAATTCTGATCATGTTTCGACTTTATCCTCATAATATCATGACTTAATTTTCATCATGTTGTGACTTTATTCTCGTATTAAAAACAAATCCGTAAAAAAAAAAAAAAAGGTTGAAAAAACAAAATAAAATAAAAAAAGGAGAAAACTGTATTTATACTCTAAACTGTTTCATGAGAAGTTACATTTCTGGATTGTGTTTTTTTTCCAGATTTCCATTTATAAAAACATGTTCTTTGCAAAAAAAAATGGAACAAAATTCACTCCATAAAAAGTGTGAAACCAGCATGATGCTGCCACCGCCATGTTTCACCACAGCAGCATGCAGCTGCTGTGGTGATGCACCCGACCCATTTAATGTTATCATTATCAGCCGATGTTAGCTTTAAAGCTAAATATCAGACGTCGTCTTAACTCACGACATCAAAGGTTCTGGTTCTGTGAGGATTGCAAAAATTTTAATCTAAATAAGTGTTTTTTTTTTTTTCATTGAGAAGGTAAGTGAGACTCTTCGTCTCACTTTGAGTCTACATTTGAAATAGGAAAAAAAACTATTGCATGGTGCATATTATCAAATTATCTTATTTTAAGAGTAAAAAATCTCCTTCTGTTGGCAAATCATCTTATTTTCATGCTCAAATTAAAGGTAAAAACTCTTATTTTAAGACAGTTTCACTCATTTTTATAAATTTTTTGAAGTGTGATGAATAAAACCACCAGAACTGCAAAAATGTTCTGAAAATGGGTAAAAAGTTCTTACATCTCCTGAGAGACAGGGGGAGGAGCTCAGTCATCCGGGGAGGACTCAGAGTAGAGCCGCTGCTCCTCCACATAGAGAGGAGCCAGTTGAGGGGGCTCAGGCATCTGGTTAGGATGCCTCCTGGACGTCTCCCTGGTGAGGTGATCCAGGCACGTCCCACTGGGAGGAGGCCCAGGGGGAGACCCAGGACACGCTGGAGGGACTGGGTTTCTGGGCTGGACCTGAATTCCCCTGCAGGTACCAAGTGGCTGAGGAGAGGGAGGTCTGAGCCTCCCTACTGAAGCTTCGACCCCCCAACGTTTTCAGATCGGTTTCACATCGCAGGTGTGAAACCGATCTGATCGACTTCTGTCGAGGTCAGAAAGTCCTCCTCTGAACTTTACTTTTTTTTCCCCCAAAACAGTTATTTGAGATTTTGTTTTTTGTTTTTTAGTATTGATCAATGTTTTTTTTTGTATGATAGGATTGAAATATTGAAAGTGAGAGTTACAAAAAGAAAGACTTCTCAAAGATCGGTAATCGGTGCACCTCTAACAGATTATTCATTTAGAGCAGAGCTTTCACATCCATATATAAATGCTTTCTACTATTTCTGTTCATTTCTCTGTTTCTGTTTTGTTTTCAGCTGAATGATACAGGCTGTGTTTGTGATTTTTCCTCACCAACGCATTGATGTCCTCGGATTTGTAAATGAGCATTCGGATCTCTTCAGGGTCTCTGCTGAAGATCGCCTGGATGAGAGGAGGCTGGAGGGGGAGGAAACAGAGAGAAACGGTCACATGGCGTGAAGCACAAACATCTCACTTAAACACTTTGTCAACGACGTGATGAGGGAGCGTGGGAATCCTTCCTCCACGTTGGGACCGGATTCCTGTCCTCCCAGCGCCGCTCTAAAAGCTTCTCCCAAACAGATGCGGAAAACAGCCTAGATACGGATCAGAAAAATAAAACGCTTGTGCAGAGGAAGAGTGTTTGAGAAGAGTCACGTCTACAGGGCCCTTATTTTCCCTCTCTTCATCACAGACAGGAGGTAAATGCAGGCCCCCGGCGGTCCGCCCAGGAGCCCCCGCTGCCGGCTGAGGAACACCAGAAACAAGATGACAGCAGCGCGGTAAACAGCCCCGGTTTAAAAATGTTACCACGAAAAAAGCTTCATTGAACTGAAATCAGATGCATTGTTCTCTATGAGCGCCACCATGAGGTCAGACGTGTTGAGGTTTCCGGGAAACTGAGCTCCAAAGTTACTGCTTAAAGCATCAGGCTGCGGTCAAGCAACCGACACGGCAAAGCGTGCGGCTACATCAGTGGCTCCAACATGACTTTAATTTAACGCTGGTTTCACACTTTTTATGGAGTGAACTCTGTTCCATTATTTTTGCAAAGAACATGTTTTATAAATGGAAATCTGGAAAAAAAAATACAATCCAGAAATTTAACTTCTTATGAAACTGTTTGGAGTGTAAATACTGTTTTCTCCTTTTTTTTTATTTTATTTTGTTTTTTCAAACTTTTTTTAGTTTTTTTTTTTACAGATTTGTTTGTAATACGAGAATAAAGTCATAACATTATGAGAATAATGTTGTAATAAAGTCATAAATTCACGAGAATTAAGTCACAACATTATAAGAATTAAGTCATTATATTATGAAGATAAAGTCGAAACATGATCAGAATTAATTCATTATATTACGAGAATAAAGTAGTAACTTATGTGAATTAAGTCGTAAATAAAGGAGAATAAAGTCACATTATCAAAATTAAGCTCATATATTACTTGAATGAAATTGTAAATTTACGAAAATAAAATTACATTACGAGAATAAAGTCGTAAATTTACGAAAATAAACTATTACGAGAATAGTCTTTAATGTACAAGAATAAACTCGTAATATTACGACAATAAAGTCGCACCATTATCAGAATGAAGTCCTTATATAACAAGAATTAAGTCATAATATTATGAGGATAAAGTCAAAACATGATCAGAATTAATTCATTATATTACGAGAATAAAGTAGTAAGTTATGTGAATTAAGTCGTAAATATACGAGAATAAAGTCACATTATCAAAATTAAGTCCTTGAATAAAATTGTACATTTACGAAAATAAAGTCATTATAGTACGAGAATAAAGTCGTAAATTTACGAAAATAAACAAATATTACGAGAATAGTCGTTAATGTACAAGAATAAACTCGTAATATTATGAGAATAAAGTCGCATCATTATCAGAATGAAGTTCTTATATAACCAGAATAAAGTCATAATATTGTGAGAATTAAGGCTTACGTTTACAAGAATAAAATCGCAATGTTAGGAGAATAAGGTCGCAACATTTCAAGAATAAAGTTGTAATGTTACAAGAACAAAGTGGCAACATTATTAGATTAAAGTCAATATTATGAGAATAACATTGTGGAAATAAAGTTGCAACATTACAAGAATAACGTCGTAATATTACTAGAATAAAATTGTAACGACAATAAAGTCGTGCATTTATGAGAATAAAGTCGTAGTATTACATTGTTTTTTTCTGACTCTCTCCTGATGTTGTGACTTTATTCTCATAATATTGTGACTTTTAGGAATGCACGATATCGGGATTTTGGCCGATATCCGATATGCCGATATTTTAAAACTCACGTAGCCGATAACCGATATCGATACTGATGTTAAAGCTGGACAAAAATAAGTAGTCATTGAAAATAGCAGTTTTGTTATCCATTTCTGACACTTTGATAAATAATACACTCAAATATATTTTCATATGCTGATATCAAATAGATTTTTAAAAACGCGGTATCGATCTATTTTACTTTCAAAATCTGGTGAAATTTCATCGTTCTGTTACAAACTCTCGTGATATTTTGCAAATTCTTGTGAGATTTTGTTAGTAAAACAGATCAATACCGCATCAATATATCAATATATAAAAATATGGCAACATTTCGTGAATTTTCGGGGGATTTCGTAGCATAACGATGACATATAGCAATATTTCATTAGTAAAAGAGATTGATATGGTGTTTTTAAATGGCAATAAATCAGCATATGAAGATATTGGGATATTTTAATGGATCAATATTTTTTCCCTCGTCTTTAGAAGTTTTTAAGTCTGTAAAAAAGAAGTTTTTGAGGAAGAAGAAGTAGTAGTATTTTTATTTTTTTTTTAGACTTTAGAAACTCAGAAGCTGATCAAATATCGGGTTAAATATCGGTGGGGTGGCCGATGTCCGATATTCAGTTTTAAGGCCGATACCGATAGGGGGCCGATTATATCGTGCATCCCTAGTGACTTTATAATGTTACAACATTATTCCCATAATGTTATGACTTTATTCTCTTATTTTTTTTAAATCCCTAGCCTGGCCCACATACTCTGTCGTATGAATGTAATTTTTAAATTCCGATTTTTATGATTTGATTTCTTTTAAAACTGAATTTCATAGATCCCATTCTCTTCACTTCCAGCCCAAAGAAAAATATTGTTGGAAACGTCCCGCAGACCAACAGAAATGCATCTTGGCTCCTTAGTGCAGACTAAAGCCCGCCCCCAGAAGTGAACAGAGTGTGATCTAAAGAACGCAACATGAAAACAATGAAATTCATAGAACTCACTCTAAAAAAAAAAAAAATGAAATTAAACAAAAACAAAATCTGAAAAATTAGCAACTCTCAAGTGAGGTGTTCAAAGTTTTATTTCTAGATTGCATTTTTTTCAAATTTCCATCATCAAAACAAGTCCTTTGTACCAATAATGGAACTAAATTCACTCCATACTTTGCAGAAGTTGTACACTTTCAGAGTGGACATATTGGGTCTGATTCCAATTCTCAATTCTAGATAGATTTCGACTGTTTTTAGACTTAAAAAGGATTCAAACAGTCTCAGCATAAACTCTTAGTGTATATAACCTTATTTTATAAGGACTAAACGGTTTTTGGTGTTTTTTGTAGAGGCATATAACGGGACTATGCACCTTTAATTTGTCCCAAACAGCATCTTCTGCCCCACAGTTTGCTCAGCATGCAGCAGACGACTATAATGTTGCAACTAGATGCAACTCTGCTGTACCATAAAGTGATTCTCTGTTAAAACTAGGATCCTACAGATTCAAAACTCCAATGCTGGATAAATAACCATGGTCCATTCAGAGGGTCCAAATATTTAATAAGCATTTACAAAATCTCCTCCCAGTATTTTATTTTGACGATCAGGTGAATCCTGTGAGAACCTCCTACTGATCAGTTCTGCACGGCTATCACGTCTGTAGGTGTTTTTAAACATGTAAACCTTTTGGAGTCTCTAACGGTTAAAACCACAGGGCCTCTTATTGACAGTTAAGCAGCATTTTATTTTATTTAAATACAAAAAGAAAAAGACAAATACAAATACTTCAACCTTTGGGTTAAATTTTCTGAGTAAAACAAGCAGAGCGTTGCTCAGGCTAACTCTGCTGTGTTTCTGCCACCACCTGCCTACTTCCTGTTGCTTACTGTCTCCTTCTCAGAAACAGCAGAGAGGAACCTGCCGCAGAGCAGCGTTTCACTTCTGCTTCAGAAAGGCAGCAGCACTTCCTCATCGGACCCCAAACGTCCCTCTGAAAGTGACTGAGCTGTGGTGAGATCATCACACTGCTGCTCCGCATACCTGAGCCTGAACCAGAGGAGCAGCGCCTCCGTCTTTAACCTTCAACCCTGATAAGGATCTTTTTAATCAACATTATATTTATTTATTTATTTATTCGTTTTATTTGAATTAGGGCATTGAATAGTGATCAATGTGTCAGCAATGCATCAACATAAATACATTTTTTTTCTCAACTTTTGGTAACACTTTATTTACACAATTCAAACTATTATAAACAATTATGGACGTAAAACGCGTGTCAGCTAAAAATCATTAAATGAGGAACTTGTTCAATCGTAGTTGTCCTTAATCTGACACGGTACATAAAATGTTAAAACCCACAGCTGGATATAATCCTCCATGTTCTGTGTGTCTCTGTGGAAGTGAAACTCCAGCTTTATTCTGGCTTTAACCTCCACAGAGCGTCATGGTGAGCTCCGTCCTGCAGTCTGTCTCTGCAGGACAACGAACCACCATCTTTGCTTCACTGGTTACAACAGTTAAAAGTCGGACCTTTGGCTTGTTTCTTCCCCAAACTCCTCCTATAGAAGTACAGCGTTTGTAAAAACTGTCCTTTTTGGGACATTATGGGAATAATGTCGCAATATTATAAGGTCTTAATATTATGAGAATAAAGTTGTAACATTGGGAAAATAAAATCGTAACATTATGAGAATAAAGTCGTAAATTTAAGAGAATAAAGTCGTAAATTTATGAAAATAAACTTTTTATATTACAAGAATAAAGTCATAATATCATGAGAATAAAGTCGTAACATTGCGAAAATAAAGTCGTAAATTTAAGAGAATAAAGTTGTAAATTATGACAATAAAGCCGTAATATTACAAGAATAAATTTGTAAATTTATGAAAATAAACTTTTTATATTACAAGAATAAAGTCATAATATCATGAGAATAAAGTCGTAACATTGCAAAAATAAAGTCGTAAATTTAAGAGAATAAAATTGTAAATTATGACAATAAAGCCGTAATATTACAAGAATAAAATTGTAAATTTATGAAAATAAATTTTTTATATTACAAGAATAAAGTCATAATATCATTAGAATAAAGTCGTAACATTGCTAAAATAAAGTCGTAAATTTAAGAGAATAA